TCCGCAGGCCGACACTCTATCCACTGAGCTAAACCGGTCAGGGCTATTTTTCCTTCTTAAACCACATATCCTTACTCTAACTGACCTAGGTCCATTTCTGGACACTATTATGTTCCACTTACCTATTTGCCTGCTCACATGCTAGTAATGCACTATTTTTAACTAATATAATAGTTTTATAATGTATTTTGGTACATAGTATAATTAATACCTTAAGTTTTACTTGACATTTTTTTTCTGTTTTCTCTTGCATAGTTATTTTCCCATATGAACTTTAGAACCAGTGTCACAAGTTAACGTAAAATCTCATTGGTATGTTTATTGAAATTGCATTATATGTAGTTTGATATCGGAAGGGTTGACATCTTTATAACAATGAATTTTCTTATATAAACACATCCCTTTCCCCTTCATGTATATGTTAGGTCGGAGAGCGCCCAGGATTGGATACATGCAGGCATGTGATGAGACAATGGACTCCCCCTGGAATTTCTCACAGATCTGGGATTTCTCACAGGTCAACGTGCCAGACACAGATACCTGCTTCTTCTCCCTGAATTCACAGCGATCCCCACACAGATACTGACCCATTCCTGAATGTCCCGCCCACCCCCTGCGGCTAAGACTCCCTCAGTTGAATGTGTGATGATCCCTGCTGCAGACACTTCCTCAGTTCAGGCCCCCGCCCTCACCCAACCGCAGTATAAAAAAAGCGCCCCCCTCCATGTTGGTGTGAATCCACGTGCCCTGTCTTTGGGGTACGTGGGTCTCCCGGGGACGCAGAATAAACTTTCCTTTCCTTTCTTTTCTGATTCACTGGACTCTATTTCTTGCGCCGCCTCCTGAGCCACCTAACCTAACAGTATATTCTTCAATAACTTGGTAATGTTTCCTTTAAAGAATAGGTGGTAATTTTTAAATTTCTTCACAAGGTATCTTTTTGGGGGCAAAGTTATGCTATTATAAGGTTTATTATACTAGTATTTTATAACTGGTTGTTGCTTGTGTAGGACGTCTACCAGGATGCTGTGTCAAATAAAAGTAAACCACCAGTCTGACATCCAAGAAAGACACTTAACAAGCAAAATAAGTCTTTAACGACGTTTTAACACATCTAACTCATAGCAGAACAGACTGTATAGTGAGAAGGTATGTGTATGTTTGTCCAGGATGGTCACAGAATGTCCTCCTTCTTTCTTTTTTTTTTTTTTAATATATTTTATTGATTTTTTACAGAGAAGGGAGAGGGATAGAGAGTTAGAAACATTGATGAGAGAGAAACATCGACCAGCTGCCTCCTGCACACCTCCTACTGGGGGATGTGCCCGCAACCAAGGTACATGCCCTTGACCGGAATTGAACCTGGGACCCTTCAGTCCGCAGGCCGACGCTCTATCCACTGAGCCAAACCGGTTTGGCGTCCTCCTTCTTGATTGGAATTCCAAAGAGCTCCTGTGTTTATGGAGTTTCCATGCAAGCACTGTCATGTTGGGTGTGAAGAAGCCCAGGGGACATCACCATTCTCCACTAAATTCCTAAACATCCTAAAAATAGGCACAGGCATTCAGGCAGATGGAGAAAAAAATGTTATTACTGATAAAACTGGTATTAAGAGAACATGGCTTAAGTCTGTGGCAACAACTGGCTTCTAACACTGCACCCCAGAGAGACTCTGCTATCTGCTGGCACCGCTGGACAACTGTAAGCCTCTCCCAGTCTACGGCCATACCACCCTGAACGCGCCCGATCTCGTCTGTAAGCCTCCCCCATAGGACGCATCCTACAATTCTCCTCACTCCTCCTCGCCTAGGGAGGGGTGGATGAAAGGGAGAGCAAGGCCGGGGCTGTGATGGAAGGTGCTTCCACATGGCAGGGAAATCAGGAGTGAGAAAGTGTTGCTCTTCCAACAGTCAGCAAAGCTATAACCTAAGAGCAATACTTTTAAGGGACCAAAAGTTCATATCCACAGTTTTTGGCAATAACGTCAAATGTTAGATGTGAGTTTTAGGCAGAAAATCAAACTACTTATGTTTTAAAGTCACGCTGACACAAGCATTGTGGAACACGGTTCTTACAGGTTTTCCCTGGGAGAGAACAGATGACAAAACGTGGGAAAAGGACACGATGGCCTTTCTTTTATGACTTACTCAATGGACACAACCATTCGATTACAGGTATTATACTCTTTTGGACTCATGTACGTAACACCTAATCCTTGGTAACTGTTTGTTATTGTGTAATACCTGTTTGTTATTTGTTCAATCTGATCTCAAAGATAGCATGCTCACGAGAGGATGTATAATGTAGGGCACATGATAAGGTTTTTTACTGCCAAGCCCCAAATGACCACTATTTCCTGTACTCATTATTAGTTCATTAAACATTTTTTGAGGCCCTATGATAGACAGAAACTGTGCCAGAGACCAGGGCTACGAAGATGTACGATGCCCTTGTTGGGCTCATGGTCCACTGGGGAGGGCAGATGTAAACAGATAATGGGCAATGCTGGGCACAGTACAGTCGAGGAACACAGGGCCTCGAACCACCTCTGAGACAAGGGACTCTGACAAGTTAGTTGCCCACCTTCACAACACTTGTAACTGGCTAAGGTAGCATTTGAATGTGGTCTGATTTCCAAGTCACCAATACCCCCAGTGCCACTTTGTGGTGACGGGCCCACTCCTGTCTGTGCCTGCTCCAGGTGGGGCGATGCTGCAGGGGGGGTGGTGCTGCTACACAGGCAGATCTCAGGGTAGCTCTGTCCAAAAGCCAGCATCCAAGCCTAGCTCCAAGCCTGACCTCATCCCTGCCTCCCTCCTGGAGTGATCAGGGTCATGTCTGAAGGGCTGCCACATACCCTTATTAGGCCAAGCTGACAGGGACAGTCCCACTTTCTGGAATGATCCCACTTTCCTGAATCCTGAACAAGCAGGGGCCGCTCTGTGGTAAGCCCGAGGCCCAGAGGAAGGAAACGCTTGGGAGGGGTTTGGAATCACCGTGAACTGGCTAGAGATACCCATTCTCCCCCCACCTCTCTGTCATGCTCTGGCTGATTCACAAGGGACTTCTTTGCTCGAGGTCACCTGTAAATCAGCAATGTCAACAATGATAAGGATAACCCTAGTTCTATGAATGTGAGTTATAGGTTCTGGGGGTGGCAACTTCCAAACACTGTCCACATCAGAAGTTTACAGCAGAAATCCTAGGTTTATTTAAAGGTAGGCAGAAGGAAAGTATATAAGAGGAAAACAGGTTGGGGTGGGCTTGGATTTCCCTAACCCCTGATTGCACACGAGTGCAAGTTTCAAAATGGTGAATAAATGGGCACTTACACCAATTCCAAGGCAAAAATTTTAAATTATGGCAACTCTGCTTAAAGCCCTGTTACTTCTTTCCTTATGGGCAAGGACCTGCCCTCTTTGAATAAAGCAATTGAAATTCCATTATTAACAGAAATAAATGGAAGCTAATGGGGAGTTAATAAAAATCAGTATTTAGGCGAGGCATGAGGAGAGCAGCTGCGACCTGAAATAGCCACCATAGGATATTCTAATTAGGGCCGAGTTTGGAAATGACAGCCCGTTTACTGAATGGTTCTTGTGTAAGGGCTTTATATATGTTGTTCCTCACAATACCCTGATGAGTTACATTCTCTCATTATAATAAAAGGGAGCTGGGCATAGAGAAGGGGACACTGGGGCCAGGCGGCAGCCCCCTGAAGCGCACACTTACCACTGTGCTCTACTCTATTCAGTCATGACATGTACCTGTCTCAATCTTGGCGAGATTCATAGTAACTGAGGCACCAAGGCTTCTGCGCAGTGCTGATGGCTCACAGCTGACAGCTTCAGGGATCTGCTGGCTGTGGAAGAGCATTTTGAAGTCAGAGACATGGGAATTGTCGCTGGTGATGGGCTGAGGACTCAACAAGGAAGGTTTTCGAAGGAAGTGAAACCGGGCAGCCTCAGGCCTGCCTCCCCTCTGCAGTGGCTTCCTGCTTCTGAATCATAGGAGCCAAACTTATGAAATACTGATGTGCGAAATGCCAACTCCCTAATTTATGATGGTAAGAGGCAACCTTCCAGCGAGTGGCCAGAATATTCACAGTCCAGGGAACTCTCTCCTAAGAATCGAGGGTCACAGAAACCTTAGTCACAACTTCATCTGTTGAACTCAGATGGTAGTAAAGAGAGAGAATGGCCCTGGTGTTTGGAGTCCTGGGAGTGCAGCTGGCAGCAGTGAGCCAAGAGCAGCCAGGACCTGTTAGTTCATAAGTGCTACAAGAGCGCTGCGGCTCAGGATGGCCAGGCAGGGCCCCGCAGGCCAACGATGAAGATGTCCCACAGAAAAGCGAGGCAATCTTGTACTAAGGAACATGCCACTGACTATAAACTGTTGGCAGTACGATGAGCATGTTGCCAGCAATCTAGGACCACAACTGCTAAAATAAAACCAGTATTCAGAGATAATCCTATATAATAAAAGGGTAATATGCAAATTGACCCTAACAGCAGAACGACCAGAACGATCCCTAGACCAGTCACTATGAGGCGCACTGACCACCTCCTGGTCCCTTTCCCCGGCCTGCAGGCTCCCATCGCCTGATGATGAACAGGGAACGAGGGGTGGGGGGTGGCAGGGGGTGGAGCCAGCTTCGGGCAGCCGGGGAAGATGGCCCTGATCGCAGGCCAGGCCTAGGGACCGTACCCATGCACGAATTTCGTGCGCCGGGCCTCTAGTATCATATAAAGAATTAAGGACTTTGACCACGAGCTCCTTGAGGATCTAGAACACCTTAAGATATCAAAGCTATGGCCTATGCTTACATTTAAGTCACTTTTTAAAGAAGCCACTAATAAGCCCATGCTTCAATGATATTCGTGCCCAATCCAAACATTGTACTGTGATGTTCCTCATTGGCACTTAGAATACATATGAAGGATGTCTTGATAAATTAAATATTTTCCTATTTGAAATAAGCAAAGACATAATTTGCTGAGTTGGTTTTAGTCAACAAGTAGGGACTGAATTTTATTCTTTTAAAAGAATTACAGAGCATGAGAACTAAACAATCCAAGTATCCCTAAAAGGAAATTGATGCCCTCTTGTTCTACCTGAGTTAAAACAATGATGAATCACATCAGTTCATGGGAATTATAATAAATGACTACTAGCTAAACCAGACCCATAAGATCAATGCTATGAACACACAGAAATTATATATAATTAATTAACACTACAGTTTGGTTTAAAATTTCAAAACCTCAATACACACCTGTTTATTTCTTTTAGCACACAAAATTAATTTACTCGTAAAAGTAACATCTGTTTACAGAACTCTAATAAAAATTTAAAAATAAATAGCACTATCTTACAATTCTGATCTTACAGAGAAATAAAACTTTTTGGCACATAATGTTCTACCAAAATAGAAAGTTAAATCAGTTTGCTTTGCTTTTCACAACAGAAATAAGCATTCACACTATCAGCCTTGGAAAATCAACTTGGTGACAAGAAAAACAGAATCATTGGAAAAATGGGATCTGGTGCCATCTAGTGAGTGGTAATGGTAATGTGACTGTGGCTACCGGCCATTAAGTTAGGTAACACTATTTTAGTGACATGCAACTCAACAGGTACACAAGGCCTGAAAGTTACATGCAAAAATGAAGACAACTACTGTGTTAGGACTGAGGAATAATGGTTTTTTTCTTCTATAAATGTCATCCTACCTTTTAAAGAAAAAGAAATCAAGTAGGTAAAAATGATTACTGAACATGAGGGATACTAAAGGGGAGACTTTGGCCAATTAAGTAAATGAAAAGTTCCACGATTACTGTAAGAGCGAGTCAGGTAGGCTCTCTTACTCTCTTACTCATGGGAGGCTGGTGGAAGGCAGTATTTATGGTAGGCCAGAAGGAAGGACTTAAATTTCTTCCCTACTATTTACATAAAGAGCTGGTTTATTTGAAAAAAGTATCTACCCAGACTGCCAATAAAGTGGCACTTAGGAACGAACTATAATGACAATCAATGCTCACACTTACCTTCATGGAGGCCAAAACTCCAGAATGGCTTTTCTGATTAGCAAACTAGAGTTAATTTTTGTTTGGTTGAGTTTACTGAAATAGACCTCCTCAACCAACAATGCTGAGAGCTTTTTTAGCAAGAGCTGGGCTACAGAACAAACACTCATAGAGAGGTAGACTTCCTGTAAAATTTTCATGAACTGGCAAGTTTGTTTTATTGTTATTATTATTTTGGTAGTAGCTTTTAAGAATATTACTTTCCTATAAGGCCATGTTTGTGGCTGTCCTTCCATGATTTGTTTCTTAGCTGTCCCTCAAAAGGGCAGGGCCATGTTTGTTCTGTTCATTACCATATACCCAGCACCAGCACGGAATTATGTCTGGCACATGTCTCAATAAATGTCAGCTAGTTGAGTGAATAAATCAATGAATTAATGAATCTCATACAGTCTAACCGACTTACAGGAAAAAGGGAAAAGAGGAAAAACAAAACACCCTCACAAAAGTGAGGATAATTACAGAAAGGAAGAAAGGTAAGCAACAGGGGTAAGTCTTGATGCCAACAAAATTGCCATCATTCAACAACTGACGATACCTGAAGGATTTTAAGTCAAAGTTAATATAAAAACAAAGTGTTTTCCGGAAGACTCATTTACAAATAAGTTAATGAAAACCTGCTACTACATCGCAATGTAATAGGAGTCCAGTGTTTTGCTGTTTCAAGGTGGAGAGGACTCTGCTGAGTACACCAGGTGGAGGTCTAGAGTCCCATAGAGGGAGCGGAGCACACTGAGGACTTTTTCCTGAATGGCATCCACTTGCTCAGAAGGACAGTAATCATCCAGACTTGACCTGGAACCAAAAAGAGAAAGAAAAAAACCTCAACCACATAAATAGGATGAGATCACTGTGCAGTGAGGAAAAGCCTGTATGTGTTGATATTAATATAAAATAGGAAGTATGCTAAATTTTGGAATAGCAGTTGAAAGCTACTAAATGTTTATTCATGTCAGGTACATGACACAACTATGTTCTTTAATCTTCTCAGCCACACCAAGAAACAGGTACGTTTACCTTCCCTTTAAAGGAACCTGAAACTGAGAAAGATTAACATGCACAGGGCCCATCTTCAAAGGCCTGGTGCTTCCTCACTGGCCTGCTGTTGCCCTGAGATGGAGATGTTGCTGGGAATCCTGGGGCTCATTATTGTAGTGACCGGCATCCGTCCTTCTTCTATGTATACACTGGGGCTAGAACTTAGGAGGGAAGAGGCTTTCCAACCGATAAAAGGGATCTGCTTCTAAAAACAATCTGTTAACTACACAAGTGTATAGGATCGTCCAAAATGAAGTGTGGGAATGTGCTGGTGTAGGGATTGATTTCCTACGTGGTAAGTACTGAGGAAAAGAGCCAAGTGGATGGGACAGAAATTGACATTTTGGGAGTTTTTCCAGAATCACCAAGGACAACTTGAATGGCCAGGCAGTTATGACGTCATTGACAAAGAGAGCTGGACTAAGATCTGAAATGATTTGATCAGTGTCTCCTGGTTCTGACCTCGGTGAGGAAGCCATTTAGAAGGACGGATTGGGAAGAGCGGTATAGAAACTTTTATAGATAGAAATGGGATTAGTTATCTAGCCTACTCCCTATCACAAGTATTTAAAACTGAACAAGTAACAGCCTTACTAAATAACCTTACTTGTGATAAACTCATTCCATTCTCTGGTGATTAGGTGATTTTTATGGCTTGATGTAAATATTTAACACATAATAAATGATACACAACAATGTTAAATTATTAAATACTGTCCAACATATACATATGGATAAAGACCTACTTTGAAGAAGTATCATATACAAAAGATTAATTTATGACGAATAAGGGGCTGTTAAATGCTTTAAAAAAATTTCTGGCCTCTTTAACACTATTAGATTGGTTCTTCTCCTCGCCCCCCCCCCCACCCCCCCGCATTGATTTTTAGAGAGAGAAGAAGGGAGAGAGAGAAAGAAACATTGATGAGAGAGATACATCGATTGGTTGCCTCCCACATTTGCCCAGACTGGGGCCGGGGAAGGAACCTGCAATCCTGGTACTGGCCTTGACAGGGATAGAACCCGGGACCCTTTGGTGCATACACTCTAACCACTGAGCACACTGGCCAGGGCTGGAATGGTTCTTGATGGAGTACCAACAGGGAGTTTTGGAATTCTGTAGGTACATTTTTGATTGTCAAATCATAATTAGGGGCCAGAGAAAGAGGACAGGGCTGCAAGAATGCTTACAATATGCAGGATAGTCCTGCAACATAAATATGAATGACCGTCCTATGTCCTCAATACTTTCCAAGCCCACAGAGCACTTACAGAGTGCAAAACCGGGTCCTGGTTTTCATTTTTTGAACCTAGAATGTATCATATGAAGAAAAGTATTTTTGAAAACAGATTCAATATGTACTAAAATTTTCAGAAATGAAACTACTCTGTTAATTGAAAGGAAGATTGGACCAAGAGACTGTTTTAACTAGAAAGACTGTCACTTATGGCAGCGTTGTTCAAGTTATTTGGCTCATACAACATGTGAGTATCTGTCTGCGTTTGTAACTGTTACATTTAGTGACTCTGTTTTAATATGTATTACTTTTATCAATGACTTTCACTCCTCCTTTATGTTACAATGATATTTCTGTGTATATACATATATGAACATATATTTAAATTAGGTATATAAGTAGGTTACTGCTATAGACTAAGACTAAGTCTTTGTGTACCCTCCCTCCCCCATGAAATTCATTATTTGGAACCTAATTCCCAATGTGATCATATCTGGAGGTAAGCCTTTGGGAGGTGATTAGGTCATGAGGGTAGGAATCTCATAAATGAGATTAGTGCCTTTACAACCATGATCCCAGAGAGCTCCTTCACCCCTTCCACCACGTGAGGTTATAGGGAGAGGACAGCTACTATGAACCAGGACCCAGGTCCTCACCACAACTCTGAATCTGCTGGTGTCTTCATCTTGGACTTCCCAGCCTTTAGGCTGTGAGAAACAAATTTCTGTTGTTTATATAAGCAACAGGTCTATGATATCACTTGGAGTGCGGGAAACGAGTTAAGTCGGCTCGCGTGAATTGCGCGTACTCCGCGGGAGCCGTCTTTAACTCGGTTCATATAGATTTGCGGTGGAGTGCGGGAAACGTGTAAACTCGGGCCGATTGTAACTGCGTATTACCAAATATTTGTTTGTAATCCACCCTTTTGGTGGATGGAACAAAACCAAAAGACAGAGCCATCTTATATTTTGGCGGGAAATTCACCCGCACTCCAAGTGATATTTTGCTACTGTAGTCTGAATGGACTAAGACAATTCTATTATCTATATATTATGTATAATATCCATATACTTTAAAATTGTGCACAGTTAGATTACCTATGAATTTTGTTGTAGGACCATAAAAGATGTTATAAAATGCTTGTCATACAAAACATAAACATTATTTGAGTATTTAAAGCAGTTATTTTAAAATCTAACAGTTCTCTATAAAACCAGCCCAAATATGAACATAGAAAATGAAGTTTTTGTTGTTTTAACTATCCAGCACATTAGTATGTTTAAATCTAAAACATGGCAGCACCTAAATATTCCTCTGTAGGACACGGAAATGGGAATTCCCGTGTTTATTTGAATAATAAACACCAACTTCAAAGACAAGATAACATGTTCTTTGCTAACCATTACTAAGAGGGAAGAGAAAATACATCTGAAATTTGAGCTGAGAAGGTAAAAAAATAGATTAAAAAATTACTGTATCAGTAATCAGCAGATTCATTCAGGGAGATTTGTATTAATTCATCTAGAAAGGTTGTCAATGCTATAACATTTGCCACATAGAGGCTTACGGCAACACAAATTTATTATAGTTTTGTTGGAGGTCAGAAGTCCTGAAATAAAGGTGCTGCGGGACTGCATTTCTTCTTTTGGCTTTCTTTGCCTTCCACCTTCTATAGGCTGCCTGCAGTCATTCCTGACCTCGTGGCCCCATCTCCATCTTCAAAGCCAACATCCTCGCACCTTCCAATCTCTGACTTTTAACCTATCTTCCTTGTAAGGATCCCCGTGATTACATTCCATTCACCGAGATAATACAGGATAATCTCCATATTTTAAGATCCTTGAGTTAATCAACACCTGTAAGGTCCTTTTGCCAATATAACCCAACATTTTCACAAGTTCTTAAGATTAGGACATGAACATCTTTGATGGGCCTTTATTCAGGCTATCACACTTACCTTGCAATTGTTACAAGAGTAGGTTTTGGTAAATTTTTCAGTAAATAAAATACAGACTGAATAAGATACTCAATTTCTTGTTCTGTGCTGATATGGTGAGGAAGTTCTGAATAATCACAGGTTAGACCAGCCTGATGAACCTGAAATAAGACAATTAAAAATTACACTGTAAGGCTTTATTGTTTTTAGAAGATTCTTTATCCATTAATTGCCTTGCTGACAAATTTTTTAATATTTTTGTGAATTGGGATGATTTTGTTCCTTAGTAATTTCTGTGCCACAGAAGTTACTTATTCTCTCAAGTTTGTAAGAACTGGCCTATACTCATATTTGGGCCTGATGCCTTTTCTAGAAATAGTTCTTTAACTACTCTTTATTTTATGATTATGGATTCATTCAGTTTCTGTATTTACGTCTTTCTGACAATTCAGTTTCTAGCAAATTATCCATTTACCTAGATTCTGAAAGCTGATATAAAACTATACATAATATTCTCACCTTACCTTTTCTCCCAGTGTATTATTTTCTTTTTAAATAGATGCACTTAGTACTACATTCAAAGCTTTAGGAGGATGTAAGGGAGAGTCTTCCTATCTTATTTAACCTACTGTTCCTAGTTTCTTGTGTATCCTTTGTGTAGAAGCACATACAACTGATATCTATACATGCGTTTTAAATATAAACGACTCACCAAACTCAATATGCCTGAAAGCTGGAAGTGGCTCACAAGCTGGCATTTTGCAGCTTCTGCTTTAAAGTTCTGGAAAACTGGATCTCAATTATGTCACAGTTTTGCCTAGCGTACATGAGTGCAAAGCATGGGGAAAACACTGATCTGCTATTTTATTGGATTAACATCAAAGATTTAACTGGCAATGATCCGTCAATGTAGTAAATGACACTCTGCATGATCTTCTCTACTAAATTGATTAAAACACTCAGTGTCCTAACCCTGCAGCTATAGGCATGCCATATTTGATTACATAATTTGTGACTGAGCCCATGACATCCCTTCTCTCAACAGTGTATAAAACCCTCCCAACCATCACAAAACCCAGATGCAATGGAACAATGAAAGTAGATCTGCATGAAGTCACATGCATTAATATCACACGAGCGCAAGCATTTTTAAACCCTAAGTGTCTTCTCTTTCATTCTTTATTTTTTATTTAATCCTCACCCAAGGAGTGAGAATATTTTTCCCATTGATTTTTAGAGAGAATGGGAGGGAGAGGAGGAGGGAAAGAAAGGGAGCGGAGGGAGAGAGAAACATCGATGTGATAGATACACATCAACTGGTTGCTTCCCACATGTTCCCTGACCAGGAGCTGGGGTTGGATCTGCAACCCATGTATGTGCCCTTGACCAGAAATTGAACCTGTTACCTTTCGGTGCACAGGCCGATGCTCTAACCATTGAGCTCTGCTGGTCAGGGCTTCTCTTTCATTCTTAGTAACTGCCATTAAAAAGAAGGATGACTATGTATGGTGCTAGCTGGGTATTAGAAATACTGGGCGAACACTTTGTAAAGTATATGATTGTCTCACCACTATGCTGTACACCTGATTCCAATACAAAATAATACTGAATGTACAAAAAAAAAAAGATGAGTCTTAGATTAGCCACAATTTAACCAAAATATTCTTTTGCTTGTATTTTTTATTCTCATAAAGTTAGCATTAAGTCAATATGTAAACTTCAGTTCAAATGAGGTGGTTCGACTGTATTCCATGATTAAATAAAATATTAAGAAGCACCAGAAATAAAAGAACACAAGGCTGGGGCTGGGGGTATGTGTGTGTCTGAGCTCTGGCTCAAAATCGGAGAAAAGGCACATGAACTTCAGCTGGGAAAATTTATACTTCAAAGACTGCAGAATGATATCAAAATAAAAGAGATTATCATTAAAGGTATTCTCTTTTGCCACAGAATTCAAGTCACTGCTGGCAAACAGTCAGTTATACAGCTGATTCAGTTAAGATTAAGAACCAACTCACCAGAGTGCTTTCTTGCGTCTTTCTGTTTGGTTTTTATAATCAGAAAATTTTACAGAGTCAGGAAACAAAGGAGGAAAGGAGTAAAAAAAAAAAAAAAAAAAATTGTATTCTTTCTTTTCTCTGGGAAGAAGAGATCTGACAGAAACAAAAACAAAACCCCACAAAAACAAAAATACAGCACTTTTGCCTCATAGGTAAAATTGGGAAAAATATGTTATTCCTAGAAAAATGAAAAATGTTCCAGCTTCTAAAAAGCATGTATTTCTTTTTCACCACTTAAAAAATATTCATTCACACTTCCCAAGAACACGAATAAAAGTGACCTACTTTAACGAAAAACACACTTTTCTACCAAGAAATGCCTTTGGGAAGGGCCAATTTTTTACTTCAATATAAAATAATTTACCATTTCATAGTCTGGCACGTCCATCCGTTTTTTCAAACTCTGCACAAGTGGAACTAGTGATTCCATTCTGGAAAATAGCCACAGCTCAATTAAACATCACAGCACCTCAACCAAAATTACAGTAGCCAGTGATACATTACCCTTAAAATTCACCATTAACAATATGATTGTTGGGAAATGAAAGATAATGCTGTTCAAATGTCATCTTAAAAATGTTCCCCGGCCCTAACCGGTTTGGCTCAGTGGATAGAGCGTCGGCCTGCGAACTGAAGGGTCCCGGGTTCGATTCTGGTCAAGGGCATGTACCTTGGTTGCGGGCACATCCCCAGTAGGGGGTGTGCAGGAGGCAGCTGATCGATGTTTCTCTCTCATCGATGTTTCTAACTCTCTACCCCTCTCCCTTCCTCTCTGTAAAAAAAAAAAAAATGTTCCCTGCTGTTTTCTTACCTAAAAAGGTTACAGATTGTGTTCAAGATTGAAAATTAGCACTTGAGAAACTGAGCTTTTCCTTTTCTTTAAAAATGCAAGTTCTACTGTGACTTTAAAAGTCACTTTGATCAGCAAGAAAAGTAAGTGCCTTTAGCACACAGTGTTGAAAAAAGCTTGAACTGATGTTAAAGTGCCGGGTTAACATTTACTGATGTGATCATGCATAAGTAATACATAGCAAAGGAAGGTATCTCTCCCTCATCATTTAGCCAAATAATTCCTCTCCCCAGAGATAACTGCTTTTCTAGTTTCCTCCTTATTCTTCCAGAGACCTGTTGAATTCTCTCTCTATATATAAAAGCCTAAGTGACCATTACGACTGAACGACCAGATCGACCAGTCGCTATGATGCGCACTGACCATCAGGGGCAGACGCTCAATGCAGTAGCTGCCCCCTGGTGGTCAGTGCACTCCCAAAGCCTACCTCCTGCGGCCCCTCCCCCCTGCTGGCTAACCTCCTGAGGCCCCGCCCCCCAGAGCTGGCCAACCTCCTGGGGTCCCTCCCCCCTGTTGGCTGGCCACCCCTCCCCCCCATAGGCCTTGATCACAGGCCAGGCCGAGGGACCCCACCCATGCACGAGTTTGTGCACTGGGCCTCTAGTTTTCAATAACTGTTACATAACAAATCTTAGTGGCTCGAACTACTATGATTCTAACTATATTTTGTTGCTACCTTATGACAGATTTCTCACATTTACATGTGGAGAATAGTCTGTTTGTGGGAGATCAATTTGAAAATAAGCTGGTTCTGGTCTTCTATGCTCATGGGCACATAAAGTTTGTGTCTGACAGTTTTATTTTAGTTACCTGGTCTTGTGAGTTTAAACAACTTAAAGAATTATTTTAGAGAACGGTAGCTATAATCACTTACTATTCTTTCAAACTAGCATTAATACTAAAGACATTCTTCACTCTGCCCCCAAATAAATAGATGATCACTTTAAAAGAACTTTTGTCTCCCTATTTTCAGGTTGACACTGAGAGAATTAGCCAAATAAATGACCCAATGAAAATCTCAGCTCTCAAATCTTGCTCCTTGATGCTATGGGCAGCTTGAAAAGAAACTCTTCTACTCGTAGTTGAGCTATCCTTAAAAAGAGGCACGTTTTCACATTATAATTTACTAGTCTAGTAAATTTTTTTACTTTAGTTAGAACAGGGACTGTCTTACTCATCTTTAATCTTCCATGAAACCCACCACATCTTGTATATAATAGGGGCAGCTGCTGCACAATGACTAAAAGCACACCCACTTGCTATGTGATTTGGGATGACTTAACCTCTGTGCCTTAGTTTCCTCATCTATAAAACAGAAATGATAATAATGAAGCCATAAGATTGTTATAAGCAATGAATAAGATAATGCAAGGAAAACCTTAGAATTATATTGGGCACACAGAAAATAATAAATGCTAACTAGTAAATTTGTGTTGAAATTTAATACTAATTTTTAAAAGCAATTTAGTAAATCTAGCAATCTATCTAGGACTGAAATATAGTAGAGTTGGAGAAAAAAATGTCTGAAGGTCTTACCCAGGGTTTGAAGCCCATTTCTTTACAGTTTCTTCATCATCACCATCACACAAATCAGCAAAAGTAGCTTCTAGATCTTCTAATTGGTGAATTCGAGTATCAACACAATCTACCAAATCTTCCTTTAAATGCACAGAAAAGCCGAGATTATAGTTATTCTTTCAAAAACAAGTAAAGGAGGGTTGGGGGAGTGGAAGTGGGCAACGGGGGGATAAACGGGAACAGAGACTTGATTTTAGGTGGTGAGTGTACAATGCACTATGCTGATGCTGTTTTATTGGGTTGTACACTTGAAACTTGTATGGTTTTATTAATCAATGTCACCCCAATAAACTTAATTTAAAAATAATTTAAAAAATACCCTCTTCTGTAAAACAAACAAATAAAAAATCTCAATTCAATTAATTAAAACATGATTTCCAAGTACAAATCATAGACTTCCCCAATAAACACACACACAAAGATTTTGGACAGTTGAGAGCCCTCTAGTAAACTGTTAAGATATTATTAAATATGTGACAAATAGATAAGCCCAAAAGAAATAAATGGAGGATACCTCTGTCAGGTTGGTGCCAGGCTTTTTAAATTGGTACAGCTCTTGTAAGATTTTGTATTCCTCCTAAAAATAACACAAAAAATCCATATACTAGAAAAAAATTAATTTTTTCAATGATATGCTTAAGTGAAAAATGGCTGTGATACAAGAACATCTTATATAATCATTAAAAGATCTATTGGGAAAATCAGGCAAAATGTATAATTCATATTTCATTGTAAATAGTATCATTTCTTCAGAGTTAATTTTATCCATCTGGGCATGACAAGTAGAGGTCTATGATTATTTAGATAAATCACAATGGCTTCTGATATGTATACAGAATAAGGATTGTAAGGTGCAGCAGCATCATTATAAATCAAAAACTGAACTTGAAAAAAGACAGTTAATTTGAATCTCCCCAAAATAGATCTGGGACAACTTTCTGAACACTAAGGCAAGCAGATACACATTTCCATAAAATGCACCTTTGAGCCATGAACTCATCAGTTTCCCAAATACATGATTTTATTTCAGATCAGTGCATACTGGTATTGTCTGGTGATTTGCATTTAAGATCTGCTGAGGTATCCTAAGGATCACAGGACTCAAAGATTAGTTATAAAAAGTACATGTGTCATTAGGCACCTCATTGTTTACTGAAAAATTTGTCACACAGGGTTTTATAGACATAGAATATTTTTGGGCTTGGCCAGACTGGCTCAGTGGTTGAGCATCGACCTATGAACCAGGAGGTCACAGCTCGATTCCTAGTCAGAGCACATGCCTAGGTTGTGGGCTCGATCCCCAATGTGGAGTGTGCAGGAGGCAGCTGATCAATGATTCTCTCATCTTTGATGTTTCTATCTCTCCCTTCCTCTCTGAAATATACGTATGTATATCTATATATATGAGGCTAATATGCCAAGTGTCCGATCAGTCACTATGACGTGCACTGACCACCAGGGGCTGCCGAGATGCTATGAAGCACATTGACCACCAGGAGCTGCTGAGCTGCAGTGACTTGGCAGCAGCGGGTTCTCGGGTGATGCACTCTGAAACCAGAGAGGAGGAGCCCGATTCCTCATGGGGCCGTGATTCCACTTCGGCCATGGGTTATGTTGTTGCTGGGGCACTGTCGGCTCCGAATCTGGTTTACTGCACACTTGTGTTTGCGTTCCACACCCTGTACAATAGCAACTTTGCAAAGTGCCCTCTCGCACTCCTCAGGGGATGTCAGAGAGCCAGTTTTGGCTGATCCCGGGAGTCCAGGCCGAGGGACCCCGCCTACCAGAGGGACCCTGCTAACTCTGTAGATGCCTTTCGAGCCATGGTGCCACCCCAGGTGCGGCTGGCCGGGGAGGGACCACGGGAGGTTGGCTCCAGGGCGTGTCTGGCCTGTCTTGCCCAGTCCTGCCCTGCCGACCACCTTCTAATTAATTTCCTTTCAATGTGTATGAATCCGTGAACCGTGTCACTAGTATGTATGTTTGTGTGTGTGTGTGTATGTATGTGTGTATATATATATATAAAATCATCTCTGGGAAGATACCATAAAAAACTGACCATAGTATTTGTTTCGAGGTAAGAATCTGAGGGAATGGGAATGGGTAAGAGACTGACATTCTTTAATGTACACACTTTCTTCTATTATATCACTTTTTTTTTTCAACCACCCATGCACACATCACCCCAATTACTACTAATAGATGCAAAATAATAAATACTATCTAGAGCAGGGGTCTGTTTTTGTATGGCCTTCAAGTTATGAATGGTGTATATAATTACAAAGGGTTTGAAAGAACAACAAGGAAAATATGTGACAGAGGCCATATGACGCCCCCCAATACAGTCATTACTATCTGGCTGTTTGCAGAAAGTTTGCTGATCCCTGATCTACAGAAATGTCATATAATTCTCAAGATCTACATTTTGAAAATGTTTACCTGAGTGAACATTTCTTTGAAGGGATTCTTGACTGAAAAAAAATCTAAGTCAATATCTAAAACAAATGCATCCCCTTTCTTCAAAATTTCCAGAATGTCTCCAGAGCTGACTGTAGTCTGGCATTCCTGGCTCTCAGAAGAACGTGAACATGAAGGTTCCAGGCTGGTGTGGACCCTTCTCTGGGTCACTGTGTCCTTTTCCAATCCTTCTGAACAAGAGGCACAGTTAGTAGAGGCAGTGTGTTCTGCGTCTTCCCGTGCTAGCTTTGGTTTCTTAGCAGAAGACACTGCATCGTTTTCCTCTTGATTGTTACAGAGTTTATATGGCTTTACCATAATTACATCCAATTGTAAAGGTTTTTGGTTCTCTAGCTGGTCTTCAGTTACATAAAGACCATCACTTAGGAAGTAGTGATCTGTACTTGTTACCCTGGATCAGAGGAAAAAACTATTTTAAAGATGAATAGACAAATTAACTGCTGTTTCATATAGCATTTCCACGGCATTGCAGATCTATAAGGACGGACATATTAGACAAAACCTGAGAGCTGTCTTTAATATTGCACTTCCTATTCTTCTGTAGAAATAGCATTCCCCAAGTTTTTAACTGGGCACACAACTGCCCAGTCACAGTTTGTCTGGTAGCTAGGTGTGGCCATTTGACTAAGTTCTCACCTTGTTCTCCCCTCCCCACCGACTGGCATTATGACATGGAAGTGGCAAGCCCACTTGGAATATGAGGACAAAGGCAACATTCTAGAGGTAATGGGGCAAAAAGGTAGAAGGAACTGGGGTTACCCAAACTACAGAACTGCCATCTAGGCCCTGGATTGTATGCGGTAAACTAATCTGAGAAAGGAAAATGATGCTGTTCAAGCCGGTGCCTTGGCTTTCTCTCATACCAGTTGAAACTTTATCCAACCCCCCCCCCCCCCCCCCCGTCTGGTATTATGAAAGGAAGGGGCCAGCCCCCTTGGGAATTGGAGGAAAAAAGCAACCTTCTAGGGAGTAAGGGGGCCAAAAGGGTAAAAGAACGGGGGTTACCCCAAACTCAGAACCCCCGGGTTTGTTTTGGGTTTGGGGGGAAATATTCGGAGAAAAGAAAAATAATATTATCACGCCGGGGTCTTTGTTTTTTTGTAAAACCTGTTTGAAATTTTATCCCACCCCCCCCCCCCCCCCCCCCGCAAAGAAAATCACTTAAGAGAAAAATTACACATCTGGAAATAATTTCTCATATTAGAAGCTCACTCTGATGTATTTCAAAGCTTCGTTAAACTTAATATAATCATAATATTTTAATATAAATAGCAACTTAAAAAAATCTTGTACACATGCAGAACATATTTCACAAGTTGTAGATTTCTGATTTTAGACACATTGGCATGATGTTAGCTCTTCAACTATATTATGCTTTGGTAAGTATTATGAACAGTGAATGCAGGCTCTATCCAACTAAAATAATGGTTAATAGTTATTTCCACCCACTCTACTCCAACATATACAGCCTTAAATTGAAAAAGACATAATTGTCCCAAAAGATTAATGATGCAATAAAACTAATGTCCAGGCTTATTAAAAACTGTATCATCCTAAAAAAGACAAAGGCTTAACCTAAATCTGTATTCTTCTTTAATAATGGATATTTTACTTTGTTAGTATTAGTACAAACATACACATTTCAGACTGCATACCTACATGTATGGGAGTTTATTTCATAAATTTTTACTTGTAGGATTAAGATCATGAGAAAATCAAAATCTTCCTAATATTGTTATTACACTGAGTTTCAAATGTCTATTTGAAATTGCTCAAAATTATTTGATTTTGCAGAAATCCGTTATAGGTTAAAGCAGGCTTACTCACTGAAGTATCGATAAAAACCCTATCACTCTTTCACATATGCTGTTATTATGTATAACATTTATTATATGAGGAACCCTATTTGTTTAGTATTATATCTTCAATAAATAAAATTTCATATATACAAAATCAAGTTATTTGTGTAATTGATAATAATATATAACAAAAGTGAATCGTATCATGAAGGTAAGCCAGAAGTAAAAACTATCATTTTCAATGAGAAAGATTATTTCATTTTCAATGTATTATCATTTAATCCTACTATGCTCCAGGTTATAGAAAGTTATAGTTCCACTACTTAAAACATTCATCTCATCACAAGAGAATTAAGAAGATACACAAAACATTGGTTACATAGCTTTACAACAAAAATATTTGCACGTGTATACTGCCAGAGTATTCTGTAATTTAGATTATCTAAAGCTAATCATGTTAATAAAATTAAAACACCAAATCTACTTTTTAGGCATTTGATTTATAAACAAACAAACAAACAAATAAATAAATAAATAAATAAGCCCAGTTGGTGTGGCTCGTGGTTAATCATCGACCTGTGAACCAGGTCATGGTTCTATTCCTGGTAAGGGCACAAGCCCAGGTTGCAGGCTCCATTCCCAATAGGGAGCCTGCAGGAGGCAGCTGATCAATGATTCTCTCTCATCATTCATGTTTCTATCTCTCCCTCCCTCTCCTTTCCTCTCTGAAATCAAAAATAAATAAATTAAAAAATAAAAGTAAGATAATTCTGCTTTTTCACCACTAATTGCTCCATTCAGCAGATCATAGTTATATTGGAAGAAAATAGTAAATGTATCATTAAATATTTAAATATAAAAGGTACTTCAATGATTTAATGGAGTTAGTCAACAATGGAGCTAAAATTCTAGATGATGAAGATCATGTTATTCAAAAACAGACTTGGCACCCTGGCCTGGTGACTCAATTAGTTGGAATGTTGTGTCCCATACACCAAAAGGTTGAAGGTTTGATCCCAGTATTCCCAGTTGGGGCCCGTGAGAGGCAACTGATAGATATTTCTCTCTTAGATCAATGTTTCTCTTTCTCTCTCCCCCTTCCTATTTTTTCTAAAAATCAATAAAAAAACAACCACCAAACATATCCTCGGGTGAGGACTGGAAAAAAAACACAACAAAAATCTTGATCAGTAACAAAATATAAATGGTGTGTGAAGAAGGTCAAGAGACTTGAAAACCTGTTCATGGTGTTTGAGAACTCTTTTTGGAAGAGCTGAGGCTTAAACTGACTCTATATGTGTGTTGAGATACTTATAAATTGCAGGAATCCAATATAAGATAGAAGCATTCAACCTTTCATACTCATAAGTATGAGGAAATTACCTGATTGTTGTGGTAGAAGTGTCTTTGCCTACTAAAAAGTGATGTGTACCCTCTCTGATTTGCTGAGCCCATGTGGGATGAAGCCATATGACATTGGAAAAATGGCCAGCATAAACTGCAGGCATAATCCAGTTCTCAATACTTAATTCTCTGGAAAAGAAACAGAGAGGAAGAATGAAAACTATTAGTGAGGGTTTTTTTTTCCAAATGTAATTTCATTCACAATAATATTTTAAGACAGCAGGTCTCAGAGCATGATCTGAGGGACCCCTGGGAGGTGCCTGAGACCTTTCTTGTGACCACTAGTTAAAAACAGTTTTCCTAAAACACTAAGGCATTATTTAGTTTTTTCATGGTATTGACATTTCCACAGGTGGTGCAAAGCAATGGTGGGTTGATGTCTTCAGATTAATCAAGGTAACAGAACCAAAATCTACTAGTAGTCATTGTATTCTTCACTACCACACACTAACGCTCTCCCCACCCCATCAAAGTCAGTTTCAGGTAAGAATGTCCTTCATGATTATAACTTGATCTTCAGTATACATTTAAAATGTGGCTTATATCTATTTTTATATCACAAAATGAGAAGTGCACAGAAAGTACTTCTGCTACATACTTTGAAGTAAGTGGTTGTCTCAAGGAAAAGCACTTTTGATTCAATTGCAGGCTAAATACCAAACTGATTAATAAACCATGGTTATTCAGACTTGAATCTGAATTGTTGGATTCTACAGTCTAGCTAAGCTTTAGGAAACTAACACTTATCAAGTGTCGGTATAATATTAAAGAATATTCACAATGATCTGAAAAGGCTATGAAAATTATCTTCCTGAATCTTTTTCATATACTTCCACCAAAACAACATATGGCAACAGACTGGATGCAGAAGCAGATATGAGAATCCATCTGTTTTCTATAAAGGCAAATATAAAAGAGATTTACAAAAATTTAAACAGTATTACTCTTCTTACTAGATTTTTTTTTTTTTTTTTGCTTTAGAAAATACATTTGTTTTTTTCCATAAAATTATTGAGCAGTGATGGTGAACCTTTTGAGCTCGGTGTGTCAGCATTTTGAAAAACCCTAACTTAACTCTGGTGCCGTGTCACATATAGAAATTTTTTGATATTTGCAACCATAGTAAAACAAAGACTTATATTTTTTATATTTATTTTATATATTTAAATGCCATTTAACAAAGAAAAATCAACCAAAAAAATGAGTTCGCGTGTCACCTCTGACACACGTGTCACAGGTTCGCCATCACTGGTATAGAGGGCTATTGTTATTTTGAAATTAATATTTTATATACATCTCAGTTTTAATTTCAAATATGGTAAATATCAATAGATATAACCCACATTAAAGAAAAAGCTCAATGATTTTTAAGAGTCTACAGGAATCCTGAGACTAAAAAGTTTAACAACTATTATTCTATGACTAACTGTACAGTCTGCATACCTGTTTCATAATTCTTTTCAATTTCTAAGACATAGAACCTCTAAATATAAAAGAGTAAGGACAATGGCAGAGCTACCATGTTTCTTTAGAAACTAGTGCTCTGAATTGGGATTTTGGAAAAAGTGAAATATAGTAGGGTAAAATTAAATCACACAAGTATCTATCTTTTAATTTTATAAATCAGAAAAATTACTGCTATGTAACTTTTTATATTGTACAAATAGGCTACATTCTAACAAATATGTACTTAAAGAGGCAGGGACAGAATTTCAGGGAACTTTCTTACAGAAGAGAAACTAATAAGTAACTATTTAGAGATACATTAGGTATGATCCTTCATGAAGAATAGAGTTACCAATTTCACTTTCATCTCAATGATTCTATATAACTGAAAATCAGCAGGATTTGTGACCTGAAAGTAACAAATTGGGAGGTTGAAAAAACTCAATACTGGAAGACAAGATATACAAATTAAATTATTGCACATTTTCTTGTGCCTCAGTTTTAAAGTGGAAAGGAAGGGAGAACTGGCTCAGATAACTTATCAAGTGTCTTCTATTTCTAAAATTCTATATTTTATAGCAGAATCTGGCAAACATTGGCTGAGCCACCTGTCTTTGTAAATAAAGTTTTACTGGAACAAAACCACAGCCATTTGTTTACATACTGTCTAGAGCTGCTTTCACACTAGGAGGGCAGGGATAAGCAGTTGCAACAAAGACCATATGGCCAGCAAGCCTAAAATATCTACTACCTGGCTCTTTATGAAAAAGTCTGTCAACACTAGCTCTAACTAAAATATAAAAGGCAAACAAAGCAAACTTATGAGCTTTAACAAAGTCTATTTCCCTTAATTCCTTATTATCTACTGCAAATGGTATTTCAAGCAAATAAACAATCATTAACAAAACCATATATTACCCAAAAAGAGTTTCCTTATCAAACACGGTGTCAGCTGGCATATTCACAGGAATAAGAAGATCTGGATGTGAATCAAAATGCACAAAACTTATATTACTGTCAGGAAGATGTTTTGAGCCAATGGCGCGGTATATGAACGGCAGAACCTGTAAAAGACGCATGCACACATTCAGAACTGGCACTGAAATCATGAGCATACACTCATCTGCAGACTGAAAAACGTTAAATGTAACTGCACGTAATCTGAAGCACACCAAGTTGTTAGCAAGCAGGAAAATATATGTCGGAAAAGGTGCTCATTGTAGATGATTTAGATAATGATCTCAAGCTTTATTTTTTCCCTCAGAACTTCCAACTTGCACCTCCAAAGGCTCTAATGGGCATCTCTGCTGTCATCTTGCCACCACAACAAACTTAACAGACAACGTGAAGAAACAAAGGAAGAAGGCTCAGAAAACACCTGCTAGTTCACACATGTTCTGGCACTAAAGATGTGTTCTCGCTACTCTGGGTCTCAGGACCCTTTCCATACTTTAGGAGGTGCAGTTGGGCTAGGCCAGTGGTCGGCAAACTGCGGCTCGCGAGCCACATGCGGCTCTTTGGCCCCTTGAGTGTGGCTCTTCCACAAAATACCGACTTCTGCGCATGGGCCACGAAGTTTCAATCACACTGTACGTGTGCGCCCGCACGTGTTATTTTGTGGAAGAGCCACACTCAAGGGGCCAAAGAGCCGCAGTTTGCTGACCACGGGGCTAGGTGGTCTATAGGGCTTGGTCCTGTTACAGTCTGTATATTTGTAGGTTTAAGACTGAATTTGACTAAGCAAAGAAAAAACCCCTCATAGACACTGACAAAGGGAAAAGGGAATGGAAGCTAGAAGAGGGTCAAGGTGGGATAAAGGACTTGGAGTGGTGAACACACAATACAATATACAGATGAAGTAGAACTGTACACCTGAAACCTATATAATTTTATTAACCAACTGGAGGCTCGGTGCACGAAATGCGTGCAGGCGGGGTGGGGGGTGTCCCTCAGCCCTGTCTGCACCCTATCCAATCCGGGACCCCTTGGGGGATGTCTGATTGCCGGTTTAAACCAGCAGTCAGATATCCCTCTCACAATCTGGGTCCGCTAGCTCCTAACCACTCACCTGCCTGCCTGCCTGATCGCCCCTAACTGCTCTCCCCTGCCAGCCTGATCGCCCCTAACCACCTCTGCCTCGGTGGACACCAAAGCTTTGTCCAGAAGGATGGTGGACCCGGTCTAATTAGCATATTACCATTTTATTAGTACAGTGGGGCCTTGACTTACGAGTGTCCCGACTAACGAGTTTTTTGAGATACCAGCTGTCTCTCGGCAGATTTTTTGCATTGAGTTGATAGAGTAATTTGAGTTAACGAGCTCCTTAACAAGCTCGGTCTAGGAACGAATTAAACTCGTAGGTCAAGGCCCCACTGTATAGATATCACTACAATGAATTGAATTAAGAAATACCCCACAATGAGTTGAGAGAGAGAGAGAGAGAGAGAGAGAGAGAGAGAGAGAGAGAAAGAAAGAAAGACTGAATTTGAAGGCACCGCCTAACCCACACTTGCTCTTTCTCTCAGGTCCACACACACAGTGTGTGTCCAGGTCCTGAGAAGCCAAACTTCCTTCCTCTCCTCTTAACTTTCTCCACCCATAAATCCGGGATCACCCCTTTCCTCTTTCATATCCAGATAATTCTCAAAGTTTATTAATGCTACTTAAAAAAAAAAGTTTCAGATCCATGGACCTCGTTTGTAGGCTTCCAGAAATCTGCGTTCAGGCACTGTTTTAGCAACTCTTCATGTATAGAAACTGTCTTTAGTGTTTAGAAACGCGGACACCGTGCTAAAAAATGTCCGTGCACACTGTGCACACAATAATACTAACGGTTCTAAGACAGTGCGCATCCTTAACAAAAAGCCTCGCACCCACACAGCAGGACTGTGCTGGCGACCAGACAGCAGGAAGCCCGCGTTAAGGTGCAGGTAAAGGTAGGGATTCCGGGCTCTGCGGTCAGGCTGCCCAGAGTTCGAATCCCGGCACCACCAGTGGTTGGCTGCGGGGTTTGGGGGCAAATCGTGCGAGTTAAATGAGTTGCCCGCGGCCGACTAAGCGCCCCAGAAACGCCAGCGCCTACTCTTCCAAGGTCCTGGGGTTCTCCCCACCGCAAGGCAACCCTCGCCGGTACCACATTCCGGTTCTGTCCGGCCTCCCAGGCCCAGGCTCCGCCGCGCCCGCTCACCTCCTGGTGATCCTCCACCACCCACACCGGGAGCTCGGGGTAGCGCCGGACGCGAGGGCCTTCTCCCGCCGCGTCGCTCATTTTTCCGCGCTCGGCTGCGTCCCGGGAGCGCGAGGACCTGCAGAAGCTGGAGAGGCGACCCCACCGCCCTCCCCCGGCGCACAGGCGCGCTCACCCGGTTGCGGTTCGGGATTGGAGGACGCCAAGGGCAGAGGGCGGGCGCCCGAGGGCCCCATGATGGCGATTGGCTTAGATGCCCAGTGCTGTCGTTGACGCGCCAATCACGGCGCACGAGGCGCGGCGGCGAGTCCCGCAGCGTCCCGCCCGAGGTCCTGCTTTTTCTCGGGTTTGCTTTTTCATTCCCTCGGTTTCCTGTTCCGGAGGCGCTGGCGGCGCCGCGATCTCGGCGGCTGCAGCGTTAGCCTGGCTCTGCTCTGACGGCGACCTCACGGCCCGGGAGCCTTTTTGCAGGTAAAAGGACCACCTTGCGGGGGTTCGAAGAGGGAGCGTTGGCGAGTGTCTGGATTTTAATGGGGCTGGAGGCCTGGGCTGCGGCCAGACGCGCCTGAAAGTTAAGCTCGGACAGCCCCTCTTCAGATCTGCAGCGCAGGGCAAGAAGGCGACCCGAGGCCCGGGTCCCCTAAGTACAAAGGAGTGACAGATGAGAGCTTTCATTCATTGCTGGGGCGCGTGCGCTGGTCCCCGCCTGGGGTCGTCCGCGTGTCGCTGGGGAGGTGGACCGTGAGCCCATCCTGGCCGGGTTGGGGTTCACAGTCTGGCGGGAGATGCAAACAGGGAAACACGCAGTTCAGCCGGAGGAAGGCGATGGGCCTGCGGGTTCATCTGGGGGGGAAAGAGGACGTCTTCATAAAAGCGTAGTCACATTTTGCAACTCTTTCTACATAGACCGATGTTCTGCACGTGTTAACTCTTCAAAACAGCTCTCTCACTTTCCCTGCTTCCAGACACCAACCTAGGAGTAGGCAGACGCAGAAAATGATTGCTTTTCCACTTGTAGCAGATTCCTTGACTTTTGAATTAAAGTTTGCATCCATAACACAGCCTGACTATACCTTTAGGAGGTCAGTTTCATAGTCAGTGTTTTCAGATGTTCTATCTATAGGAGCATCCCGGAGGATCGCATAGTGAATGTTCAGCTGTTGGACAGTGAACGAGCGTGTTTGTGATCCTGGCTGTTGCCCATTTCTAGGTCCGTGAGCACGTTCCTTTGTGTTCCCCTGTGCATACCTCTTTTCTTGTGTTTATTTGCATTGTGTTATTTTTATTTAAAAATGTGTTTGTATGTGGGTTCTGAGCTCCTTTAGGATTGCAGGCTGTGTCTTACTCATCTTTGTGTTCAGCACACAACCTGCGACAGTGCCCCACACGTATTGGCTCATTAAGTGTTGTATGAATCAGTGGAAAGGTTTTTGTCTGGTTTTAATAATGCAGATCTGTTGTGAATATATGTGAAAGGGAAATGTACAGGAGCAACATAGAGACATAATACTATTGGTGAGACAGTAAACCTTTATTCATCACCTACTGTGTGCAGGATGCTCTGCCAGGGGCTGTGAAGGATCCAGAAATGACTATGAATCAACCCATGTCCTCAAGGAGCTAATAATCTAGTGGAGAAGTTAGACATGTGCACACATGACTATACTATGAGGCATTCTCTGGTAAGTGCTATAAAAGAGGTAAGTACAGACTGAGAGGGAAGTCTGCAGGGAATGAGATGATGACTTCTTAAGGGAACCAGGGAAGGCTTCACAGAAGAGGTGACATTTGACAGAGGTAGGTGGGTAGAATTCAGTGGGCAAATTCATAGGGTTGTCGATTTCAGAAGAGCAACAGCAAAGAACAATCTGGGGGATATGATAGTATTTGGTAATTTAGGCAACTGGGAAAATCTGGAGTAATAGGTTGTCTTCAATGGGGAAGATAACGGAGATTAAGCCTGGAAGGAGTTGGGTTCAGATTGTGGAGGGCCTTAAATAGCAACCATGGAGTTTGAATTTGATTCTGTTGGCAATGAGTAGCCCGTAGTGGCAAGATCAGCTGTCCAGGCCTTAGATTTATCTTGAGGGTCTTAGTCTGAAAAATAGTCATTATTCAGATGTTATTTGGTGCCTGCTATTTATGAATCCCAGTGATTGATATAGCTAAACACCTGAAACTGTTTTTCATGAGCCATTTGAAAATCCACCTTAAGCTCATTGGTATTTAGTTAAAAGGACTTTAGGGAGGTGCTTTCACATTGAAAATTTTTGCATTTAATATTTATTTGAGATTTTTAAACATTTTTTTGAAGTTTAAGGATTTGGAAAGTCATTCACTTTCATACCATTCTTCTATGGGAAGAGTGGAGAGTGAAAATCAAGGATAACTTATCTGTACAGGATTATAGTTACGTTTGAATTTGAATGCTGGTGTCATTGTGAAAGATACTGGAGTATGGAGAGGGGGAGGAGAAATAGTTATTCTCCCCCAACCTTTTAACAAATTAGAAATGGAGCCCTAACCGATTTGGGTCAGTGGATAGAGCGTTGGCCTGTGGACTGAAGGGTCCCAGGTTCGATTCTGGTCAAGGGCATGTACCTTGGTTGCAGACACATCCCCATTAAGGGGTGTGCAGGAGGCAGCTGATCAATGTTTCTCTCTCATTGATGTTTCTAACTCTCTATCCCTCTCCCTTCCTCTCTGTAAAAAATCAATAAAATATATTTAAAAAAATTAGAGATGGAATATGCCCAAATTTCCAGTCTTTTTAGCTACTGATGGTTTTGAGTCAGCAAGACAAGTATTAAAGACATCTTAAAAGTTAGTTGTAAACTTTAATTCGGTTCAACATCCTCTTAATTTTGTTAGTATGCTAAATGCATTGGAAAATTCAAAATTAGTGTTAAAATAATTGCAGAAACATTTTCTAGCATTATCAGTGTAGGAAACTTTTTTACGTCTCTCCTATTCTTTCTGTCCTTTAGAGCTCATAGTCTCTGTGGGAGATGTGACTCTGACCCAGACAGCACCTCATGATGCAAGGCAATACATGGTGAGTGGGGTGATGGGATTGGCAGTGGTTTTGGGAGAACAGAGAGGAGCGAGCACTGTGCTGGGTCATAGACTGGGAGAATTTAGGTATGTGACGTGAGGAGGAAATGTGTTCATTTGGGCCATGTACATGGCTGGAACTCAGCCCACAGCCATTAATGAGACAACCCAGAGCCCTGCAGTGATGGAACTCACAGTTCTCAGGTGCAGGCAGACATTAAGGATGGAATTCGGTAATTGGTTGGTGGATTGTAATTCTTGTAGGACCTGCTAAGAAGAAGCACAGAGTGTGTGAGAGCAGGAAACCTAACAGGCCTGCAGGGTGTTGATAGTGATAGTAGAAGGTCCTGCAAGGGTGTTATTGTAGCAGCCAGGCCAGAGACAATGGTGTGAAGTGGATGGACTCAAGTATTTACAAAGCAAAAATGATAGGAATTTTAAGATATTTAGTTAAAAGGGGTAAAGAAGGCAAAATTGTTAGATAATTTTCTGGTGTATGACTTTAGGACTAATATGTGTCTGGTATTTTCACCATAAGCATTCATTTTTGTGGGTGACTAATTGGCTGTAAGGAAATTTTGCTGTAAAAACGATAATAACGTATGAAAGAGGGACATGATGAAACATGATAAAATGAATAACAAAATGAAAAAGACTTTCTTGTGAATACATTTAAAATGTGTATAGATTCATGGAAATATACAAGTAACTGATTTGGTTTTGTACTTAAGCATTTGTCTTCATTCTGTGGGAAATGTGGGTTCAACTCTGCCCTCAAAGAGGGTCCTCAGTCTCTCTTTCTCCTCCCATTGTAGTGTGTTTCAAAATAAGAAATGAACGCTTGGGGCAAATCATTGCCATCTGGAAGAAATGCTAGCTGTTTTCAGACCATCACCATGAAGTGTTGTGTATTGGTTTCAAATCCTCTTGTTTATGCCCTAAGTAAAGTTGTTTTGATCTAAAGGTGACTTTGCTTACATTGAGGACACTGTGCTGGGATGTTATTAAAATCTGTTGTCAATAAGCATTTAGCTATTGACGGGCACTGCTGGGGACTTATCGATAGGAGCATATGAAGGAGTGGCAAGAGTTGAACCCATATTTCTCATGGAATGAAGACAAGTGCTTGGTTAGGTACAACCTACAAAGTTAAAATAGCTCTCGATGATCTTGAGACACTTGCTGCTGCCGTGGTCAGGTTTGTGTGACCTACTCTTGACTGGCAGTGATGTTACATTGTGCAGTGGTCCCAGGAAGAGAAGGGCCGTGTGCAAACCGTGTGTAATAGTCCCTGGAGTAATAAATAACCTTTGGAGCAGTCACCTTGCCCGCCAAACACTGGTTCCGTCACCTGCTAGCTACATGCACAAGCAGCTAGGGGTGTAGGCCAGCCATTGATACCCAGCTCTTAGTTGGAAGGACTGACTCGCCAGAGAACCAACTTGTAGAAAGTACGCTGACTTTGGACTACATGTTATCATTTCTATGGAAAAGTTGCCTTGAGGCCAATGAATTGTGCAGTGAAAATGTTTGTGGCAAAGATATCTGTGGCAGAGATGATAAAGGTGAAAGTACCTAGAACCTGAATGGTATCTGTTGAGATAGGAAGTGCATAGAAATGAGCTTGTGGTGGTGTCTTGGAGGGGGAGATCATAAATACCTTTCAGGACATGTTGCATTGAATGTGCAGAGTCTATGCTGAGTGGGAAAGAAGGTGAAGACAGGAAGATGCTGGTACAGATATAGAAAACGTGGGGTATGCTGACAGGATGACATGGTGAGGTCAAGATTTTGGGGGAACTTAAGAAAGGACGTGGTAGCACATGGTTGAATAGTGGGATGTTGAATTCATCATTTGGAAGTGGAGTGTCTTTAGGGAGTGACATGGCCCAGGGAGTGACCACGGCAATGGGTTTGGTGGCTGAGACAGGGGAAGAGAAGTTTACTAGCCATGAGGACTGTCAGATATTATGGAGAACTCAGTGCTAGGTGGGTGGACTATGCCAGTGGCCTAAGGGGTCTGTTAGTTGCTCTTGAAGCTATTCAGGCATTTGTGCAACCCTGTTTCCATAGTGAGGTGTTTTTTTTCCCCTTTTCTCTTTTTCTTTCCTCCAAAAAGTCATAGAATGTCGTTCCACCCAGGACGAGGGTGTCCCCGAGGGCGAGGAGGACATGGAGCCAGACCCTCAGCACCAGCCTTCAGGCCTCAGAATTTAAGGCTGCTTCACCCGCAGCAGCCTCCTGTGCAATATCAATATGAGCCACCAAGTGCTCCTTCCACCAGCTTCTCAAACTCTCCAGCCCCCAATTTTCTGCCTCCGAGACCGGATTTTGTACCCTTCCCTCCACCCATGCCTCCATCAGCACAAGGCCCCCTTCCCCCCTGCCCCATCCGGCCCCCCTTCCCCAACCACCAGATGAGGCCCCCCTTCCCCGTACCTCCCTGTTTTCCCCCCATGCCGCCTCCGATGCCCTGTCCTAACAACCCCCCAGTCTCCGGAGCACCTCCTGGGCAGGGCACGTTCCCCTACATGATGCCCCCTCCTTCCATGCCCCATCCCCCACCCCCTCCGGTCATGCCCCAGCAGGTCAATTATCAGTACCCTCCTGGGTATTCGCACCACAATTTCCCGCCTCCCAACTTTAATAGCTTCCAGAACAGCCCCAGTTCTTTCCCACCCAGTGCTAATAACAACAGCAGCCCACATTTTAGGCATCTCCCTCCATACCCACTCCCAAAGGCTCCCAGTGAGAGGAGGTCCCCGGAAAGGCTCAAACACTATGATGATCACCGGCACCGGGATCACAGTCACGGGCGAGGGGAGAGGCATCGGTCCCTGGACCGGCGGGAGCGAGGCCGAAGTCCCGACAGGAGAAGAGCAGACAGTCGCTACAGATCCGATTATGACCGAGGGAGAACGCCATCTCGCCACCGGAGCTATGAGCGGAGCAGGTAAAACACGTGTTTTTTAATGAACTGAAGAGGCCCATACAGAGGCCGTTTCTGCTTATTGGCAAACCAAACCAGAAAGATCCTGCAATGCATTTCGATGTATAAAAGGAAATCTTATTTTGGGCTGTTTTAAAGAGGAAGGAACAACTGACAAGTAAAGAAATTGATGTCAGAAAAAGCCACTTTTGAAAAGCATTCCAAAATTATTAATGTAGATTCCTTTCAGTGGATGTAAGCTGATTACTCTGCATAATACAGTTGACATTTTAATGATGATCCAATGAAAAACCATATATTTTTTGCATTATATTTAATTATGTTCAACATGAGCATCATCTCAGATTACAGTACTTGCATTCTTTTGGAATTGATGATCTGCCTATATTACCAATTAAGAATTAAACTAGTTAATGAGCAGAACTTGCTTTCTGATTTTTAGGATAAATGGAAGTTTATTGTACATTGCTGCCTTCTTGATCTGTTTCTTTATAAAATAAGCTTATATTATCCATTATCAAAGTTATAGTTTTCAGAATAGCTTTAACCCACGTTTGTTGCACTAAAACAAGTTCATACTGAAGAAAATTGTATTTAAAAAATACTGTTCCATTCCAGGTGACATTTCCTTTTTTCAAAAGACCAAATACTGTATATACAAGAGAATAAGGTTTTCAGCAGGTGTACTGAAACGGACCCATAGATGGCGTTCTAGAAATGCTCTGAAGTTATATGCAGAATTTTATGTGTATTTTTTTTTCCCTGTAAGTAAATCAGTACCTTACACCAGAGTCTCAAGAGGTGGTGTGAGTCTGTTATCCCAAAAGTCTGAGAACTCTTGGTTTAGGTGGAAAAATAAAAACAGACAGGTAATGATTGTATTAATGCTTACTTGTACCTTCAGTGAACTCTTTATATCGATAAAGATTTGAGGTTTTCCACTTGTCAAGCTGATAACAGTGCTTCTCCCTCTGTCCCCTGTGGCGTGTTTACCTTGGTTGTCTTGTGGACCTTCTGTGCTGCACACGTTTGAGCTCAGCACACCAGTTCACTTCTCGGTGTGGGATTGTAGGGAGCTGGTCTCAGCTCCTGGGCCATTAGTGCACCTCTCGGTTTCCACATTTTTCTCATGGCTGTTGGTGTGATTCTGATTGGACATTTTGCCAGTAAGTGGTGATGTGTTGTTGCTTTTCCCTGATGCCAGTGGGAGGGTGAAGGGAATGTGTTTCCTGTGGAGATGATGGATTTGAGAGTCGGTCGTCTGTTAAGTCTTTTCAGTGTGAGTTACTATTTCTGGTCAATTTTGTTCTTAATTATTCTGTGATGGACTAGTTAGCAGAGGCCTGGGATAGTGTACTTTATAGTTTTGTTTTTTTAAATTCTTTATTGTTTAAAGTATTGCATATGTCTCCTTTTTCCGCCATTTACCTCTCCCTGGCCATTCCCACCCCTCAGTGCATGCCCTCACCCCCTCTACTGTCTGTGTCCATTTGTTATGCTTATATGCATGCATACAAGTTCTTTGGTTGATCTCTTACACCCTCCTTTCTCCCTTGCCTTCCCTTCGAGGTTTGATGGTCTGTTCGATGCTTCTCTGTCTCTGGATCTATTTTTGTTCATCAGTTTATGTTGTTGATTATATTTCATAAATGAGTGAGATCATGCGATATTTATCTTTCTTTGACTGGCTTATTTTGTGTAGCATAATGCTCTCCATGTCCATCCATTGAGAATGTCCATCTGTTGAGAATGGTAAGAGTTCTTTTTTTTTTTTTACGGCAGTGTAGTATTCCAGTAATCCACTCATCTGCTGATGGGCACTTAGGCTGTTTCCAAATCTTAGCTATTGTAAATTGTGCTGCTATGAACATAGGGGTGCATATATCCTTTCTAATTAGTGTTTCTAGTTTCTTGGGATATATTCCTAGAAGTGGGATCACTGGGTCAAATGGGAGTTCCATTTTTAACTTTTTAAGGAAACTCCATACTGTTCTCCACAGTGGCTGCATCAGTCTGCATTCCCACCATCAGTGCATGAGGGTTCCTTTTTCTCTGCATCCTCGCCAGCACTTTTCATTTGTTGATTTGTTGATGGTAGCCATTGTAACAGGTGTGAGATGGTACCATTGTCTTTTTGATTTGCATCTCTCGGATGATTAGTGACTTTAAGCATGTTTTCATATGTCTCTTGGCCTTCTGTATGTCCTCTTTCCAAAAGTGTCTATTTAGGTCCTTTGCCCATACTTTATCTATATTAATAAAAGGGTAATATGCTAATTAGACTGGGAGACCTTCCAGGAGACCTTCCAGACGTTCTTCTGGACAAAGCCATGTGGAGGGGCCGAGGTAGAGGCGGTTAGAGGCCAAGAGGGGAGGGCAGTTGTGGGTGATCAGGCTGGTGGGGGGTGGGGCTGTTGGGGGTAAGCAGACCAGCAGGGGGGCTAGTTGGCGGTAAGCAGGCCACCAGTGGGGGTCAGTTGGAGGTGATCAGGACAGTGGGGGGGGCAGTTTGGAGTGAGCAGGCCAGCAGGGGGGCAGTTAGGGGTGAGCAGGCTGGCAGGGGAGGCAGTTGGGGGCGAGCACACTGGCACGGGGGGCATTTGGGGGTGATCAAGCTGGCGGGGGAGCAGTTGGGGGCGAGCAGGCCTGCAGGCAGAGTGGTTAGGGGCAATCAGGCAGACAGGCAGGTGAGCGGTTAGGAGCCAGCAGTCCCAGATTGTGAGAGGGATGTCCAACTGCCAGTTTAGGCCCGATCCCTGCAAACCGGTAGTTGGACATCCTTCGAGGGGTCCCAGATTGGAGAGGGTGCAGGCCGGGCTGAGGAACACCCCCTCCCCCGTGCACAAATTTCGTGCACCGGGCCACTAGTAGTTTTATGATACAAATCTAAACTGGAAAGAGTTTGCTTCAGAGTTCAGTGTGATTGTTAATAATCCTGTCGCTGGGGAGGCATTTTCCTGCAAACTTCAATATTCTAGGTTGCATTTGTTTTTCTGTTTTGGACTTAAGTTAGATCTGAGTTTTTAGGGCTCTGATGTAAAATCCTAAAATTTTCCATCCAGGCTTAGATTGGAGTCATGTGTTTGAAGAAACTCAGATGTCTTGTAAACTGAGGGGTCTATCAATAAGTGAAATGAAGTGCCAAAAGCATACTGTTATCCTAAACCATAACTCCTTTACTATGAAGGACCTATTTAGGCAGTTAGCTCATCTTTCTAAATGGCTTTATTTGTATTGGAGTTGTTTTATATGATGTTGTACTTGAGATGTTTGCCCTGGAGCCACCTTAGTGTCACAGTCACATTATAACCAGCTCCCTTTGGAGTCTTCGGCAGGGAATCAGTCGCTGTCTCATATGGGATGCTTCTGTGAAATACACAGGGGGCACGTGAAGTCCCAGGGTAACTTCTGGAAGTATACTGGAGAAAACCAAAGCTTCACACATTGATGCATTAGATTGTGCTCAGTTTATGCAAATTCTGTAGCCTGTCCTCTGACCACTTCTCCCCTTACTTCTTGGGGTAAGTGAATCTGTCCCTTTTCAAGTTCCACTTTCCTTCTTTTTCTCCTCCAAAATGTGGTTGAACAGTAATTACAAGGTCGTTTTAGGCAAACTATTGCTAGAGAAAGTTTGTGAGGAAGTGAATATATGTACTTGTTAGGAAAGGTCAGGGTGGCTCTGGGGAATGGGAAGAGAAACAGCTGCTGACATGGCGCACTGACCTTGCTGGGTGCAGCGTGGTGAGGACGGTGCGTGGCTTCCCATCGTGAGTGGTGCTACAGCACAGTAACCCCATAGCTGTCCTGTTGCGTGCCGCCGACGGAGAGCTAGTGTTCTGCACCTAAGGGATACCTTAGTGCTCGCAAACAAGGACGAGTCTTGAGAACAGTAACCTTAACATTGTTTTTCTTGCTTTAAAGGTGTTCATCATATTGTGTTTTCTAAGGTGATTTATATCCAAATCGGTCTTTTCAGTTTATACCCACACAGGTAGCAGTCATCAGCAGTGCTGTTCTTGAGTGCAAAATTCTGTTGCCTAGATGTTAAAAAACCAAAAAAAAAAAAAAAAAAATTAGGAATATCTTCTAAATAGAGTTTTTATTTGGAAATATAGGTAATTTAAATTATTCTTTTTAGCAGCCATACCACTACAGATTATATCTTTGTCATGTGGTACTGCTTACATGTTGGATTAATTGCCTAAAAATAAACTGGACTTTTAGAAGGGTATCTGATAAAGTATGTAGATTCCCAAGCTCTGGCTACTTTATTTTGGATAGCTGGTGTATACCTGAGTCTTCTGTATGTGTCAAAGTACATTATTCAAAGGAGGCTTCCTTGTGGAGGGGGTGATTTAAAAAATATTTTTATTCATTTCAGAGAGAGAGAGAGAGAGAGAGAGAGAGAGAGAGAGAGAAACATTAGTGATGAGAGAGAATCATTGATCGGCTGCCTCCTGCACGTCTCACACTAAGGATCAAGCCCACAACTTGGGCATCAAGCCCGCAACTTGGGCATGTGCCCTGATTGGGAATTGAACTGTGATCTCCTGGTTCATAGGTCAACACTCAATCACTGAGCCACGCTGGCCGGGCAACGAGGGGGTGATCATTAAGTAAAAACACAATATTAGTTTTTTATATCTAAGTAGTGACCGATCTTTATCAGTTTTATGAGTCTCAGTTTCAAAGTATTTACACTTCTATTGGCTATTGGGGGATATTTTTGAGTTCAGACATTTTTATAGTCATTTGCTGTATTCAGGCTAACATGGCATTTTTTAAATTATTATTCTGAGATCAGGTGGTTAGTTTCCTTAGATTTAGTTCTGATTCAAACACACTAGAGTTCCGATTTTTGTTCCTGATCATTGTACTTATTAAATAGACTCAGAAGTTATTATTATTATTAAATTTGTCTAATTTTACATTGGAAGGTTTTAAAATCCCTCCTTCTATTTTTATATTAAACTCAGGGTCTCCATTGAGAGTTTTTTGCTGATGAAAATTGCATTTAAAGGTACAGTGATGTACAGACTCATGGCATTACTGATTGCTACAACTACAACTCAGGCTGATAACCTGTAAGGGTTCAGAACTCTTTCATCATAGAACCGAGTTCTAATGCTTACTACCAAAGCTTTGATTTACTTTTACTTGATGGCTGAAATTGAGAGTTTCCTAGAAATCAATAGGGAGTAGAATTCTGTTAAGTTTTCCCTGTAGGTTAAATAACTAAGAATTGGCTGGTTGGAAGGTCTCTAGAGAAGATTATGATGAAATTCCCTTTCTTGCTTTGCGTCAGGGTTGACTTCTTTCTGTAAAGAAAACAGCAAAAAATGTCCAAGTCAGTTAACTTCTGTAAAGTGAACAGCTCCTTTGTTCTCTAATAAATGAAGGATGAATAAAAATGTCCCATAGAGAATAATGCCTGAAAAATTCTTAGGGAAGGGCCATTGATTTAGAAGATGAATTCAGTGAAAAGAGGTGGTGTTTTTTAGTCTTTCTGTTGAAAACAGCTCTGTGTATTAATTCCTTTAAGAGAGCGGGAACGGGAGAGACCCAGGCACCGGGACAGCCGAAGATCACCATCTCTGGAAAGGTCCTACAAAAAAGAGTATAAGAGACCTGGAAGTAAGCAAGGAGTTCACGCTGAAAGAAGTCATAGGAGTATCTCCTTGAATTCAGATTTTGTGCTTATGCAAGGTATCAGCCACATCTCCAAAATAGCCCAAGAGTCTTCCAGAATGCCCTGTGGAAAGCTAAAGCAGCCACTGACTTAAAAACTTTACTTTCAAGATGTATTGATTATGCACAAGGGTAATCTTGATAAATTAGAAATCATATGGGCCACTTTTTCTGACGTCAATTGCTATAAAACTATGCATTAATAATGCAAAGTTTTTTAAAAAAACTACACCGTGGAAATTCATAATTATGTTTTTAAATTTACTTGTTACAGAAAAAAGCAAAACTCCAGTCACACTTTATTTAGAAAAATGGGATTGAGATGTTATAAACTAAAACTTGCAGAATGTAATTAATTCTATACAGAGAAGTAAAATGCATGGTCTTATATAATGGTAATTAAGAATAACACTGGGGTCTGACAGATTTGGGATCAATTATTACTTCTCCCAACTATGTTACTGAATTGATTTATCTTTTTAAGCTTCAATATCTATCTGAAGTAAGGATACTTATAAATGCCTTGAGTGGTGGGGGTCTTTGAGATAATACATGTAAACACTAGAACTGGACCCAAAATTAATGCCAAATAAATGCTAACTGTGTATTTATATAATTATTGCCTGATCATTTGGCTCTAGAAATTGGTAGAGTACAAGAAAAGTAGAAAAAAGGATCTATATACATAAAAGCCCAGAGACCAGAACAGCAGAACGACCAGAACAACCAGAACGACCGGTGGCTATGATGCGCACTGTGGCAGCCAACCAGCCTGATCTGGGCCCTGCCCATGGCCCCTCCCCCAAGCCTGCCCTGCCCCCTATTGGCCCTCCCCACCCCGACCAGGGGTGGGGCGGCTGGACCCCACCTGTGCACGAATTCATGCACCGGGCCTCTAGTTTAAAGATAAAAGAGATTAATGAAATAGAAAACAGAACTGTAGCACTATAACTATTTGTAAACAGATGCAAGACTTTGAAAGGTCATACAATTTAAAAAGTGGCAAATCAAGAAAAGAAATACACACATTGCATTAGGTAAGAGAGAATATATCATGATAGGAATAAAGGAGATTTAAAATTTACAACACATTGACATAAGTTAGAAGCTTTATTTAAAAACTTTAGAAACATGGATGTGATGGGTTGATTTCTATGAAAACAAAAATTACAAACTTCACACAAGAAGCAGAAAATTTTAATAGGCCAATAACTATGAAAAACATTGAAAGAATGGAATTTGTACCACCTACTAACAAGTTTTAAACTGTTCTAGAACTCCGAAGAAGATGGAAAGAAAGCTCAGTTCAGGCTGTGATATCAGGAAAACCCAGATGGCAAAACCTAACCAATGAAAAGAAAACTAAAACACAGTCTCGCCTATAAATATGGACATGAAAATCTGAGTAGTACATTAGCAAGTTGTTTCCAGTAGTGTGTTAAAGTAACTGAGAATGTATTCTGAGATTGCATGGATAGATGGGTTAGTATTAGGAAATCTGTAACTAAATTTTTGTGTCCTAATCAATAGATTTTTTTCAGTACCTGCCTATTAGATATTTCAAATACAATTAGCATCGATTATGAGTATAGACTTTGGTAAACTAGGAATATAAGCAGACTTCTTTAACATGATAGAGGACGTTATTTCATGATGAACATTGTCGTCACCATCTCAAAATAACCTTACAGGCTTATTGAAACCTTACAGGCTTTCCCATACAAGTTAGAAAAAAGGCAGGGCTCCATTGCCTATCGCTGTTGCCTAACATTGTATAACTTAATCCACAAGCCAATGAAATACTTACATTACTGTGTCTCCCGGGTATTGTACTGGTGCAGGTGATATAGTTGTTAACAACAGATCCCACTTTACAGGAATCAGAAGGTTAAGTGCTGAGAGAAATGCTTTTTATAGATCAAGTACATGTTGCTCTGGGAATGCAGTGGTGAAAAACTTAGTCTAGGGTAGTCATAGAGAGATGGGCATTTTACTGATACCTAAAGTATGCGTAGGGATGTACTATGAAAGGGGGAAGAGAAAAGAGCATGTGTGAAGGTCACAGTGTCGAGAAATGCTCTCTGAAGGTCAAGCCTGGAATGAATGACTTTAGAAGGTGTTTGTAGTAATTCAGAAAGAAATAATTGTGCCTAGACCTGGGTAATGACAGTAGCAGTGGGGAGTGGTAGAGGTATTTTTGAGATAGAGTCAGTAGGACTTGGTAACTGATCCTGGGGGAAGAAGACTCAGTGAGATCTGATGTTCCCCATTGAGGGTGGGGAATACTAAGAAAGGCAAGAGGATGAGTTCAGTCCTGGGTATATGTAGTTGAGAATTTGTGAGACAACCAAATGGAATTGTGTGGTAGTAAATTGGATATATAGGTGTAAAATTCAGAAAAGAGATCCCAGTTGGAAAAACTACTTGCCATGGATTAAATGAGTTTAACCAGGAAGAGTTTGTTCGTTGAGAAAGGCCCTGCGGAGCAGATGAGGGAGGAGATAAAGGTAGAAAAAAGCCAAGATATTGTGTTGGTGGAAACCATTGGGGACCCATTTGAGGTTGATGATTTTTAGTGTCGAGTATGGAAATCTCTTCAGTCTAGTGGTTTCTTCTCCAGTGCCCAGAAACTTGTGGAGACAACAGACATGGATTCTTTGAGTTCTCACCAATGCAGTAGGTGAGAAAAAAAGTAGAGATGTAAATACTGTAAAGGAGGAAAAGTTATCATAGTTTGTAATAAAATATATTGTTAAGAAACAATTTCAAATTTGGATTTTGAAATTTGGAATGCCTCAGACACCTAAAAAAGATGTCCTATTAAAAAAGAAAAGAAAAACGTGTCCTAATTGATGTTTATAGTAGTCAACCCTGACCATCCATCATCCAGTATACCTGCCTAAAGGGGAGGGGATGAGGCTGCCTTTTACCTGTGTTTCCTGATCATAGTAAACATTTGGCAGGATTTTTAATACATGTCAAAATGTCTGTGCCAAGCAACCATATTAGCATTTACTACTTACTAGCTTTGTGATATTGGACAAGTGACATAATTCCTAATTCTGTTTCCTCTGGAGGGATGTGCATATCTGCCTCTTAGCTTTCTTGTAAGGATTAAATGTGAGTGTCAGTAAAGTGCTTAGCAGAGTGTCAGGCTCACAGGAAGCACCTAAAACAAACAGAACCACACGATCGGGAGTTACGTTGCCATTATTAGCTATTGGTGTATCAGGAAAATTCAAGTGGATCAGTGAAGAAACAATGAAGATTAACCCACTGAAGTTGACAGTTATTTATAAAATACTGAAATTAATAGCCTTCCTACATAAACCAGGAAAACCTACTTAGAAAGTAATGAAAAAAATGTAGATTCACTATAGAAACTTATACTAATTAAAATTCAATATCTTAATAAAACTTTAAAAAATATATAGAACAATGGGAAGGAAACATAAGTAGCTGATGACAAAGAGGTAATATAAAAGAGTGGAGGATATGCCATATTTCCATAGTGGAGGTAGAAGAATACCAGTTTTCTTCAAAATCTGTAATTTTAATGTAACCAGTTGAAGTATGGGCTTTAGAACTTTATGAGTCACTAGAGGCCCAATGCACGAAATTCGTGCAAGAGTAGGCCTTTCTTCCCTCGGCTGACAGCACCGGCTTCCCTCTGGCACCCGGGACCTGGGCTTCCCTCGCAGCCCCTACTTCGTCTGGAAGGACGTCCGGTCAAATTAGCATATTATGCTTTTATTATTATAGATTATTTGGAATAGAAATGAGAATAAGGAAAAAAATGAGAATGTAGTATTAAATGTCCTATAAACACATAAGCGTTAAAACAATTTGATGTGGATGTAAATAGATCAATGAAACTAATACTGAGCAACAGTTAAGTATATATAAACATTTACATCTATCATAAAATTGTTTTTTCAAATCAGAGGAAAAACTGATGGGACAATTGGCAAGCCATTTGGAGGGAAAAACTGAAATTTATGCCATATATCATAAAAGGATGAAGTTAAAAAATTAAGTGTTATAAGTAACTGAAGAAAATATAAAATATTTACTTAACCTTGAGATGGGAAAGGATTGTAAGCATAACACTAAGGAGGAAGCATAAGTTTAAAAGTCTCTAGATTTGGCCAAATGAAAGTTATAGGTAGCAATAGGCAGTTGGAATTTAAAAGGAAAACAAAAAACTGAGAAAGGTTACAATACATAAGACAGAAGAATGGTGATAATCTTAATAAAAAAGTCAATAAATAAAAGGACTACAATCCTAATTTTAAAAATATTGTCAAAGCATATGACTGGGCGGTTCATGAAAGAAGTGAACAAATAATGTGTAATTTTAGTAGTGATAAAAATTAGCAAGTTAGGTTTAATGAGATACTTTTTTCATCAGAATGGCAAGATTAAAAACAATCATGTTGACAGGGTGTGTGGAAATGGGAACTCAATACGGTGTTGATGGTGGTCTAACCTGGTACTATCTACCTGTAGAGAAGCCTTGAGAAAAGTGCACACACACTCTTAGTGTGAAGCAATCTGACAAGTGTGCAGAGAACACAAGTGTAAGTGTGCAGAGAACACAAGTGTGTTCATGGTAGCATTGTTTACAATGGCAAAAAAATGGTAACAACCTAAATGATTGTACTCAGATTTGTTAAATTATGGTATATGCATATGAAATAATAATATGCATTTATTAAGTGGTTCAGATGTAGATGTATTGAAATAGAAAGGCTTTGATTTACCAATGGGTGAGAAGGACAGGCTATAGAGTAGCGGTCGCCCACCGGTGGTCCGCGGACCACTGGTGGTTGGTGAGGTCTGAAAAGTTGGCAACCGCTGCTATATATAGAGGTCTTTTTTGGTTGAAGCTTGTGTATATTTATATATATTCTTATATCTATACGTTTTAACACAATAGTGAAATATGGTGGTTATCTCTGTGTGGTAGAATGGGTGATTTTAATTTTGTTAATGCTTAATTTTTTTCTTACAGTGAACAAATGTACATTTTCCTTTGCAGTAACTTTTTTCTTCTGGTAACAAATGATGTGCATTATAATATTTAGAAGTTATATTAGTAAGTTCAGTATATATTATCTTTCTAATCACCCACCTCTTCCCCCGATGAATACACACCTACATGCTCACACTTTCCCTGTCATAAAATTAGAAGTTAGTGGTAGGGTTGATGGAATCTATCCTGTAGGTTCTCCCTTCAAGCACATCCGTAAGTTGGGTCTTTGAAAAATTTAAACCTCAGAAATTCAAGGAGATAACGCTCACAGAACAGGTCTCACCTAAATTTCTGGGGCTTAAATTAAAATCTAAGTGGTGATTCATGAAGTAGTAATACCCATGTGTGGGATTCCGGAGAGACGGTTAGGGATGATGTAACTGGTTCACTTTTAGATTATGGTCCTCAGGCTAACATTATTCCAAGTTCAGACCATGTTTTGCGAAACCTTTTTTCCCTCAGCAGAGCAGGATGTGGAGGACTCAGAACTAGCGTTCTCATGTGGAACTGCCTGTATGTAGACATTTCCAGATATTCCCCAAGTATCTTTCTCTTCTAGGAGTTACGGTTTGCCAGTTGTTCCTGAACCTGCTGGATGCACACCAGAATTACCTGGGGAGATTATTAAAAATACAGATTCTTGGGCCCCACCCCCGGAGACTGTGAATCAGTAAGTAGATCTGGGGTAGGGCCTGGGGATTTGTATTTTTAAACAAGTCACTTCAGGTGATTCTGATGCCACCAGACTGGTGTTTGGGGTTCGCTGGTTTAACAAAAAGTAAATGTGGTGGTTTGGCATGGCATTTTTATTTTATGTGAAAAGTGAACAAAGTGAAGTAGAATAGTTTTACAGCAGATAAAGCAGAAGAACCTTTTTAATAATTAGCCTCCTTCACCCCCTTTTGAAGTCGCTCCCCCAGTAGGGAGAAGAAGAGAGCTCGTTGGGAGGAAGAAAAAGACAGATGGAGTGACAGCCAGAGCTCTGGCAAAGAAAAGAATTATACCTCCATCAAGGAAAAGGAGCTGGAGGAGGCGCCGCCCGACAAGAATGAGGAGGAGGAGGAGGAGCTCCTTAAGCCTGTGTGGATTCGGTGTACCCACTCGGAAAACTACTACTCCAGTGACCCCATGGATCAGGTGGTAGGTCTGAGGCAGCAGAGAAGCTACAGACTGGCATCTAAACCCTGGCACTATGGGCATTTTGTGCTGGATAGTTCTTTTTGGTGGGGCCTGCCCTGTGCATTGTGGGATTTTGAGCAGCATCTTTGGGCTCCACACTAGATGCCAGTAGAACCGCTCCCCAGTTGTGTTAACCAAAGCTGTCTTTAGACATTGCCCATCTCATCTGTAACATTTTCACACCTGCAAAGTCCTTTCTGCCATGTAAGGTAACATGTTCAGTTTCTGGGGATTAAAACGGGGACATCTTTGGGGATGGGGGTATTGTGGCTCAGCCCACCTACCCTGAGATGAGGAGGTCTCTGCCCCAAATCTGAAGGAAATCATGGTTTTATTAGCAAGGAAGAAGGGGACAGTGGCTGCCATAGGGATTATTCTTAAAAGAAAACAACAAAGTTGTAGGCACTGAGGTTCAGAGAGTTTAAACAGGCAGAACTTTTATTTTTTCTTACATTTTTTATGGGTGTGTTAAAACTCCAGCATAGAACGATGGCTGATGGACCAGGAGCCCAGCATTTGCCTTTGCATCTTGTCATCTGGTGCAGTGAGGTATTGAGAATGTCAGTGTGGTCTCAGCATCACCAGTGTCAGTAATGAGGAGGGACTGAGGAAAAGCAATTACCCCCTTTTGGGTATACTGCAGATTGTAGGATTTGTTTTAATTTTCTTTTTACGTCTGAAAGGTCTGGTTCTTACATTTTGAAAATTATGTCAAACAGTATGGACCTTTAAGATGATTTTCAGCCTGGGAAGAGAGTAGGGAAAAGTGGAAAACTTCCTCTAGGATTGTAGTACAGAACCCTGTGTTTGTGGTTTGTGGAGAGTGAGTGTGTGTGTGTGTGTGTGTGTGTGTGTGTGTGTGTGTGTGTCTCCGTGTATATGGGTGTATGTGTGGGATATATAGGATATTTCTCTTTGATCATCGGATTAATGTGGAAGACAGACTTTCAGGTATTATGAAATCAGGGGGTCATGATTTTCTTTGTCATTTCAAAAAGGCAAAGACAAACAGTCCTCATGTTTGTGAATGTTGGCAGAGTGCCCCCTCATGTGACAGCATGGATGTGTGTTTGATTCACAATTCTCAGCATTGGGTGTTTTTACCTATTTGTTAAATTGCGGGTTGAAAATGGCATGTTGCTGTTACAAATCTTTGATTATTTGTGAGGTCTTACATTTCTTTGGAAAGACTATTTTTTTAATATAGATTCTAATACTGATTTTTTAAAACATAGATTCTAAAACTGATCCTTTATTTTTCAAAGGGGGATTCTACTGTAGTTGGAACAAGTAGGCTCCGAGACTTATATGACAAATTTGAGGAAGAGCTGGGGAACCGGCAAGAAAAGGCCAAAGCCGCTAGGCCCCCGTGGGAGCCTCCCAAGACAAAGCTGGATGAAGATTTAGGTGAGTCAGCAGCTACCAGACCAGACCCTGTGCTTTTATTACTGCTTCATCCAGGACCTTTGGGATGTGTCCTTGGGCATCCTAGATTAAATTCCTCCCTCTCATTTTATTTTATTTTATTTATTTATTTTTTATTTTTATTTTTTAAAATATATTTTTATTGATTTCAGAGAGGAGAGAGAGGGAAAGAGAAATAGAAACATCAATGATGAGAGAGAATCATTGATCTGCTGCCTCCTGCATGCCCCACACTGGGGATTGAGGACCGCAACCCGGGCACGTGCCCTTGACCAGAATCAAACCTGGCACCCTTCAGTCCGCAGGCCGATGCTCTATCCACTGAGCCAAACCAGCTAGGGCTCATTTTATTTTCCTTAAATATAGTCAGCAAAATACATAGCAATGGAACTTTCTTCTTTTTGAAGTTAGTTTTTCCCAGTCACATGCAGCAGAATACATAAGAGATCTCATTTGCAAGGCACACTAATAATTGTGTCCCTTGTAGAACTGTCTAGTATTAGAATCAGAGGGACCATATAGTCCAGCCTCCCACTAATCGAGGGGGCCTGTTCTCAGTTCCTGGTGCCTCTGACAGGCAGGCCTCCCCTCGGGGCCCTGCCCACTGCCAGCTGCTCCTGAGTTGATGAGCAAGTGCAGCTGTAGCCCAGCTCTGTTGGAAGGCATCTCTCTACTCGCAGAGACACTTTCCAGAGCTTTCTCATATGGGGTCTATTTTATCAAGTGTCTGAGGTTCCAAGTAGATGCTGAGATCTTTGAGGATAGAAATGCTTTTTGCCACTTTGTGTCCTTGGCCCTTAACAGAATGCCATGCTCAGCTGAGATATTCCTTATGCGTTTTCCTTTGTTCTCTGGCTCTCTGTGCCACCTTCACTGTGTCTCCCAGGCTGAGACGCAGTGTCCATGGTGGGTAAAAGCACTCACTGACCCGGCTGGCCTGGGTTCGAGTCCCTTCTCCTCCATCTGACATGCGACCTTCAGCAAGTGATTGAACTCTCTCTGCCTCCCTTTTGTCATCTGTAAAAAAGGGATGACATCGGTCTCATGGTGTACACTTGAAAATACAACTGTGTAGGGGTTGGGTTATGTTTTTAAAAAAATATTTTTATTGATTTCAGAGAGAGGAAGGGAGAGGGAGAGAGAGATAGAAACATCAATGATGGGAGAGAATCATTGGCCAGCTGCCTCCTTCATGCCCCCCCACCAGGGATCGAGCCTGCAACCCGGGCATGTGCCCTGACTAGGAATCTTAACGGTGACCTCCTGCTTCATAGGTTGACGCTCAACTATTGAGCCACACTGCCTGGGTGGGGTTGGGTTTTATTACTGTGCATTAATCTTTTGTAGGATTAATCTAAATTCTAGATCTGTTTTTTAATTGTGCTAAAATACACATAGCACAAAATCATTTTTAAGTACCGTTCAGTAGTGTTAAGTACATTTCACATATCTCCAGACTCCTTTTATCCTGCTAATCTGAAACTATTCCCATTAAACAGCAACTCCCATCTCCCTCCACCAGCCCCTGGCACTGACCATTCTACTTTCTCTCTATGAATCTGACTACTCTGGGCACCTCCTATAAGAAAAATCACACAGTGTTTGTCTTTTTGGACTGGCGCACTTAGCATAATCCTGGGTCTGTTTTTATCCAGTCACTTTCAGAGTCTAAAATCTTTTATTACTACTATTGAGAGAAACATTTAAACTCGAGACTGGCATTCAGAGCCATCAGTCTGGCAGTCACGACCCTTCAACCCTCACCCCCAGGATGTTGCTGCGGGGCCTTTGCTGCAGCCTGTGTCCCGTGCTGTCGCCTCCATGCTTTTGCGTGCAGTGTTCCCTCTGTTCCTTTCCTCTTGCTGCCTCCTCCTCAGCCACCCACCCCACCTCCCTGCCTGGGTGGTGTGCACCCGTTCCAGAAAACCGCGGGTGACCTTTCCAGATCAGGGACTTGCTCTTGTCTGAATTGCTGCACCTTTTAAAATATGTAACCCCGTGCTACTGTGGCTTGCATATTCTCCGGCACCAAGCCTTTCTCTGTAAAAATCTTTGTTTGCTTTCCCAGCGAGATCGTGACTTAGCATTATGGGCTGTATGACTTTTCATGGTATTGCTGAGCAGAGTGCTTGGCACTCAAATATTTGCTGAAAGGATAAACAACTGTCCTTGCATTGAGAGGTTTGGGTCATTGGGAAGTCTCCGAGTGTAACCATCTTGTGAATTTCTTCAGCCTCTCTCCGTGTTTGCCCCTCACCTCTGTTAGAAAGTTCCAGTGAATCCGAATGTGAGTCTGATGAGGACAGCACCTGTTCTAGCAGCTCCGACTCTGAAGTTTTTGACGTCATAGCAGAAATTAAACGCAAAAAGGCCCATCCCGACCGGCTTCACGATGAACTCTGGTACAATGACCCAGGCCAGGTGCGCATGTGTTTTATGTTCTTGCTGGGAAGGGTGCAAACCACACGTCACATTTATGACTCCAGGTCCAGAAGATGCATGTCGGCTGGTAGCGAAACTGAATTTTCCTCTGGGCGCTGTGAGCCATTCTTCAGAGCTCATTTCCTCCAGCTTCAGAGTGCGGCTCCAAAGCATAAGCACCAGAGCAACTGTGCCTTGAATCATTTTTGACGACGTTGGTAAATCCTGGGTTAGGGAACCGGATAATGGCGCTGCCTCATTAAACTTGCAGTAAACGGAAGGAGACAAACGGTAGAGTGAGGGCGAGAGGACTTGTAGGTCTTTTTAAAAGTAGTTCGTCTGGAAGGCATCTTACAGCAATATAATACACAATGTCTTCAGTCCTATAAAACTTCATATTTCTTAGTAATAGTCACAGTTCCATGGAAGCTCCCTTCCTTGTTAAGTATGTTTGAGCTAATGATGTCGTCGCTGGACATATTTTTATTTCTACTTAGGGTTTTCTTATGAAGTACTACATAATACAAAATAGTATCTTTATAAGAGATTGGTATTTTACAAATATACAATGCAAGAAAAATAGCATCTAATGCATATAAAGTTATTAAGCGTAATAAAACACATACCTATAAAAAGATAATTTACAATTGAAATAAATTCATACCATTCTATATTGAATGTTCTTTGGGCTCTTATTAGAGGATGGCTAACTAAACTGTCTTTCTCAATAGAATTCATATAGTTAGAATGCCCAACAGAAACGCACTTTGTGGTCCCTTTTGCTCTCTTGGAATTGAGCAGAAATGTTTGCAGTTGTCAATGCATTTGAAACTTACTTTGATATATTAATCATGCATATGATCTCTTAAATAGCTTCAATGAGTTTTAATTTACTTACCGTATAGATTACACACTTAAAGTGCACAATTCAATGTTTTTTAGGATATTCACAGGACTGTACAGCCATCATCACAATCCAATTTTAGAGCATTTTCATCTCCCCTGGAAGAAATCCTGTGTCCATCAGTAGTCACTCCTCTGCCCCCCAGTGTGTGTGTTTTTTTAATGGCCTATTCTCCTGTCCAGAGCCTGCCCCTTGGTTTCTGAGGGTTCTTAGTCCATCAGAGCACCCTGTGCAGCCTCACCATTCTGTTCACTAGATCTGGTGTTGTGTCCTAGGTACGGCCGAGCCTTAAAAGGGCTGATCTGCGTCAGGGCCCAGCCGCTGGTAGAGGCAGGAATGTGGGGTGTCTGTCTGCTCCCTTGAAAATCAGTGAGCACGAGGTGATCTTCCACATTTTCCCTCATGAGTTGTGACCATCACTGGGCGTGTGCTGTGTCTCTTGAGGGCACCCCATCACATCTCTGTTTGCCAGCTGTTACTTGGGATAATTACCCGATCTTTTTTAAGGTAACAATGTTATTTCTCTGATGTACCACCTGGAGCTTTAGATTTCCCAAAAAGATAAAGAAAGTTATAGTTTTTCACTTTAATATTTTTTTTCAAAGTTGTATTGAGATATTGTCATTGGACACAATGAGTCACAAATCCCTAGACCTTTAAGAAATATGTGTATGTGTAAATATATATGTTATAATGTGTTATGTGTGTGTGTGTGTGTGTGTGTGTGTGTATGTATTAATACAAAGAGAGCGAGAAATGGAATTCAGCTTCCTTATTCTCCAAACTGATGCTCTGGTCTCCTTTTGATTCCGTGTTGCCATTTATGTTGAATAAAGTCATGAGATGACTCTTAAGAACCTTTAAGATTTAAACCTCAGTTCTGCTTGTTTGGTCTTCTTGCTCACATAAATGACCCATTCCATCGAGGTGGCTGTCATGTCCCGAGAGCATCACCTTGGGTTTCTTCCTTCGCTTTGTTCCTCATGCTGGTGCCTCAAGTAGCATAACCATCTGCTTTTCCTGTCCTGTTCGGCTGTTCAGATAGTTCGTCTCTTTGAAGCCAGTGGTATCTCCATCTGCACTGACAATTTTTCCGTTTTCTTTAAAATTACTAAGCATATTATATGTATGCGATTTCTTACCTAGAATAAATATTCCTTGAGTACAGGGACCCTGAGCTATTTATCACTCTCCCCTCCCCAGTGCTTAGCAGTCATCTTTCCACCCAAGCGTCACTCAGGCATTCTGCCCTTATTGAATCCTGCGGGTAGAGTCCAGGGCAGTGAAATGAATTCAGGTGAAAAACCAGACATCGGCTTACCTGCTTAGTGCTGAACGTTTTCCTGGTTCTAGCAGGCATTTTCTTCTCTATGCTTCAGATACCTTTATGTTTCTCTTTTGAAAACATTTAATCTGGTTACCTTCAAAGCATTTTATGTGCTTCAAAGTATATAAAATATGCTTTTCTTTTGTGAAGAGCCATTTTTCCTGAAATAAGAAATAGAAGGAACATACTGAAAAGTGGTCGGAGAAGATGGGGGCGAGCAGTGCGCGGACACTGATATTTTCTGCTTGGCTGCACAGATCACTGGGGGATCAAGCGTTGCCTTACAGTCTCCTTTTACCAGACAGTGTGGACAGTGTGCAGCTTTATTGGTTTTGGATCATCCGTGTAATTTTCTAACTGTGACAGCCTCTTCAGAGCTTCAGGACTCCTGATGTTAAAACCCACATAATTCCATGGAACATCAGCTTGCATGGGGGGGACGTGCCCCCAATAAAACTAATTCCTTTCTGTCTCTGACAGATGAATGATGGTCCACTCTGCAAATGCAGCGCAAAAGCCAGACGCACAGGAATTAGACACAGCATCTATCCCGGAGAAGAGGTAACGGCTTTGGGTTGTTACATTTGTATGCACCGAGAAGCCAGCAGTAGACTATTCTTTCCCCTGTAAATGAAACAAGACCATTGAAAAGCCTTTTCATATTCCCCAATAGTCTCCGGTGATAATTGGAGAAGAAAAGTACTTGGGTTTGGATTTGGAGTGGGGAATATCATCAAGGAAACCATCAAATAGGCCAAGTGTCTTTGAGTTGGTTTTTATTCTTTTAAAACTGTACCTGGTGTAATATTTTTTCTATGTTCTTATCACAATTGGCTCTGAAGTACCCCGGAGAAACGATCTCTCTAAAGTGTATAAGGTACATGTCCGCTTTCCTTGGGGGGCGTGGGAATGCTGTTGTATGTGTTCACCTGTGTTCCCACTACCCTGAGTAGCACATGGACTGTTCTAGTGCTGTGCCCCAGCCCTGGTCCATCAGGGACACTCCAAATATGCTTGACTGATTAAGTTGAATACTTTTAGGCAGTTTCATCAATTCCAGATACATTTGGGGACCAGGGCAATGACCACTGGGTGGATTTGTAAACAGAGTGGACCTATTGTAAGCCGGACCTCGGTGAAGGTTTTGTTTGCTACCTTGGCCTCATGTCCCCCACTCTACGGGGGAATGAGGACAGTCATTCAGTGTCTGAGAATTAGTGTTGATTCAGATGCTGTGTCAGCATCTGAACTGTCAGGATTTCCTCTTTCCCTAGTCTACTGTTACTTGGGTAAATGGCCATAGGTTCTTTGGGGAAGGACAGTGTTGTCATGAACATTTTTGTTTGTAATGGTGTTGCAAGGCTTCCTGGGAACTGGCCACCTCTTTCGTCAATGGATATCAGTTCAAAAACTTGATCAGGTCTGGAACTGGGCAAGGGAACATGACTTATTGGAGCAACCTCCCTTTAGCCACTTGGTTATCACTCTTGATTTCTTCTGTTGGTACAAACTAAGTTGGTATTCTTGTCAGCTTCCCATCTATTTTGTGCCCAAGGACACCATGTTCTGTCGACTCTTGCATGACTGTGTGTCAGATTCCCTGGGCTGCCCCTTCGATCTTGCTGGCCCTAATGATAATTGTGTGACCTAGCTTGTAACAGCCCCATCGTCTGTCTGGCCTCCCTTGTTTCAGAGTCCTTTCATATGGTTGCTGTCAGCAAGCTGTGCTCTGTGACAGCCTCTCTAGTCAGCCCTGGAGAAGGCCCAGACACTCTCAGACACTGAATGACTGTCTGAATGACAGAAGGCCACCCCTGAACCAGCACATTCCTTTTGATCCTGGTAGCTGTCCTGTCCTCTGTACTTCCCATAGAATATGATTATCTGGTATATTTTTTCAGTCATAGCTATTATGTCCATTCCAATGTGCCCACTTCTTTGAATCTTTGGATTTCTTCCTCCTCTGTCCATCATGACAGTTTTGGTATTTTGACTGTACTCTGTGTGGGCCATCACTTTTTCATGCTTTTGGGAGACACCCTAGAAAGGGGTTGCCAGCATCTCCTGGCATCCTGGCATCCCGAATGCTCCCAAGTCAGTAAAGTCTTCCTTAACCAGTTGTGTGTTCTGGCCCTTTTGGTCAGGCACTCTCAGCCTCCGGTCCTGTGCAGACTCCTGCTGGCACACGCTGGCTAGTGCTTACAGGCCCTCTGGGCATAAACTCCTCCCAGCACCTCCCCAGCTAGGCTATGCCGGGGAAATGACCCTAATTATAGGTCTGTCAGCCAGGAGGGGAGACTGATTCGGTACTGGAGTGGGGATGTTTTCTGGTCCCTGACTTTGGCATAGCAGACCTATCTTGGTTGGCTGTTAATTGTCTTTTAGGTCCACCCACTCTGACTTTGATAAGCCCTGGGCTTGGTCCTGATTTGCTCTGACCTCTCACTGCAGGTGAGAGCTTCTTTGTGTGTCCCAGCACACCCTCTAGTTTTCCCATCTGGCTTTCAGTTTCCTTTCTCCTCTGCTGTTCACTTCTATAGAGCAGGGGTGGGGGACGTCCAGCCTGTGGATCTTATGATGCCTATGAAATCATTTGGTCTGGCCCTGCCAAGGCATTAGGGGTGAGTTAATGAAATGTTTGACCAAGTATAGCAGGCTAATGTTTAAGTTGATAATCTTGTATGGCCCGAGAATGATGTTATAAGTATCTAAATGACCCTTGGCAGAAAATAAGTTCCCATCCCTGCTGTAGATTAATTCATATACCTGGGAACTTGTTAGAAATGTAGGTTCTCAGCTGCTTCAGCTTCTGAGTCCAACTCTGGAGATGGGGAGCAAGCAGTCTGAGATTTAGCAAGCCCTTCAGGTGCTTTCACTAAAGTTTGAGGAGTATGGTAGAGTAGCCATCTATCCATTGTCCTTAGAGCTACTATTCTCTCATAGTCTTAAACACCTGCTTCCATTGGTGCAGCCTCCCATTTCATCGTCTTTGAAAGTTTCAGTAGGTGTGCCATCCGGTGCCAGGGGCTGTGTGCTCCACCTACCCCCATGATGGGGTCTTTATTGCCAGTTGCAGGGTAAGTGATTTCTCTCCCAAACCCCATCTTATCTCTCCTGCTTTTTTGGGTCACTCTTGGTACCAACTGTCCCACACTGGATTTTCCAGAAGCAGATGCTAAGATGGAGTTTGGGGCGCATGATGTTTCTTTGAAAGGAAGAAGGTATAAGCAGGATTGGACAGAGGGATTAATCAAACTATGAGTCAGCCCCAACAAAGCCCCATCAGCCGAGGAATGAGTATTGTCCATTGACTTGGGCTTCGCTGACTGGGCCTTCATACTTCTCTCCACAGTGGGCAGCGGTCCTTCCGTGCATGGTCTGGGGCACGCCTCTCTGTGTCTGTCACGGCACACCCACGGTTCAGTCCACTGATGCTTCTTTTGCTCGCTGTCAGTTTTCCTTTTCCTGACTTAAGCTCCATGATATCCTGTCCCACCACCTCTCACGCTTCTTCATTTCTGGTCCCTCCTGTTTTCACCAGCATGTTTAATCTTTTCACTATCTCCCCCACCCCCATTAAAACCTGCTAATCCCCCGGAGGTGATTTTTCCTGCCCCTTTTTTTCAGTTTATTGGGAGTTTAGCCAAAGTTCAATTATTGTGTTATTTTACCAAAAAAAGAATATAAATTTAGATCTATAAAGATCTTTATGTTGTCTCAAACTGTCCTATTGCACATGAAGAAATGAATTGAATACAGCCAGCCCTTTTTTATTCGTCTAATTAACGGTAGAGTGAATACTATTCTTTCCTGCTAGCCGGTGAAGGAACCTCTGTAGTTAGACATGCAGCTAGAAAATACAGTCTAATTTAAATAAAAATACTTTGCTTATTTACTTTCAATATCACTTATGTTCTTTCTCTCAGGCCATCAAGCCCTGTCGTCCTATGACCAACAATGCTGGCAGACTTTTCCACTATCGAATTACAGTCTCCCCTCCTACAAACTTCTTAGTAAGTTCCTTACAAAATCAGATTTCATTTATTTTAAAATGTAAATAGGTTGAATGTGTGTAACTAGGTTAAAATGTGAATAGACTAAATATTGATTCAGTTCTTAAATGTTCTTTCTTTTAAAATATCCTATTTCTATGTTGATAAAATTGGCCTTCATCATAATGACGTTTATTTTTACCTTTTTACCAGATTATTTTTGGTACTTTTTTTCATTTATATTGTTGGTACCACATAATAGTCAAAAAATTGTGGCATTGTGGAGTTGGAAGAATGCATAGAACAATTTCACATCTCTTAAAAATCAGCAAATAGATAATATGTTATCTAGTGACCCAAACAAGAACATCTATTGTATCTACCAGTATTTCAGTAATAATAATACTTAATACTTGTTGACTATGGTATTGGGCACCATTCTGAGTATTTGACATGTATTAACTTATCTCTCACAACAAACTGATGAAGCAGACACTGTTATCTCCATTTTACAGGTGGAGCAGTAGAACATATTTTACAGATGAGGTTAAGTAGCTTGCTCAAGATTACTAGTATTCAGGTAGGAAGTGGCAGAGTACAGATTTGAACCTATGCAGTCTGACACCATTGCGTATGGCTGTATGCTATTCCACTATGTTATACTGCCTTTCATAATATAAAATTGTATTAGTTCTGGTTACTTGTATCATCAAGAGATTTCAATTTCAAAGTTAGATATTAATAATTATATATTTTAACAACTTTATTGAGCTATAATTCATATACCTTAAAATGTACCCATTTAAAGTGTATATTTTATATTTCATCTTTTCACTGAGTTGTGAAACCATCATCACAGTCTAATTTTAGAACATTTTCATCATTTCCAAAAGAAACCCTGTACTCAGCAGCAGTCAATTCTTTCCCACCCCCAGCCTTCAGCAACCAATAAGATGCTTTCTATTATTTGCCTATTCTAGATATTTAATATGAATGGGACCATACAATATATCATCTTTTTGGCTTCTGATTTCACTTAGCATAGGGTTTCCAAGATTCACCCATGTTGTAACATGCAACTTCATTCCTTCTTATGACCAAATAATACTCCATTCTATGGATATACTATATTTTATTTATCCATTCATCAGTTGATGAACATTTGGGTGGTCTCCACTTTTTGGCTATTATGAAAAATGCTTCTGTGAATGTTTGTGGACAAGTTTTTGTGTGGATGTATGTTTTCATTTGTCTTGGGCATAAACCCAGGACTGGGGTGCTGGATTGTTTGGTAACTCTATATTTAATATTTGAAGAACTACCAAACTGTTTTCCAGAGTGTTGTACCATGATTATTTCATTAGAAGTTCTTTTTATTATATTTAATTTAGACCAACTTTGTTGAATTATTCAAATAGAAAGTAACAGTAATATTGACAAAACAAATAACGTACATTTGGATATTCTTTAGTTCTCTCCCTGTCAAGTTCTTTGTGTGTGTGTGTGTGTGTGTGTGTGTGTGTGTGCGTGCGCGCGCGCGAAATGTTCAGTACCTATGTAAAAAACATATCTTTTAGGTTATTAGTCTTGATAATTCCATATTTAGCATTTAGGATTAAAAATGGTGGGTTATAAGAATGGCATAAGGAAGAGTCTCATGCATAGAGCAACATTTGTATGTTTTAATTACAGATTCAGTTTCCAGTAATTAAGATCTTGGGCATCATGCAGGAATTGATTTGTTGCAAATTTGGTGGGTTGCTTCTCCTTGGAAGGCCTGGGAATGGAACTGTGAGGGCTGAGATCTGGCACCTGGCCCTTTCAGAGCCTTCCAGGTGGTTAGTCTACTCTTGACCATCATGATGCTGAGTCTTTTTTTCACTTCGAGCTTTGAGTCAGCTGCGTTATTATCTTATTCTTGTTAGGACTTCTGTTAGTTCAGAAATATAGATCAATAAGAACAGGACTGGTAGTATTGTGGGTTAAATACAGCAAGTTCCTAGAAAATGAAGTCAGATAGCCTTTCCCCCCCTTTCTGGCATCTGTAACAAAATGTCTTGATTGTCTCAGTATATAAATATTACTGAAGCCAGAGAATTCCACCAAGCCAGACAATTTCTCCTAAAATTAAACTTTTAAGTTCTCCCTAGTGTTTGGACAAACATTAAGAAAGTTTGTGGAGTCCTGATATTTTTCCTGGTGGTTGCTGTGTGTCCTGATGAATATCTGCACATGCAAATCATGCTGTTATTTAATTCAAGTGTGTGTTTCTGTTTGCTTTCAGACTGACAGGCCCACTGTTATAGAATATGATGACCATGAGTATATCTTTGAAGGATTTTCTATGTTTGCACACGCCCCTCTAACTAATGTAAGTATGTGCTCATTGGCTGGCTTTTCCTGTCCCTGCACCCCCACCTTCCCTGTCCTCCCTTCATTGTTCTAAAAATCAAAATAAATTTCCTTTCTCCTGACTTCTAAGTAACATTTACTTTGTGTCCTCCCTCTGCCTGAGCTGCAGGAAGTCTATGGCAGTCTGTGTCAGGTGGGAGTGTGACATCTGTGCTAATGAGTCACAGGTTTGTTTCCCATTAAATGGTGTAAGTAAACGTGTCAGAATAACATTTTGAGAGTGTGAAAGATTGAAAAAGAAGGATTAACTGTGGAGTAACGTGTCAGAGCTATTTGGGGGTGGGTGTCCTTCAAAGGAAAGTTGGAAAGTTTTAAGAAGAACTTGCTGTTTAGTCTCTGAGCAATAGAAAAAGAAATAGAGCTGGTTTAGGACATCTGGAATCTGAATTAATTTCATGCAGTTTTCTGCTTTTGAATACCAGGAATATGTCTTCTTTAAGGGACTTTGCCTGACATACAGATCTATGATGTTTTTATACAGGTATTAAGGCTGCTCTGTTAGTAAGCGGTTCAAATGGAAGTTCTGTATCTATGAGTCTAAAGCTTTGTCTCAGAGCTGGCAGTCTTGGGAATTGTCATGGAGTGAATTTGCTGGCGGCTCAGGGAGAGTGCAGCAGTATACTTCATCCAGCCTAGACGTCATTATAGAACTTACTGAGTTATAGCTATGGTGTAGCTACCTCGAAATAGAATGTTCTCTAACCTTTCTGGTTTGGTTACAAGAAATTATACAGTTTGAAAAGTTATTTTAGTATTGTTTATTTAAAACTTGAAATTCTGTTCCTCTGGAGAGTGAAGATTCACATCTTTGCCAAACCTTGTTTCTTTCTATCCTTTCTTTTTTTCTTTATAAGTGGACATGATTCCATAGTAGTGATACTAATTTAAAACAAATTGTCTTTTTATTGTTTTTATTCCACAGTATATTTTATCCTAGACAGTTTTCTTTGAGAAGATGAGTACATTGTAAATGTAAAAATAAAATCATTTGATAATACATACCACGTTTACCTCCAGGATGGACCATAGTATACAAAAGGGTATAATATTGGACCATTCTTTATTTTTTTTAATTAGGTATAATTAATATTTAACATTGTATTAGTTTCAGGTGTTCAACATAATGGTTCAATATTGTGAAATGATTACCACAATGAGTCTAGTTAACATTTGTCACCTTACATAGTGACATAATTTTATATTGGACTATTCTTAATCTATATGAAAAGGCATTAGGAGGTTTTTGAATTTTGATGGTTTTGTTGTCTTTGTAAATATCTATTTTTTTTAATTATTTTTTTTTTGAAGAGAGAGAGTGAGAGAGAGAGAGAGAAAGAGAGAGAGAAACAGTGATGTGAGAGGGAAACATTGATCGGTTGCCTCCCGTAAGTACCCCGTCCGGGGACAGAAGCATAGCCTGGGCATGTGCCCTGACCGGGAATCAAACCAGCAACTTTTCTGTGCATGGGACAATGTTCTAGTAACTGAGCCACACTGGCCAGGGCTGTTGTCTTTTTTTAAATGTCTCAGTGAGGCACTCAGACCTTTTGTGACATCAAATCTCCTAGTCTTAGAGTAGGAAAGGCTTTTAGAAGTCCTCTAGTCCAACTTCCCCTCCCTATTGCACTTCTCTCTTTTTTGCCCTTCAAAGGATTTGCAAAACAAATAATTTAGTTACCATGAAAATATTTCAAAATATCTATCTTATTTTTTAATTCCCTAGAATAGTGTAGATCTTACTTTAACTTTTAGGATCACCTTCATTAAAGAAGGAAAGCAGTTTGGCTTCAGAGAGACCAAAGTTTTAAACATTATTGAATTCCTCTTACTATCTGTATGATTTGACATTTCAGTCTTTATAAGCCTTTCTTATCTTAAGATAGAGGTATTAGTTTTAGCAATAGGCTTTTGTAAAAAAAATGAGATGAAACATGAAAAGTGTTTATCATACAGTGGTTGGCATACAACAAATATTGAACTTCTTAGTTTGGAAAATATGTCAGAAAGACCTGGGTTTGCATCTTCTAATTCTTTTTTGTTTTTAAAAACTAATTCTTAATATCTGTGTGACTTTGGACAAGTGATTCTATGAGCTTTATTAAAATTCCTCAGGCACTGATAGGCTGTTAATGCTAAATTAATTGCAGTTGTTACTGTTATCATAAAATAAAATATAGGACTGAAAATTTCCTGGGCTTCTGCATATATTTTATATAAAAATATTCAAGTTCTCAAAATTTGAGAACTTAACTCTGTAATGAGAAGATAAGCCCCATCATTTATGTTAGAGATGTTGATAAAATAAATCAAGTATTAAGCTGAGTGTTGTACAGTTCATAGGAATTAGATCCATCAAAGGCCTCTTGAATTTGAAATAACCTCCCAAGAAAGGGAATTATTAAATCACTGCACTGATCTGATTCATTTTCTTGTTGGAGAGAGCACATCAGGAAGAATGGCATGCAAATGATTGTAATGTGAGAATCTCAACCAAATCTAGTTCTGACAAGTTCTCTTCAGAACTGGAATTGAAGTGGATGGAAAGCCTTGTTGGCTTAGTATAGAGCATTCCGGGAGAATTTAATTCTTTTATGTAGTACAGTTACTAGTACTTATAATACCTGATGCTACTAAGGGCTTTGACAATATAACCAAAATTATAAAGATAAACATATTAGGTGCATAATACTTTATCCTGTCCACAAAAGCCCCAGGAAGCCCCCTGACCATTTCCTCCTGCCTTCATGGGCTTCCCATTTCCAGAAGCCTCACTGGGCTGGATTTGGTCATTTAGTGTCTGGAAGTAGTAGAGTTGAGGAAGTTTTCTTTTTCTTTTTTAAACTTATCTTTATTTTTGAAAGGGGTGTTTTCTTTAGGAGTGGTTTTTGTTTGTTTGTTTGTTTTTGGGGGTTTTTTTTGCTCGTTTTTGGTATGGTGAGATAGGTGTTAGTGTCAGCCAGTGTCCAAAGATGTTTTAAGAAATGATGGTAGGTATTTATATTATTTGATTGGCCAGTTAAGCTTCCAATCAGTCAAGATTCCGATTATGTTGGCAAATGACCAGTTCTCTCTGTGTCTTAGAGAAGAGGAACGTTTGACTAGCAGAGGAGATCCTGCCTTCCCAATGGTGTGTCTGAGAAGGGCTCAGGCTGACACTGTGCTCTCTCTCTGCCTGGCTCCCTACTGCTCCCACGGCCTCTGGTCCTTTCTCTTTCGGATACCCTCTCCCTGAGTAAGGGAGGCTCACCCACGGTTTTTCCTCCTATGTGTATCCTGATCCCCGCCAAATTGATATTTATAGCTGTGACATAGGGCTCCATGCTTCACACGGCAACTTTAGACTGCCTGTTGGGCACACCCACCTTAATGTCCCCTCAGGTACCTCATCCTCAACCTGTGTGAAACCGAACTCGTCATCTTTCCCACAGACTGAGTTTGAGTACGCGGGGAGCACCCCATGAATTTCTTTGTATTAATGCCATTGTGATGTGTCTGGTCACGTAGGCCAGAAACCCAGAAATTATTCCCTATTCTTCTTTCTTGCCTCCACATCAGAACGGTCACTGTGTATTTCAGTAACATCTCTTATGTTTAAAATATTCCCCTCCTTTCCAGTCTTCTCTTCATTTGACTCCTGGACTGTTTCATTAGACTCTGGTCTTCTAGTTTCCTGCCTCGCTCCGTCCAGACCATCCCCGCACCGTTTACATAGCCACTCATCCAAAGTGTGAACTGTGATGGTCTCTCCCTTAAACTGCTTGAATGACTTCTCACTGATAGGATAAGCCCTGAATCCTTTACATTGTTTGTAAAATTTGCATAATATAGTTCAATGGTCGCCAACCTTTCGGACCTCACAGACCACTGGTTGGCGACCACTGATACAGTTCATACTTTCCTGTCTAGAAATACCTTGCTTCTCTCTCTCCACCCATTTTATTCCTGAACAGCTAAATCACTTGTTATTCCCCGGGCTCCCTTCTCTCTGTCTTGCTCGAAACTAAATGCCTGCTTTTCCCCAAGTTAGTTTTTCTGGATGACCTGGAAAATCCCTGCCCCTCTTTGAAGACTCAACTCAAATGTTACCTCCTTTGGTCCTTTGGAACTTTATACTCTCCGTTTGCATATTTGTTTTTAATTGTACTTACAAGTTACATTGTACCATGTTCTTCTTTTAGATCCTTGCCTTTTAAAATGGTAGGGGCTGCGACTTCTTTTAGGGTAATTGTGAACCTAACATCATTGTTAGCAAAGAATAGGTATTTACAAAATATGAATGATGCCCAAATTTGTAGCTCTCACATCATTTTTAAATATAGGACTAAAAAGACCTTAAAATGTTAGTGGCTTTAGAACTCATTTATTATCACATGGATCTCTTATTAAAATGTGAATTTTACTCAAATTAGCCGTTATCCTTTTAAAAAATGAAAAAGCACCTAAGAACTAAATTTCATTTCTGAGAAAAAGTTTCCAGTAGATGGCATTATAAGACTATTTTTGTTTTTCTTACCATTCCTAAGACTATTTTTGTTTTTCTTACCATTCCTTTGGTTAGAATTAAAATGTGTTTCTTTCTGATTGCTATGGTTTGTAAAAACGGTTACATTTATATAAAATTGTCTTCTGGACAGACAGATTGAGTGCCTAGAAAAACCAACTTAACACATCTCTAGGGCTACCACTGCGGTAACTCCACAGCCTCCCTTTCTCATTCCTCCCTCATTCACAAGTATACTCAAGGAAAACCTGCTATGTCTAGGCACTAGGCTAGTGTCTGATGACACATTGGTAAAACAAGACAGGTGTGGGGTTATTTAACATGAGCCTTCCTTCATTTTCACATGAACCCTGAGTATTACAACAGGCGATGAGAGGTATTATACTCTAGTGGCTTAGAGCTGGCTGGAGTCTAGAGCAACATTTCTGAACTCACCAGCTACCGGTTACCTTAGGCAAGGTACCTGATGACTCTGCCTCAGTTTCCTCCACTGTACAAGGGGGATAATAAATTGTGCCTATCTCATAGGGGTGGCTACATGGGTGACCATATGTGAAGCATTAGAATAGCGCCTGGCTCAGGAAATGCTATCTGTTGTTATTCATATCATGCTTTATTATGATTATTACCACGGTTGGTTTTGCTCCGGAGCCAGATAGACAGCTGGACTTGTGTGCGTGTAGTGACTTAGGAATCTGTAACCGATGAGTTGTCAGCCTGCTATCCCTGATCTGCCTGAAAAGCCAAAGTTCTGAAAGATTAAGAAAAAAAAAACACGAGAAAAATAAGTATTTAAGTGGTTTTATTAATTCTCTAGAGGCAATTTGGTTGGATTTAATGGGTTCTTGTCACGTTTGTGTTGTTGCTCATACAGTTAATTAAGCACCAGCATTATGCAGGTTTCCTGTAGAGGCAGCGCCAGCTGGGTGCCTGCCATGAAAACCCAGCCGTTGTGGTCAAGCTCGCCTGCAGCATTGTGAGCAGTTTAGATTAAGTGGAACTTTCTCGTTTGGGTCATGGCCTTCTGGGTCAGGTTGCCAACACATGCTCATTGTGAGCCTCCGGGATGGTGTTGCAGACTGAACCTCTTCTTATTCTTGCAGATTCCGCTGTGTAAAGTGATCAGATTCAACATAGACTACACGATCCATTTCATCGAAGAGATGATGCCTGAGGTAAGGCAGAAGATGGCTTAGCAGCTTTGTCTTCTGTTTATTCTACGCTTATATCTTGAAAGCATTGGACATGGCCAGCTCTGGCTTTGGCCTCAGAAATACCCCTAAAGTTTTGTGGTCACTGTTACAAGGGTCAGTGAGATGGAGCTCTAGGAACAAGGTTAAAATTCAGGCCATTTTTCAACTTCTGAATCCATTTCTCCTTGTTTTGCATCTACTGATAGTAACTTTACGTTCATTTCTGGTTTGTTTTGGATAGGGGACAGATTTTGATTACTGGTTGTTATCAGAGGAAATTAGGGTAGTGAAACCGAATCTGATAGCTGTTGGAATAATCTTATTCATTATCTCCAATGACAAGATCGGTGCTTGGTTCATTTTTCTTCCCATATATTTACATATTTTTCCTAATTGTTTTTCATTGCGGCTGCTCAGCAGCAGATTTATCTAAATATATGCAAGAGGTTTAAAATTCCAAAGCAAGATTAATGTGAATCTCACAATGATTCATTGCCTGATCTTGAATTTAGTGATGTCAACAAGTCACACGAAGAAATAACAACTAGACAGCAAACAAGCCTGTGCACTTAACCTTGTGCTGGAGTTGGGGTCGATTTCCTGAGCCCCCGGCTCTCCTTGCAAACCTTGTTTAACAGCGCAGCTCTGTCATGGGCAGCCGAGCACCAGCGGGAATTGATAAGCATGACATACATGCTTAGTTTGCACCTACTTCATTCAAAGCAAGTCCTGGTAATTCTACCTGTCTTTCAAAAAGAATTAAAGAGAAAGGGCCACCCCCCTCATTCTCTAGCTTAAAAGGGCTTTTTGCTTCCTTTCGATTTTTAAGGTCATAAGCCTTCATTTGCTATTGTAAAGGTTTATGCGTCTGGAGTTATCTCACGCAGGGTGATTTATGAACCCTGAGCAAAACAAATAGGAAGGAAGAATTATGAGACATGTCTTAGTTGCAAATATATCATCTGTTAAGCTTGTTTACTGGAGAAATTTTCATCCAAAGTTTTGTAGTTTTTTGTAGCCCTTTATTTGCCTTCATTAAGAATTTTAACTTTTTGGCATGAAAGACCTCTGTTTATGGTCACTATAACAGTGATTTTAGGTGTGTTTGGGGGATGGCAGGGAACAGGGGTGGAGTGAGCGGGACAAACCTATCAGAGCCTGCTGGCATATATATGTGTGTGTGTGTGTGTGTCATTTGAATTAACAAAAAGTCCCCAGGAGATCCTGATTTTATAATTGGGTTAGAAAAATATGACATAAAGACGACTTCATTTTTGTTTTATTTTATTTTATTTTATTTTATTTTTTAATAATAATTCTTTTTTTTTTTTTTTAAATATATTTTATTGATTTTTTACAGAGAGGAAGGGAGAGAGACAGAGAGATAGAAACATCGATGAGAGAGAAACATCGATCAGCTGCCTCCTGCACACCCCCCACTGGGGATGTGCCCGCAACCCAGGTACATGCCCTTGACCGGAATCGAACCCGCCGCACTCAGTTCCATGCTTCCATGTCTCTGGTTCCACTCCCTTCATAAGATGACTTAGTGTTTTAATTTCACATCATTTTCCTCGTACATTGGGAAGGGCTGTGCTCACATTTTCTTAGGAAACCTAAAGCCACGCTTGCCTACTTCATTTGTCTCTCAAGCAAATGAGCTGTTCTTTGTAGGATGGTGGTCAAACTTTTTAGGAAAGTACATGGTTTTAGGATAGTTTCAACAGACACTTTAAGACACTTGACTAGAACAAGTTGAACCTTCAGTTAATATATATTTGCACTATTATAGTAATTTGATTTTGGTTTATTTTTCAGAATTTTTGTGTGAAGGGACTTGAACTCTTTTCATTATTCCTATTCAGAGATATTTTGGAATTGTATGACTGGAATCTTAAAGGTAAATAATAGGATTTAAAGAAAAATGTAATGCTGAAAGAACATTGTGGTGTATGGTGGGGGGAACATAATTGAAATTTCTCTTATTTTTTGAAATACCCAGGGAAAAGTGTGATTCATAGGAATGCTTGCTATCATCTGACACGAATAAGTTCTCATGGGTCTTATTTTAATAGAGTTTGACGGTGTCTATTGCCTAAGATTACCATTATCCGTTACCTAACTGATATGTAAGAAGATGGTATCAGTTATTACAAGTAATTACATTGATTTAGGTGCATTGGTGAAAGCCTCATTAGTTAATATTTTAAATCTATTGAACTTTACTGTAATATGAACTTCCAAGATAACAGTTTATCAAAACAGAACTTTGCTTTGCCTTCAAAACACAATTCAAAACCTGAGAGCTACATCGAATTGGCACCTGGTCCTTGGATCTTGGATAATAGTTACTCTTAGGAGGTGTCTGCATTCCAGCAGACAGTTACTTATTTATTTGCTAAACCGGGTATTGATGAATGGTTTTTCAAACCAAGTTTTTAGTAGTATTTCTCTCTATTTTTCTCCAGTCCTGTTGATTAAAATGGAAAGGAATTAAAACACAAGCATATTATATCATGCAGTAGTTCAGTTATAACAAAAATCTTTTTATGTTTTGACTTTCTAAAAATAGTTTTCCCTTATCCTCCTAAATAATAAAAGGCTAATATGCAAATTGTCCCTCCAACCGGTAGTTCAACTGCTTGTGGCCCCTCCCCCCAGCGGCCCCACCCTCAATTGCCCCTCCTCACGCCCATCGGGAGTGGGGCTGGCTGACTAACTGCCCATGGCCCCTCCCCCTGGCTGGCCCAGCCCTGGTTGGAGTGGGCTGGCTGGACCCCACCCATGAACGAATTCGTGCACCAGGCCTCTAGTGTACCATGAAGCACATGTCCTTGGGCTTTCATTCTCCTCTGACATTGGTAGTCTCCTCACTTCAGTCTTTCTGGGATGTTTGTGGTGGTTACCACAGGACTGATGTACAAGAAGAAGACCTTTTTTTATTTTTATGCCCCTACTTGTAGTGATGTCTGTCATTATAATGAATCTTAGGAATTAAGTTGCAGTATTTGTTTTCTAAGCCTGTTTTTATTAATTTTTTTTCTTGTATTTCCACTTGTTTGCTGTAGGTCCTCTGTTTGAAGACAGCCCACCCTGCTGCCCAAGATTTCATTTCATGCCACGTTTTGTAAGATTCCTTCCAGGTAAATCTTTTGGCTTGTCTGTGACCCGTGGAAATAGTGTGTCTGAAAATAAGCCTGCCATTCTCCTTCCAGTCTTTCGGACAACTTCCCCACCACAGACACTGGTAATTTTCTACTTCTAGGTCAGGCGTAAAATGTAAAATTACTCATGCTGCTGTGTACCCTTACGTAATGTATGGTAGCCCCAAACTAGATGAGCAGTGGGAGAATTGATTGATAAAATTTGAAATTTCACTTGATAAAGTATCACGTGTTAAAATTAATATGGAAATATGCATGTGGCTTAAAAATGCAAAGAGTTAATTGGAAAACAATAATTACAACATTTTATATACAATCTGACTATATGCTAAAAAATACTGCAATAGTAGTTGTATGAAGGTAGTGGCATTGCAGTTGCTTTTTTCTATTTTTTTGACATAGACTTCTACTTATTTTACAGTGAAAAAACTATTTTCTCACTCAATTAAAATAAGTAACTATATGACATGTTTTTTAAGCAACATTTTAACTGTTTTTGAAAAATTTTTTTGAGAGTCTAGCTATGAGATATGGCATTATATTTGGTGTTTTTAAAAATGGTTGGGTTTGTAATGAAATCTTTGGGTGCCTTTTTGTTTGCAGAGTCTTCACCACCCTAAAGGAATCATCCCAGGTCTCATTCTGGTTTCTCCTTCACTGGTATTTCCAGTGATATGCTCATACTTCCGGCCATGCATGCCCTTATTTCCTTTGCTTCCACTTGAATCTTCCTTTTGCTCTCTGCATAGTCACCTTTCTTTGCTTCCTCGATTAAGTCCTGTGCTCTGACTTCTGTCTCTCGGCTCTAGGGGCCTCGGTGCCTTATGCTAACCACCAACTTCCATGGAAATGTCAACTCCACCATTTGCCTTTTTCCCCCCTATATGTGTGCTGCTCAGTGATATTGGCGAAAAGGTTTGGCAGCTGCAATAAATCTGTGATCTACAATTTCACCTGTTCAGCATGTAAGCTTTCAGCCCAGGCTACATATCCACAGTTTCAAAAGTTTAGCCTTAGGCTCATGCGCTTCTCCTTATGCTTGCTGTCCTTCTGGGGCAGGAAGCCTTCCTCTCAGGCCTTGGAACTTACCCTAGAGACTGTCAGACCCTGGTCCAGCCACACCTGCCTTTGCTATGGCACCTCGCCCCCTTAACCCCATCCCCACCCTGCCACTGCTGCTGCTGTCGGAGCCAGCCTCCCAGCCCAGCCAGTGTAGTTCATTGGTTGAGCGTCAGCCCATTCACCAAGAGGTCACTGGTTCAATTCCTGGTCAGGGTACATGCCTCGGTTGTGGGCTTGATCCCCAGCAGGAGGTGTTGTTTCTATCGCTCTCTCCCTCTCACTTCCTCTCTCTAAAATCAATAAAAACATATTTAAAGAAAAAAAGCCAGCCTCCCAAAGACCAAATCCAGGGGACACGCTTTAGTCTCTTCCTGAAGGTGGTGCCTGGGCCCTCACCTTGTCTCTCTGCTGAGCTGCCCTTAACTTTCCTCTGAGCTCCGATGTGTCCCTTTGCGGCTTTTGTTTCTTGTCCATTTATTCTAGCTTAGATTGTCCTCAGGATTTTGTCCTTTCCTTGGTCCAGGCATTCAGTCACAATGACTTATTTTTATTTTAGAATAGTGTTGCTCATGTTTTCAGTGTTATCATTTTTTTTTTTGTTTGGAAATGTATTCAAAAGCTTTCCCCCTTTGTACATCTGGTTTTGTTTTATTGAGGAGTCCTTTTTTTTTCTCTCAAGTGAGTGTATCTTTGATTTTATAATGGCACCTTAGCAGTGAACTTATTATAAAATGGTGTTGCAGTGAGTTTGTTGAAAAGCCTTTTCTTTCAGTAACTGTCTGCCTCTAGGCATTTTATGACCAAGCAAATCTCTAAGACAAAGTGGACAGTTTTAAAAGCATCTTAAAGAAAAATCTTACATTAGATATTTACTTTGTGGGATTTTAACTCTCACAAAATGTTTTCCATAACTAGGGATAAAATTTATGTTGTCACTAAAAGAGGTCTTTTGATTTATTTTTCAAACAAGATATACTTTTTCAGTAGACTTCCCTTTGAAAATATACTAGAGAAACTTGCAGATTTCAGTATGGAAATCCAATTGATCCAGCATCATTTATTGAAAAGACGGTTGAAGTGAATTGAAGGGTTAATTGAAGGGTTTTCTCTGCCCTCAATTGGGTTGACTTGGGGTGTGTGTGTGTGTGTGTGTGTGTGTGTGTGCGCGTGCACATGTGTGTGACAAACAGTACAAATGTGTATACTGTAAAAATGAGCACCCCTCTAGACATGTAAAAATGAGTAGGTGCTATGAGTGGTTTGATTTGTATTTGTTTTAACCTGTGTAGGGAGAATTAATGCTTTTTTGTTTCAGTGGGCTAACAACATGTTATGCAACTTGCTTTTATACTCACCTACTTCAGATATCCTCCATGTAAATACATCGCCTCATTCTGTAAAACTTACATAGAATTCCACAGTATGAACTGACACTAATTTTTTTCGACATTTCTTCTAGTGAAGAATATTTTGGAGATGGCTATTTTCTCCCCATTGCATAAATACTTCAGGAATTGTCTTTTGCATCTAGCCTTTTGCATTTAGGTCAATGTTTCTATAAGGTAGACTCCTAGAAGTGAAATGATTTGTTACAACAATATGCACATTTTAAATTTGGAAAGATACTGGCCAAGTTCTCGCTAAAAAGCACATAATTTGTAGTTGTCACCAACATTTTTAACAGTACCTATTTTCTGTACATCTGCCAACACTGAATAATACTCGTCTTCTATAGTTTGTCTAATAGGCAAAAGGTCATCTCATTGTTATCATTTGCATTTTACTTGGACTACTCTGAGAATGAGCAGCTTTCATATATTTCAGGTATTTCACGGTCCTCTCGTTCTCTTTTCATTTATTTCAGTTTATTATCTCTAATAGAAAGTTTTCTAGGCATCATATTTTTTCTTCAGTTTTCCAGTTTACCTGTTTTAAAGACAGCTATCTCAGTCGCTTTCTACAGATTTGTTCAAAATTAAGCTTATAGTTTAAATCAAGGATTATTCAATGAAGGTCAGTTTTCCAGAGGTTAAACCATAGAACAACCAGTTGATTGAAATTAAGATTTTTTTTTCAAATTTTTGTGGTGTTGTTTTTTGATTTTGTTTTTTCTATCCCTACCTCTACCTGTAGCAGTCAGACAGTTAAAATGAACTCTCCTAGAGCCTGTTTAAGGTTTTATTTGACTATAGCTGGGGCTGGGGCTTGGTGTAATTCAAGATAGGAAGGCTGCATGTACAGGAAAGCCTGTTCATTGCTTGTATCATTGTTGTAGTAAAGCTTTGGAAATCCTGAATCAGTTTTGCAAATTGATTATCTAGCAGATTGATTGTTGGAAATTGCCCCACCCTGGAGAAGTAGTTCTCAGTTGTGGCTGACAGAGGCCAGCAGGTGGGAGTGTATCTCAATATTCCCAGGGAGACAAGCGTGGTTTGAAAAAAAACATCAAGAGAGAAACCAAGATGGCGGCATAGGTAAACACCGGAAATTGCTGCCTTGTACAACCACTTCAAAAATACAACTAAAAGACAAACGGACACCATCCAGAACCACAGGAAGGCTGGCTGAGTGGAAAGTCTACAACTAGAAGGAAAGAGAAAAGCACACTGAGACTCAGAGGAGGTGCGGAAGTAAAGTGCAGAGGTATGGAGGCACACGCGGAAAGGGCTGGCAACTGAGGACGTGGTTGTCTTTTTCAATTGGGAGGGAGTCTCAAGCTCCTGACTGCTCTGAACTCCAGTTCCGGGCGAGTCTCTGGGGACCCAGACTCATACGGGGAGAAACTGGACTGTCTGGCGTCGGGTGGAACTCGAGGGTGGCTTTCTCTCAGAGGTGCTTGCAGCGATTACCGTGGACACTGAGACCCGGGGCCTCTTAGGGCAGGACTGAGGATCAGCCATAGCTCCGCCCTGTTGATTTTCCGAGACCCCACCCCACCCAAGCTCTTTTTGCATATGAATGACCTGGCCTTTTGCAATTTAAAATTACCTAACAAGCTGCAGCTGAGTCAGAGAGACCCAGAACATCCAAAAGAAGGCCCAAGGCCCCACAGCAGCTTGCATTGCTTCACAGCTGGGCCCCATCTGGCACCTCCAAACCCCAAACAAAGAAGAGGAATCTGCAGATCTCTCCGTAGCTCCTTCGGAGTAGTCTCAGGCAGAGGCTAAATTATCACCTCCTTAGAGATCCAAGAGCCAGTGTACCCGTGGTCAGAGTGGGACCATCCAGATTACAACTCAGATCCATAAGGGACACACTTGTCTCCAGCACAGTTCTCCCACCGTAGACACAGCTGATTCTCACAGCCAACTGGCCTGGAGGTCAATTCTTCCCAGTGATACCTACAACAATCAAGGCTTAACTACAACAAGACTGTTCACACAGCCCACAAAGGGGTGCACCAAGAGTGTCCACCTCAGGTAATTGGGGAGGCTGAGCCACTGGGCCCTATAGGACACCTAGCACAGAAAGCCACTCTGTCAACACAGGGAAGCAGCCAAAATGAGGAGACAGAAAAACAGGTCACATGAAAGAAATGGATGAAAGCAAACTACTGGATATAGAGTTCAAAACCACGGTTATAATGTTACTCAAGAATCTTTTAGAAACCACCAATAAATTTAGTGAGACCCTCCATAAATCTAGTGAGACCCTCGAAGATATGAAAAAGGACCAACTAGAAATTAAGCATACACTGACTGAAATAAAGAATATTATACAGACTCCCAACAGCAGACTAGAGGATCACAAGAATCAAGTCAAAGATTTGAAATATGAAGAAGCAAAAAATACCCATCCGGAAAAACAAAAAATAATCCAAAAATATGAAGATAGTGTAAGGAGCCTCTGGGACAACTTCAAGTGTACCAACATCCGAATTATGGGAGTGCCAGAAGAAGAGAGAGAGTGAGATATTGAAAACGTATTTGAAGAAATAATGACAGAAAACTTCCCCTACCTGGTGAAAGAAATAGACTTACAAGTCCAGGAAGCACAGAGAACCCCAAACAAAAGGAATCCAAAGAGGACCACACCAAGACACATCATAAATAAAATGCCAAAAGCAAAAGACAAAGAGAGAATCTTAAAAGCAGCAAGAGAAAAAAAGTCAGTTACCTACAAGGGAGTACCCATACGACTGTCAGCTGATTTCTCAACAGAAACTATGCAGGCCAGAAGGGAGTGGCAAGAAATATTCAAAGTGATGAATGCCAAGAACCTACAACCAAGATTACTTTATCCAGCAAAGCTATCATTCAGAATTGAAGGTCAGATAAAGAGCTTCACAGATAAGGAAAAGCTAAAGGAGTTCATCACCACCAAACCGGTATTATATGAAATGTTGAAATGTATTCTTTAAGAAGAGGAAGAAGAAGAAAAAGGTAAAGATAAAAATTATGAACAACAAATGCACATCTATCAACAAATGAATCTAAAAATCAAGTGAATAAATAATCTGATGAACAGAATAAACTGGTGAATATAATAGGATCAGGGGCATAGAAAGGGAGTGGACTGACAGTTCTCAGGGGGAAAGGGATGTGGGGGGTGCGGGAAGAAACTGGAAAAAAACTGTACACCTATGGATGAGGACAGTGGGGGGGGGGGGTAAGGGCAGAGGGTGGGGTGGGAACCGGGTGGAGGGGAGCTATGGGGGAAAAAAAGAGGAACAACTGTAATAATCTGAACAATAAAGATTTAATTTAAAAAAATATCAATTGAGATAATATCATAGTACTAGAGGCCTGGTGCACGAATTCGTGCATGGGTGGGGTCCGGCCAGCCCACCCCAATTGGGCTGGGCTAGCTGGGGGGAGGGTCCTTGGGCAGTTGGCTGGCTGGCCGCCCCCAGTCTGGGTGGGAGGGGCCGATCGGGGATGGTGGTGGCCAGGGGAGGGGCCGCAAGCAGTTGGCCGGCTGGCCCCTCCCCCTGGCCCAACTCCCTATCGAACTCCTGGTCGAGGGAACAATTTGCATATTAGCCTTTTATTATATGGGATAACTTTGTATTTGGAAAGCTTAGAAAATACCTGTTAATACAGATTTTTAGACAAGATTATTTAGAGGCATCTTAGCAGGAATACACAGGGGACATAGTAATGCAGCTGTATAGTTATTCCTAGTGTAAGGAAGGAGGAAGGCGTGTTTGTGTTTGTTAAAATTGAGTGTTAGACTGTTGAGAAGCACTTGTGTAACCAGCCATATTCTTAACACAAATTCTCTAACAAATTGCCCTCCCCCGCAAATAACGTTATAAATAATCAGACAACATAAATGGAGAGTATTGGGTCTCTAAGAAACAGTTATAAAGTCTGTCAGTTCATTAATGACTGTCCAGATTCATTCCCTGAAACACAAACTCCAGTTCTTTTCGAATAATGACCCGTTGTCACGGCTCCAGTCCCAGTGCTGGCACAGCGCCTGCTAACCTTAGCGTACCCACTCTCACTTCTCATTTGTATCGTGTCCTATTTATCTCAGCCAGCGAGATAAAAATGGCTTCTTAGCCCTCAGTGACACCGTTCCATAAATCCCCAACATAAACATGTAGCAAAGCAGACAAACCAAAAGAGCCAATTCATTAACATTGGTAAATTCATGGCAGTCTGTGAGCAAGTGGCCATGTTATTTATCTGCTTCAGAAAGTCACTTTTCAAATATTTATGAGGGTCTTTTTTGCTGGGCTGGGTATGAGAATACAGCCCTTGCATGGGCTCTGGCAGGATTCTCTAGTCTACCTTCTTCGTATTTCCATAAGGACTGCACCTCATTATTGCCCCTGGAGCAGTGCCTCAGTCCCCCTCCTTAGGTTATCTGCTCTGGGTTTCTACATTTTTTCACAGTGGTAAATCTCTGTCTTTTTAGGTTTTGGGTGCTGTTTTAAATATTTAGCAGATTTCAACATGGATTTACACTTTCACCTTCAGCATGACCGACTTTGCACCTGATGTGTTTTGTTTTTTTTAAGAAAAGTATTTCTAGTTTCTATGCTGCTGTAAAACTCTCCTGCCTCGTTGGCAGCTGTGTGTGTGTGTGTGTGTGTGTGTGTATGTGTTAATCCTCACCCAAGAATATTTTTCCATTGACTTTTAGAGACAGTGGAAGGGATGGGAAGAGACACAGAGAGAGAAACATGGATGTGATACATCAATTGGTTGCCTCCCACACGTACCCCGACCAGGGCCGGGGATCCAGCTTGCAATCAAAGTACATGCCCTTGATCAAAATGGAACTCAGGACCCCTCAGTCTGTGGGCCGACACTCTCCACTGATCCAAACCGGCTAGGGCTTGTTGGCAGCTTTGCGCCCAGGCTAGGTAGAAGCATTCTGGTGAGCACGTGGTGACTTTCTTTCTTTATATTGTGAATATGCTCCTAAATTGGGAAATACCCTTGGTGTGTCAAATAAAAGTGACATAGGGACACTGTTTCCAGTGTCTAGAAGAGTGCCTGTTTCATAATAGGTGCTCAGTAACGATTTGTTGGATGAATGGACAAATATTTAGGTTAATGAATGAATGCAGGATGCCTATATATAGTAGCTCTGTAGCAGCAATGTCATCTAGTTTCAGAATAGCATCTGGGGTTAAAAAACCTCATACACACCAGAGAGAAATCTTGATACTTATTTTCTTCTTTCTCAGATGTGTAGGCCTGTCCAAGCTTTAGCCCATAGCAACGTGTATGAAAATCTTTTATCCTTTTCATTTTCTGGTAGCCCCAGTTCCTTGGGTATCTAACTCCTCTAGCACAAATAGGACACTCTCATTTGTGCCCACCTATCCCCACAATCTTGGTTTCCTCATTCTCCATGAAGTGTTGGCCTCATACTGGGGCTCCTAGAATATTTTTTGACCTGGGGAGGGTACTCATTGTCCTCTAAATCCTCAGGGCTCTTGTCCTTTCTTTGGGTAGGCCTAAGTCAAGAAAAGGGGTATAAGGTAGTTACACATACTGGTCAAGAAGCCAAGTCCAAAGAGAAGCCAGAAACCTGAGCACCGGAAATTAATGCTCACATTAAATGAATCTTTGGTTCATCAAGTACCAGATTAATTGGCTTTTTCCAGAGCACTTTAATTATGTCCTTTGTTGTTTTTACCTTCTGTACTTAGTAATATGTGCTCCATAAGCCTCAGAATACTTGCTATTTTTCCATGTACTAACTCCATAATGATCTTCATGATATTAGTACAGGCTCTTTAGGACTATTCATCACGGCAGGTGTAGCACATTAGCACCAAAAAATTAGACCATCACACAGTAAGCTGAAAACATCCATAAATATCTCAAAAGCTTAGAATATCCTTAAGATAATAACATCACTGCTAAAGAGCTTTCATCTGTTACCTAGAAAGAATGATAAAATATTTAAGTTCTGTATATTGTAAGCTGTGGTTCTTCATGCTCGATGGTTTTAAATTTATTTAGATAGACACCTTTTTCTATATTCACACCGTACAAATGGAGCCTTTTATCATTTAGAATGTTGCTCTTACCGTCTTAGTAAATGAGATGGTTTATGAGCACTGTTTATCAATGAAACAAATGGCTTTCGGATTATTTGGCACCTGGTTAAACAATGTAAATTCTAAATTACCTTTTTATGAACGCTCTTTTGTCTCTGTTGTCTTGTTTTTCCTTATTTGGCTGATGGCTGGCTGTGCATTGAGTAGCCTCATTTTCCCCTTTCTCTCTACTCTCACCCCAGATGGAGGGAAGGAAGTGCTGTCCATGCACCAGATTCTCCTTTACTTGTTACGGTGCAGCAAAGCGCTGGTCCCGGAGGAGGAGATCGCCAACATGCTGCAGTGGGAAGAGCTTGAGTGGCAGAAATATGCGGAAGAGTGCAAAGGCATGATTGTCACCAACCCCGGCACGGTAGGTTCTGGTGCTCACACACTCAGACCCAGCCACCTTCCTTCTGGGTGTGAATGTTTCAGAAAAACAATGACAACATTTTCAAAGCTTTATGTACTCATTCCCTCTCATCCTTGAGTAATTTTTAACTATTTAGTAGATACGAAAAATATTATAGGTGCGTTTGGTAGTAAGTTCATCTTATTGGTAAATTTATTCTGCTCCTTATGGAGACTTTTAAAGTTCTTAGGTATGTTCAGTTCTGATTTTTTTTTTTTTAGGCATAAAAGTAATATATCTTCACTATAGAAAATTAGGAAAATCAAAAAGCAGCCCAAAGAAGGCAATAAAAATTACCCATGATTCCATTCTACAGAGATGATAGTATTCAGTTTTCTGGTCTCTAGGATATATTTCATATTGTTTTGAAACAAAATTGGCATCATTCTATTAAATGGTATTATATTAAATATTTAGACCTCCTTATCCGCCAGAAACAACCACAAAATATCATTTTTTTCATAGTCATAAATTTCTTTAGGAGTGTTAAAAAAAGAAGACCTTTAAGTTATAAAATTAACTCCTTATTGTTGGGTACCCAGGTTGCTCCCAGACTTTTACTAAAACAAATAATGCTATATTGAATTTGTATATGTGTGTACATGTACATATGTATATGTATGTGTCTTTGAATATTTATCCATTTAACTCCTTAGGAAGAAGTAGTCTGGCTGTATACACATGTTAAGTCTTTTGATACGTAGGGCAAATACCTTCCAGAAGGGTTGTAAAATGTGTGCTCTGACTAGGAAGATATGAGGGTACCCATTTCTTCATATTGGTTATACTGTTTAAAAATTTAAAAAAAATCTTTATTGTTGAAAGTATTCTACTACTTTAACAAACTTTGTCAGTTGATAGGGAAAAATATTATTTAGTTCAGTTTTGTGTTTATTTTAGTTTCTAACAAAAATTGATATTTTAAATGTTTATTGGCCTTTTGATAATGGCCTATCAATATCCTTTGTCAAATTTTCTGTTGTGGTATTTGTCCTTTTTTATTGATCCTTTTATTGCTCTTTTGCCATAATTATTACAAATATTTCCCACTTCTTTTGTTTCTTATTATTTTGTTTTAAAATTAGCTTCTAATGTTAGTTGTTGAAATAAACATGTGAAATTTAAAAGAGAGAATTAAAAGATAACTAGATTTATCTTATAAAGAAAATGCTGTTTTATATATTATATCAATTAAAATTATTTTTTCTTCAAAATATGTTATTTCATAAAATATATATTGGCATCTTATCAGAATAAGTTTTTCCAGAAAGGGAGAATTAAAATATTTCCATGTAAAGAAACAAAGTAATCTATTTAAACAAAGCTGTTGTTTTAAAAAGGCTGCCAAATTTGTTCAATTGTCATGATTCATAAAAATAAAAACTCTGGATCAACTTTCTGTAGCATGACACCAACATCTGCACAAACAAAATGTGGTTATTTGCAAACCAAACACTCCAGCTAATGCCAGTTATTTTAAACAGATCTCGAAAATGAAAGTGTTTAATAAAAATGTTTTTCAACATAACATTTATTTAAAATTAAAAAGTCATACAGTTTTTACTGTTATATTCTTAAGCCACATAAATCATTGTTAAAGTAACTTTAAAAGAAATATACAAATCATAGCACTATGAGAGTGTGATTGTGAATTTGATTTTTCTCCTTTAAACAGCTGCAGAAATTTACATTTCTTCTGTCAGGTTTATAGCTGGGTCAGAAGTTGGGTTCAGGTGATGGTGGTGGCAGACATGATCTTTTCATCTTGGTGAGTCCACTCCAAGCATCCCATGATTTACAGTGGACACTTTGGGAACACTTTCTCCCTGGAGCTTCCTTCCATGTCCTGGCTAACATTTCCTGATGTCCTAGAATCACTTGGAGAGCTTTTGAAAATATAAGAATGCCATGATTGACCCTATATACTCCAGGCACTCAAGGATCTGTAGTTAAAAAAAAAAAAATCCCAGGGACTTCAGAGTCACTCGTTGCTTGTTACTGAGCTGATGGCATGGAGGACATTTACTCCATGACCAGGGTCATCATTCAACTTACTGTTGAGGGACAACCATGTGAGCCAGATGCTAGTGAAGTATATAGATGTGTATGACGCTTGTCCAGGTGCAGTCTCACAGCATATCCACGTAAAAGGAGTCTGTGATGAACCCTTGAATCAATGTGAGATCACTCGGCTGGGCTGCCAGTATACTTCATAAACACCACAGGAAGGTCTTTAAGGAATTGAGAAATTGTATAAATTATTGGCATGTTTAAATGCACATACTTGGCATAGTGTTTGGCCAGTTTGAAGATAATGAAGAAACCAGGATGAAAGGTTTATGTTGGAAAGTAGGTGGAAATAAGAAAACGTAAATTTGGATGCCAGGCTTTGGGACATGTTGAAGTTAATTCTTTTTTAATATTTACCTAAAAATATGTTTAGAGGAGGAACATATTCTGGAAACTCAGTCTGATTCAAACATCTTCCATTATATTGTTTTGAGAATAGGGTCAAGTGTACATTTCATACTTGCTTTGAAAGATCACCCAATGGTAAGAATATTGGGGAATTTATTAAATTTTCAAGCCATTATGGTCACATTAAGTACTTTATTGTTACGGAATTTAAAAGACTCAATCTCCCTCTTTGGGCACTTTGCTTCTACCAGAGAATACTTTGGTCATTAGTGAGAATGTTTTTTTCTTATGTTTCTACAAAGATGGTAGGATAGCTGTCGTAGAGTGTGGCCAAATTCTAAAACTGATTTCCTTCACCTCCCCACACGTGTAAATTTAGAGATACTATAGATATTCTAAGTCATTATCTCCTTGTTGATTCCATAGCATGGTGTTTAAAATCCTGGGAACACGAATAACTCACTAGCACCTTTCAGATGTGCAGTTTTCTTGGTGCTTTGATGCACAAAATATTGGAACCAATTCTTAGGCCTAAATAATATGTTGCAACATCTATAATACTTTCAACAATAAAGATAAATTTAAGAAAATATGTTGCTACTGTTGATAAGCACTTACATAATATTATACTTGGTTACCTGTGACCAACATCTTCTCTAGTTGTTAATTTTGAGAGCAGAGGCTAACTTTTTATTTTTTTTTTTTATTTTTTATTTTTTGGAAACAATTTTTTTTTTTTCTTTTTTCTTTTTTTTTTTTTTTTTTTTCTCTAATATATTTTATTGATTTTTTACAGAGAGGAAGAGAGAGGGATAGAGAGCTAGAAACATCGATGAGAGAGAAACATCGACCAGCTGCCTCCTGCACACCTCCCACTGGGGGTGTGCCCGCAACCAACGTACATGCCCTTGACCGGAATCGAACCCGGGACCCTCCAGTCCGCAGGCCGACGCTCTATCCACTGAGCCAAACCGGATTCGGCAGAGGCTAACTTTTTAAGATACTAGTGAAATTTTGATTGTTAAATCACATTTAAATATTCCTTAAAAACCTAAGTGTAAGTTGTTTTTAAACTAATGTGGATGGATTTACACAAACCTATTCCCATTGTCCCCTACTTGGATTTGTCAGATGGCTGCCTGGGGCTATAGCTGTGGGCAGGATAACGGCTTGTCCCAGTTGTTGGGGGCTGTCCGCTTTTAGCGTTGAAACCCCTCAGCCCTGGACAGTTCACACATTGTATGCGGGAAACGTATTTATAGTTTTACGTTGACTGTAAGTAGTAGAGCCACCTGTTACTACCCGCAAACAATGTGTTCAGACCACCAACCAGACTCTAGTTGTTGGTCATTGCTGGGCGACAGGATGAAGCTCATTGGCCTCCATGTGGATCAGTTCTGTAGCCTTTGGTTTAAAGCAGCTGAGCCAAAGACTCCACAATCCCCTAGTAAGAGTTTAGTTTGTAATGATAGAGGCCTGCCAGAGAATTGGGCATAAGCAAGAGGGTTGCTAAAACATTCTCTCCATGATTCTACCTTCTTTTTACAAACTTAAGCTTTCAGGATGAAAGGTATTTTATAAACGGTTCCTCATATTTTAGCAACTCAAGAAGGAATTAGCTGTTCACTTTATTTTTATTAGACTTGCATAAAAAATATGAGGCTCTCTATTAAAATTAAAAATGGCCTACATGGACATAATAAGAGGAACTTAACCATTTGGCTTTTGTACTACCATACCTTCTAATTTAAAGATGTGGAATTAAAGGAATACAATAAGGTACAGAGAGAACTAATGGGAAACATGTATATAGAGGCATCTGTCTGTGCATTCTGAGTAGAAGTAAGCTATTCATTTGAAATGTGAACTTAAAACAGAATAAGCCAGCACGTTTCTTCCTTGTAATGTGGAATACTTCCCCGGTGCCTTCGGAGAGGTTAAGGAAAAGTTATATCTGACTAGGTGTCCTTTTAAAAGTTTAATTTTTAAAGGTTTCCATGTGGACTGCAAAAAAGGACAAGATCATTGTTCATTATGCCAAATGGCACGGACTCATTTACAGGGATGACATTATAGTTTTTATATAGTGTAGCTGCTATGACTAAAGGGTTCAAGTGACATTTTCCCTTTGGGGATGAGGCTTTCCTAGAAAAAAAATTCGATTAATTTCTTTCCTACTTAGGTTAAAGTCAATACTTACAGACTTCTTATGGGAATAAATGGCTTTGATTTTTCTCTGTAGAAACCAAGCTCTGTCCGCATCGATCAACTGGATCGTGAACAGTTCAACCCCGATGTGATTACTTTTCCAATAATCGTTCACTTTGGGATACGCCCTGCACAGTTGAGTTATGCAGGAGACCCACAGTAAGATATTTCTCGGTGTTTGTCTTAGCCAATTTCACCTTCTACTCACAGCTTCATTAGCAGAGGAATACCTTTTAGCGGATGTTTTCCTTTTTGAAAATTAAGAACTAAAATGAGCCATGTTTCCAAATTTAGGTCACCAAATGAAACAAATTTTGGTAGCTTACAGGAAATTATTATTCAATAGATTATCCTTTGCAGTCTTGGTCAGCAAGAGTCCTGTATGTTTTTAATCTTTAAGGAACTTTTCATTTATTCATCCTTATAATACTTATTGTTACTATTTTTTCAGTGCCCTCTAGAGGAAAATAGCATCATATTGGTTCCTAGCACTGCTGAATTCATACAGATTCTATTTTTTTGGAGCACCTTAGTAAGAGCTTAAGACCCCATGCAAAGCTAAGGGTCGTGTTAGAAGGAGAAGCTGTGGCTTCTGACTTTCAGAATTGATGTTATTTTCCACATTTGGGTTTTTCTAACTGGCATGTTAGTGTTTTTCTGGGAGAAGATGAACATGTGTGATATTGGAAATATTACCATTATTTTCTTCAGGAATGTTTGAATTTCCTACCTTGTTAAACAAACGAATAGTTAACTGAGTTAAAAGTTTTTTTAAAGGATTCATAATGAGAGAAAAGGGCATTTGGGCTTTTTAATTCATAAATACAATTCTGGCTAATATCTTAGAAGAGGCTAAAGGGTTTTATTCTTTTTCCCCCCTCTTTGGATAAAAGTATAAAGCAGTGAACCAGGCACTGTGTAAGTACTTCTTTCTTTCCTCCATTCTCTAAGAAACTGTTATCAAAAAGAGACCCAGCTGAGGCCGAGAAAGGAGCAGTTTCAATGACAGAACCAGCTTCAAGATGACAGAAAACCCTTTGAAAGCCCCTTCTTGTCAGAAAAATGTTAGTAGAATGTGATTAGGCTCTCGTGGACTCAGGTGGCAGGAGTGTGAATTGATAAAAAACTCCCCTTCATTCCCCGGGCACTTTAACAGCATCCTTCAGGCCCATCTAGGTTACCACATGTTTGGCTACAAACGTGCTTATTCTTGTCCTGATATATACAGATGAGTGTACACCATTCATCTTTCCCCCTCCCCACTGGAGAAATGGATACAGCTATGTAGCGAGGGTATTGGCACGGATGTGGCTTTCTTTCTAATACTCTCCAAATTTTACTTTCAGTCTAGGCCGTTCAGAGACTGACAGTATCCTTATTGAGGGGTCTTTCTCTCAGCAAACATCAAAAAGTACATGTTTAAATAAAATTTGTCACTTTCAAGGAGGTAACAATGAGAAACAGCATATGTTTCTATTGGCTTTGTATATCTCCTTTGGAATTCTTTCCAGATAGATTCACCCATGTAGTGACACCTCATTTTTCAACCAAAATAAGCAATAATCAGCTTAATAACTAGGTTCCAGATAGCTTTTGGTCATCCTGACCTTCAACCCCCCCAAACCATATCCTTCCTTAGAATGAAGGTTTGCTGCCATTATGGTATAAAAAAAGAATGCTGTTTATAATTGAACAGGGCTATTGAGACAACTGGCTTTATTGTGCTTCAGATTGGCCTGCTCTTTGTTGAAGATGTCTGTCTGTCCTTTTCCTTAGGTACCAGAAACTGTGGAAGAGTTATGTGAAACTTCGCCACCTCCTAGCAAATAGTCCCAAAGTCAAACAAACGGACAAACAGAAACTGGCCCAGAGGGAGGTGGGTATTGAGCTCTGTTCTGTGATTGATGATGCGCTTCAGGTTGATTTCAAGGTTGTCGCATGGCACTACACTTTTGAATAAGATGGGAAAAGACTTTCAAAAAGTCATAGTTTACTCCCCTCCTCACATTAGTAGGCTGATTGATTTTTTTTTCATCTTATTAGTATCTAAGGAACCATTTTTCCTCCTAAAAAGGATACTTTTTTCTTTTTTTATAAAGGAGGATAGTTTCTTAACTAAAGGATTGCTACCATTGGGAATAAATGTATCTTTTATAGAAACTAAAATATAAAACTGGCTGGATCAGCTTTTTATCATAATTAGACTGCACATCATATAACTTTGGATCTTATGCAAATTTCTTGGTGTTAAGGTTGTAAAAGATTGTCTTCCATATGCCTGTCAGTTTAGTGGGTGAACTTATTTTGTAAGGTTTTATGCTCTACATTCCACATGTCTTTACTAATGGGTCATATTATCTTTATATTCCAGGAACACTTATGTTTTAGTTATAATTTTAAGAGTAAATGAATTTGGTATCAAAATAGATTTTGTCTCAGTGAGGTTTATTCTGCTTGGTGGTGTAAGAGCAAGGCTCTGAGGCTGGGAAAGGTGTTTGAATTCTGGCTTCGTCACTTACTGTGACTTGAGCCAGTCAGCTTCGGTAAAGAGGAGGGAAGCAGGGCTGAGAGAGGCTGACTGAGCTGTCCCGCTGTTGGTGCCCCAGGGAAAAAGGTGGTTGTGTGGACTTCTGAAATAGTCCATTGAGCTTTCCTCTAATCAGGGGTGGAGGTGGTGGTGGTGGTGGTGGTTCCTTTGTATTATGAATTCCTATGAGGTTGTTCCTGAGTAAGTATACAAATATAAAATTATTTTTATGATTAATTATTTGAAGTGCAGTTAAAGGAAAGAGTTCCTGACTATGTCTTGCAGAAGTTTTAGATTATTGTATTTTTTAAAATAAAATGTATCCTCCCAATAAGAGTTGTTATAATGGGTTGGCAAATTTGAAAGCGACTTTTAGAATTACGTGGGTTGCAGGTTAATTTATTGATTGTATTTCTTAGATGTAAAGGCTTGACAACATAGGCTTGCTATAATTATAATTTTTACATGCTGATTTCAAAACCCAAACACTACTTTTTAAAAAATCAGTAAAGGTCATTTTTAATTTGAACTTGCCAGAATGGTAGATTTGGCTTAAATCTTTTTCTTATCTAGTTACCCAAGGCTTTGAGCATTCTGGCCATCATTTCAAGTAAATTACTGTAATTTGGCATGAAGAGGTTTGAGTGCCTGGATGTAAGGGTGATATTGAATGAATCTAGCTTATTTTCTAATGCTTGATGTTTGGCTTAAAATTGCTCTGCAACCATCAGGTGACTCATCATAATGAGTTCTCTTCTAGGAAGCGCTCCAAAAAATACGACAGAAGAATACAATGAGGCGAGAAGTAACAGTGGAGCTCAGTAGCCAAGGATTCTGGAAAACTGGCATCCGTTCTGATGTCTGTCAGGTAACGATGCTTCTGGGAATACAGTCATCCTGTATACCTCTTCCTTTAAAAGTCATTGGTGCTGAAGTTTTCCTAATTCTGAGAAGTTTCTGCGGAACATATTACCTTGTAGCTAAATGGGACACCCATAAATTGTTTTGTGTCCTTTGGGTTTTGTTTTTGTTGTCAGTTTTGCTATTATCTTGATGAACTGTGTGTGTGTGTGTGTGTGTGTGTGTGTGTGTGTGTGTGTGCGCGCGCGCGTGCGTGCACTCACAGGCACAGTGGTAGGGTGGGGGGCACTTAGTAATGCTAGACGCTGTCTCTGCATATTGAGTGAAGGCAAGTCCATTCTTCAAATGCACCTGTCTGTTTGCAGCCATGTGCAGGTGCTTGTCCAAAAAGATACACAGCAGCAGCTCTACAGGCAGATTCCCGGAGGCCATGTGTACATACTATGACCTGTGACTCAAGCTTATGCTGCAGGAAACTGAAGGCATTGATGAACGGAATCAGTATAAATTTCATATTTGACCCAAATGATAGTATTTTTTCATTTGATGAACTCAATAGAGGAATATGTCAGATATATATGCTGACTCACTAATAAGTATTTTGTTTTCCCTGTGGGAGGAATTTTTACCAGATCAGAGAGCTCCAAAGCTCACTTGATTTTTTTTGTTATGATTGGTACTGGTTGCGCTGCAGAGAAATTACAGTAAAGGAAAATGACTACCCAGGCTGGGGTCAGGTAATGTAATTAGCTGTGTTCAGCCTTTTGGAAGAATTCTTTCCAGGCTTCCACTTATCTGTTTTGATGGTAGCATATATTGTAATAAGTTTCGATACTCTCAGGTATTCATTTCATCATAATCAGTGTGTTTTTAAAAAAATCAATGTTGGCATTTAATTATTATATTGAACAGTGGGATTTAATCCAATAATTAAAGGTATTACTGTGCAATTCATTTCCCATGTGATGTCCAAAGCTAAATAGTTTTGTTTTAAGATGAACTGCTATTGATGCAGTACTGCTAAATAGTTTGAGAATAATCATCTACAGTGGTAGCCAGCATCCTCCAGGTCCTCAATTATTTTGCCAATTGACCACATTTTTTTTTCTCTAAGTACTTTCAATAGTGAATATCTTACTCTGTTGATTCTCTCTGAGAGTCACTTGAAGTCATATCACCTGATTGCCTGCTTGCTAGTGTTTCTCCGAATCCATAACATCATCCTAAGGTAGACACCATAAGAACAATGAGTGGAATGTTGAACAATGAGTGGAGTCTGCCTCAAACCTGGTGATCTCAGTGACAAGTCGGAGTTGATTGTTTGAGAGATCCTAAAATTGTGGAGCATTGAGAACTGGAAAGGACCTTAGAGATCTTCTAGTTTAGTGATTTTTAAACTTGAGTTTTTGGGTAACTCTGAAGTTGTTTTGTTTTTTAACAAAACCCTGTGAGGCCCTAATTTATAAAAAGATAAAGCAATAACTGTCTGATTGGTGGGTGTGGAGGGATTATCCTATTTTACTTGCTTTTCTTCCCACCCCAGGTTGCAGTCCCTAAGGCAGTTTTGTTCCGCTGAACGCAGTTTTTTAAAAAGTATCGAGTCCTTTTCCCCTTTTCTTTTGGTGAAACAAATAGGGGCGCTCAATAATCTGCTCCACTGCAGTTTTCCGTTCTTTGTGTATCACGGATGCCTCACTTTGGCTCCTCAGCTAGATTAGACATAGCTTGAGGACTAGGTTATTTTCTCTATATACATATTATATTTTTCATTCTGCTTTGAGGTTGGTAGGAGCACTCAGTGACTTTCTTTGACTGACTGGTCAGAGAAAATGGATCCTGATTAAACTGTATACAAAGGTGAATATTTTTTGATCTGGTCATAGTTCCTCCGTCTGTAGGATTCCCATTCTTCCAAGACAACTGGTAACTGTTTAGAAGCTATGCTTACTGTCAATTGATGGCATTCGCACCAATTCAGTGACAACTGGAATCCCCATTTTGGGGTGTGGTGAAGAAGGAAACTTTACAGCTCAATTGTGAAACAGCTAGGCTGTGAAAACAGCACAGATGTATAATAGCGGCTCAATTGTGTTACCACAGGGCTGTGAGGCAGCCCTGGGACCAGGCCCCTCTTCTGTTCTGCTCTACTCCTCCACAGTCTGCTCTGGCCTGCCCTGGTCTGCGCCCCTTTGCTTCCACAAGACATCTTTGGTGTTTCAGCTCAGTCAGTTGAAACAGTCCTTGATGGAAAGTGCACTCCAGAGCCAGTGGAGAGCTGGCTTGTATGGACAGAAGTTCCTGCCAGTGGTCCCTGATTGGTCTGCTCTCATGCAAATGAGGACTTCAAATCTTTGCAGTTTGATTGGTCCAAAAGGCACTGTCCTGACTGGTCAGAATAGAGCCGCTCTGATTGGATGTGGGGAAAGCCTCAGTCCTATTGGTTGAAATAGGATTCTAGGAACTCCTTTGTAAGGGCTGGCTCAGATGGCAGGACTGTTCATTGCAGAGGAAGGTAGTTCAGTGCAGGCTTCTCCCTGAAGAGCAGTGTGTGTGAGAGGCCCCTGTGTAGAAATGACTGCTAGGCTCTATTTTTCAGAAATTTGAGCCTAGTTAGCCATCAGGAACCCTTCTTAGTAGGTGTTTTTTTTCCCTCAGGGTTCACATTACATTCTCCTGTCCTCCTAATGAAGTCTTATTTAATTTTAGTAAAATTATGCTCGCATTTAAATGACTTGATAAAGACTGTAAATTGCTGACTTTGAGTTCATATACTGAATACAGGAATTGCTGTATGGTTTGTCAAAAGGAGAAAATGTCTACATATAAATGAATGAAAGTGTGAGCCAGCCAGCTACCTGAGAAGTTGATAGAAGCAGAAGAGAAAGAAATCTGGGTACAAGAGCAATAATGGGGGAGTGGGGGGCAGGGGGTTCGGACTCTTAAAAACAGTGATAAAACCATAAATTCCATGTTTTGGTGAAATAGTTCCTTATGTACCAAAATCAAGTCATCCTGGAGGCATTTTGTAGCTGTCACCGTTAGGTGGAGAGGTGAAGTATCTATTTCTCTACCTTGATATATTAAATATTACTCCACCATCAATGAATTTTCTTGGAGTTGTGAAAGTAAACTGTTACCTGCACTGAGCTTAAAACATCACCATATAGGAATGCCACCTGTGCAAGTGAGAGGCTCCATGGTGGAAATTATTAAAGCCATTCCTCTGGTCCGTGCCAGTTTCTTGAATCTCTGAGACTTGTCCTCACTTGGCTTTCTGTTAGACTGTCCTCTTGTACTCACCCAGTGACTTGGATTCTGCAGACCCCTCTCCGGTTTTGGTCACATTTCCAGTGAATGCATGATGTTAATTTTTGGGTTCTTTCATTCTCAGGGCCCTCGGACGCCCTGCTACACTTCCTGTCTTCGCTCTCACAGGTGCGAGACCACACAGGGATTTGTCCTCACGCACTCTTATTTAGGAGCTCATGGGGATACTTTGTCTTCTAGTTTTTATGTATATATTGTTTGTAAGTCTAGTTTGCTATTCTGGTTGCTCTATATTTATGGGAGAATTTTAATATTCTTAAAGTTACACATGGCCATTTCCTCACACTCTTTTAGGGGAACTTTTTTTTTAAATGAAAGCAGTTGCCAGGCTTGAATTAGAGGGAGAGCAAAAATATGCCCAGTGATTATGTGCCTTTCAACATTGCAGAGGTTGGTATTTTAAAAAACTGAGCTAGAGATACAAGTCTTGTAGTTAATGTTGAGACTTGTTGCCTGGGATGGACGTGGGTCATGCTTTCCTTTCCATGGTATTCACAAGAAACAGACTTTTTTGGAAAGAGAAACTGGCTCTAGTTGGAGCAAGTTTAGAAGAAGTGGTGAAGCGACTAAGAGCTGTTTCATATGAGTCAAGGTTCAAGGAAATAAGACTTAGGTTAACCAAGAGACGATGTAGGGGCCAGGCCACTTAATGCATCTTTTTATTTTGTCTCTAGGGGTAGAACTAGGTTCCAAGGGATAAGGAGACAGATTTGGGCTTAATGTTCTAAAAATTATCTGGTAATCAGAGTACTCTAGAGAGGGCTTTATTGATCTCTCACTGGAGGTATTAAAAAATAAACAATTCACCAGTTTAAGTTCACACTTTAGAAAGATAGTTGCACTGTATAGTCTTCATGACCTGTCCACCTTGAGTGTTTAGCTTTGACTCCCTTGAGCTCCCTGCAATTTAGATGCCTGTAAAACCATATTATACTTGGGCCACACACTGCCATATTACTATATTTTTAAATACAGCACTTATAAAAACTATGTGGACAAAATGCCAATAATTCAAATCATAATGGCACATCTCTGGGAATCCCTTGAGGGCAAAAAGAGTGTCTTCATCTTTTTCTCTTCCACACCCTTGGAAGCCTTGCACATGGAGGTGCTCAGTATGTCTTTATTGAATTGAACTGGAACGAAAGACATTCTGTTGATCAGAGCGTCTATTTGGGAGAACTAATCATTCTTTTTAAGTTAATAATACAGGGAACTGATTTCTATAGTTTCAAGCAAATCCATTTTCATGTATTTTTAAATACTGCCAGCTTAAAATACTTCAAAGACTAAAATGGTAGAAAGCATATGTCAGTCATTCTGTGAGCTGTGCCCATCCTCCAGGCTCTGATGAATAAGAATGACTCCTTTATTCTCTTAAGTTCTAGGGAACCATTATTAAAGAACAGAAAAAGACATACCTTTCATGAAATTATCTCCCAACGAGGTATCTATAGCCAAATGAAAAGTGATTGAAACAAAAAACAAAAGTTCCATGCTCTCGGGTGCCTTTATTGTATCGGTGGCTCTATAAAAGTTGTCCTTACAATGTTAAGCCATTAAGTGTGAAACCTGGAATGGCCTTTGAAGATCACCTGGTTGAGAAGGTCTTACCTAAAGGATAGTGATGGGCTTCAGGGGTTCTGAGCCCATTAAAATGGCATCCAATTTTGCATGCTTGTGTGCAGAGGCATTTTGAGGGGAAAGAATTATTTTCCTTAGATTCTCAGAAGTGTCTTGACCATGACAAAGTTCCCAGATTGGTGAGTCCTAATCCATTCCCTTGTAATTAAAGATAGACAAGGAGGCACAAACGTTCTTTTTTTTTTTTTTTAAATATATTTTATTGATTTTTTACAGAGAGGAAGGGAGAGGGATAGAGAGGTAGAAACATCGATAAGAGAGAAACATCGATCAGCTGCCTCCTGCACACCCCCTACTGGGGATGTGTCCGCAACCAAGGTACATGCCCTTGACTGGAATCGAACCTGGGACCTTTCAGTCCACAGGCCGACGCTCTATCCACTGAGCCAAACCGGTCAGGGCTACACAAACGTTCTTGTGACCTTGTCGAGGTTATCTTGCTGAGTACTGATTGAACCAGGGCCATTCCTACTTGAATGAGGGCTAATAGGACTTGTTGTAAACCGTTTTTTGTTGTTGTTGTTTCACTTATTTTTTTTTTTTATTAATCTTTATTGTTCAGATTATTACAGATGTTCCTCTTTTTTTCCCCAATTGCTCCCCTCCACCCGGTTCCCACCCCACCCCATGCCCTTACTCCCCCCCACTGTCCTCGTCCATAGGTGTAAGATTTTTGTCCGATCTCTTCCCACACTCCCCACACCCACTTCCATGTGAGAATTGTCAGTTCATTCCCTTTCTATGCCCCCGATTCTATTATATTCACCAGTTTATTTTGTTCATCAGATTTTTTATTTACTTGATTTTTAGATTCACTTGTTGATAGATATGTATTTCTTGTCACTTTGTTGTTCATAATTTTTTTTTCTTTACCTTTTTCTTCTTCCTCTTTTTAAAGAATACCTTTCAGCATTTCATATAATACTGGTTTGGTGGTGATGAACTCCTTTAGCTTTTTCTTGTCTGTGAAGCTCTTTATCTGACCTTCAATTCTAAATGATAGCTTTGCTGGGTAGAGTAATCTTGGTTGTAGGTTCTTGCTATTCATCATTTTGAATATTTCTTGTCACTCCCTTCTGGCCTGCATAGTTTCTGTTGAGAAATCAGCTGACAGTCGAATGGGTTCTCCCTTGTAAGTAACTGTTTTTCTCTTGCTGCTTTTAAGATTCACTCTTTGTCTTTTGCCCTTGGCATTTTAATTATGATGGTCTTGGTGTGGTCCTCTTTGGATTCCTTTTGTTTGGGGTTCTCCGCGCTTCCTGGACTTGTAAGTCTATTTCTTTCACCAGGTAGGGGAAGTTTTCTGTCATTATTTCTTCAAATAGGTTTTCAATATCTTGCTCTCTCTCTCTTTTTCTGACACCCCTATAATTCAGTTGTTGGTATGCTTGAAGTTGTCCCAGAGGCTCCTTACACTGTCTTCATATTTTTGGATTCTTTTTTCATTTTGCTTTTCCAGTTGGGTGTTTTTTGCTTCTTCGTATTTCAAATCTTTGCCTTGATTCTTGGGATCCTCTGGTCTGCTGTTGGATCTCTGTATATTATTCTTTATTTCAGTCAGTGTATGCTTAATTTCTGATTGGTCCTTTTTCATATCCTTGAGGGTCTCATTAAATTTATCGGTGGTTTCTAGAAGATTCTTGAGTAACCTTATAACCATGGTTTTGAACTCTATATCCAGTATTTTGCTTTTATCCATTTCTTTCATTTGTGACTTGTTTCTTTGTCTCCACAATTTGGCTGCTTCCTGTGTTGATAGAGTGGCCTTGTGTGGTAGATGTCCTCTAGGGCCCAGTGGCTCAGCCTCCCCAATCACCTGAGGTGGACACTCTTGGTGCACCCCTTTGTGGGCTGGGTGCACAGTCCTGTTGTAGTTAAGCCTTGATTGCTGTTGGTATCACTGGGAGGAATTGACCTCCAGATCAATTGGCTGTGAGGACCAGCTGTGTCTACAGTGGAAGAACTGCTGTGCCGGAGATACCCTTATGGGGCAGGACTTGCTTCAGTGGGGCTTTGGTGCTCACTGAGTCTTCCCCTTGAGTGTGTCCCTTATGGATGTGAAGAGTTGTAATCTGGTATGGTCTCACACTGACCACTGGGTACACTGGCTCTTGGATCTCCAAGGAGGTGCTAAGTCAGCCACTGCCTGACTTAGCACCTCCCCAGCAGGAGCAACAGAGAGATCTGCAGATTCGTCCTCTTTGTTTGGGGTTTGGAGGTGCCCAGATGGGCCCAGCTGTGAAGCAAAGCTGGTTGCTGTTGCTGAGCCTTGGGGCTTCTTTTGGAAGCTCTGGAGCTCTCTGACCCAGCTGCAGTTTGTTAGGTTTTATGCTGCGAAAGGATGGGCCATTCATATGCAAAAGCCGATGCGCACAGCTTAGGTGGGGTTGTAAATTGGGTGGGGCGGGGTCTCTGGGAATCACCAGGGTGGAGCACATAGCAATGGCTGCCAGTCAGCTCTTCATTGGAGAGGTCCCCGCGTCTCTTCGATCTGCATCCCTGAGCAGGAACAATGATCACTGCGAGCACCTCTAAGAGAAAGCCGCCCTCGTGTTCCAGCCCGATGCCAGACAGTCCAGTTTCTCCCTGAATGAGTCTGGGTCTCCAGAGTCGACCCCGGAACTGGAGTTCAGAGCAATCGGGAGCTTGTATCTCCCTCCCGATTGAAAAAAACAATAGCGCACCCAGTTGCCAGCCCATTTCGCGCGCGCCTCCACAACTCCGCACCTCTGAACCTCCTACCAGTCTCAGTGCACTTTTTTCTTTCCTCCTAGTTGTGGAACTTCCACTCAGCCAGCTTTCCCATGGTTTTGGATTATCGATGTTTTGTCTTTTAGTTGTAGTTTTCATGTGGTTGTGAGAGGCAGCAAGTACATGTTTTTACCTATGCCGCCATTTTGGTTCTCTCCTAAACCGTTTTTTTTTATGTTTGTTTATTTAATCCTTTTAACTGTCCTTGAAAGTAGCTATAATGATTTCCCCCATTTTACAGGTGAGGAAACTGAGGCTGAGAAGTGAAATAACTTGCCCTAAGTCCCACAATGAATGAGTAACAGAGCAGGATTTGGACCCAGGCATTCTGGTTCCAGAGAATATACCCCAAACAACTAAGGTCCCTTACCCTTTGTAGATGGTGCATCAGGATGCCATGCCCCCACTAAACTGTTTCAAGACATTGACTTGGAATTTGGGTTGCGAAAATAGTTTTCATTTGTTGCATTTTTAAAAGGTTTTATAGAGTTAAACATACTGATTTTTTTTTTTTAAGCACGCAATGATGCTACCTGTTTTGACCCATCATATTCGCTACCACCAATGCCTAATGCACCTGGACAAGTTGATAGGGTATACTTTCCAAGATCGTTGTCTGTTACAGGTAAGAATTACTCTCCTGTACACTCACATGATAACAGGGTAGCAGTAATTCATCTTGCAGGTTTCAGATGGAGCATTGAGTTCTCTCTTCTGGGAGATGATGACGATGTTTAGAAACCGCTCTCTCCTTTATTTTGGTTGCCCCTTTCAAACCCTTTTTCTCACCTTTTTTTTTGAGGCCGTCCCTAAAGAAACAAACTAAAGCAAAAATTTGCCTGTCAAACCGGAGCCCCTTCTTTCGGTTTTCCTTCTTTATGGCTCTTCTTTCTAGGTGTTGAGTACTCTAATTCTCCTCCAAAAGATGTAGACTTTAGATTTATTTTTAGAAGAGGGCTTGCACCAGTGCTGTGGAAATTGGAGGAGATAGATGGAAAGATCAGGGCTTAAAAGTCGACTGGCTAGACAGATCTCTTTCCTGTTTCATTGGTGGATAATGTAAAGATGGCATTTCTGTGTTGAGTTTTTAAGGCTGAATTTATTTCACTAAAATTTTAGCTGGCCATGACCCACCCGAGCCATCACTTGAATTTTGGAATGAATCCTGATCATGCCAGGAATTCTTTGTCTAACTGTGGAATTCGCCAGCCCAAATATGGAGACAGAAAAGTTCATCACATGCACATGCGGAAAAAAGGTGTGTTTGGATTCTGCTCTCGTGCTTTGGCCTGTGTTCTGGGTTAAATCTCCACTGGGAATGGTTCCCTGGTGACTGTTCCATCCTTTCATTCTTCAGTGCTTCTTGCCCCATACATAATAATAATCATGTTGAGCAGAGCATTGAAATAGGATGGATGACTTTTTTAGAAAAACTTATTCCTCCTATTTAGTGTTTTAAGTAACTAAGTTGATTAAATTTGTACACATGCAGATATTAAACTTTTTAAAGTCATATTGGGATGAGCTAGATAATTTTTTTCCAATATGTCATATCATGGCCCTAGAATGCTTCTAACAGTATTTACTTGTGTATTTTTTTTTTAAAATAGGAATTAACACCTTAATAAATATTATGTCACGCCTTGGCCAAGATGACCCAACTCCTTCAAGGTACAGTAGATTTTTTTTATAACAGCTATATTGCAGTATAATTCACATACTATATAATTCACCCATTTAAAGTATACAATTCAGTAGTTTTTAGTTTGTTCACAACATTGTGCAGCCATGATCATTCCTAATTTTAGAACATTTCATCACCTTTGAAGGAAACCTGGTGCCTCTTACTAGTTACTGCCCTTTCTTTCAGCCTGCTCAGCCTTAGGCAACTAGTACTTTCAATCTTTATGAATTTGTCTATTTTGGACATTTTGTATTAGTGGCAATATATTGTATGTCGTGATCCTTTGTGACTGGCTTATAGTATGTATCAGTACTTCATTTCTTATTCATATTCCATGGTATGGTTATGTCACATTTTATTTAATCATATACCAATTGATAGGCATTTGGAGTTGTTTCTACTTTTCTGTTATCATGAATGATGTTGCTATGAATATTTGTGTATAGATTTTTGTGTTGCCATATGTTTGTGTGGTTTTTTTTAATCCTCACCCAAGGATATGTTTTTATTTATTTATTTATTTTTTAAATATATTTTCTATTGATTTTAGAGAGGAAGGGAGAGGGAGAGAGAGCTAGAAACATCAATGATGAGAGAGAATCATTGATTGGCTGCCTCCTGCACGCCCCCCACTGGGGATCGAGCCCACACCCCAGGAATGTGCCCTTGACTGGAATCGAACCCTGGACCCTTCAGTCTGCAGGCCGATGCTCTATCCACTGAGCCAAGCCAGCTAGGGCAAAAGGATATGTTTTTATCGATCTGAGAGAGAGAGAGAGAGAGAGAGAGAAGAGAGAGAGAGAGAGAAGAGAGAGAGAGAGAGAGAGAGAGAGAGAGAACATTGATCAGTTGCCTCCCCCACATGCGCAGACTGGAGATTGAGCCCACCACCTGGGAATGTGCCCTGACCAGGAATTGAACCTGCCACCTTTTGGTGTGTGGGACAATGCTCCAACCAACTGATCCCCAGCCAGGGCTGGACAGATGTTTTGATTTTTCTTGGTTATATACCCAGGGGTGGAATTGTTGGGTCATATGGTAACTCTCTTTAACCTTTTAAGAAACTGCCAGACTGTTTTCCAAAATGGCTACACCATTTTATATTCCCAACAGTAGTATTTCAGGTTTCTGATTGTACTGGGCAATCAGGCAGGCAGATGAGTGGTTAGGGGCGATCAGGCAGGCAGGCAGAGTGGTTAGGGGCGATCAGGCAGGCAGGCAGAGTGGTTAGGGGCAATGAGGCAGGCAGGCAGAGTGGTTAAGGGCCATCAGGCAGGCAGGCCGAGCGGTTAGGAGCCAGCTTCCCAGATTGTGAGAGGGTGCAGGCCGGGCTGAGAGAACCTCCCTCCCCCTCTCCCCCCACATGAATTTCATACACTGAGCCTCTAGAATTAAATAGAAGTGGTGAGAGCAGTTACTTCTTTTTCCTAATCTTAAGGGGAAAGCATTCAATCTTTCATCATTGAGTCTGATATTAATTTTGGGTTTTTCTTAGATGCCCTTTTTCAGGTTTAAGAAATTCCCTTCTATTCCTAGTTACTTAATGTTTCTGTTATGAAAGTGTGTTGAATTTTGTCAAATGTTTTCTCTGCATTTACTGAGATCATGTGTTTTTCCCTCCATTTATTCTACTCCCATGATGAATTAGTAATTGATTTTTAGATGTTAAACTGACTTTGCTTTCCTGGGGTACATCCCACTTGATCATGGTGTATAGTCCTTTTTGTATGCTGTGAATTTAGTTTGTTAGTGTTGAGGATTCTTGTGTCTATATTCATAAAAGATACAATTCTGTAGTTTTCATTTCCTGTGATGCTTCTATCAGGTTTCATTGTTAGAATAATAATGGCCTTACATAAGGGGTTGGAAAGTTTAAATGTTAGCTTTCCTTATTTTATTTCTTGATTTTAAAAGATACTTTCATGTATTAATACTCGTATTTTGTGTGGCCTTGAGCCCCTGAAGAATCTGGGAAGAAAGTGGGCTAGGCCTATATAAATTCACCCCAAAAATTTAATGAAAGCAGCCCTGACCGGTTTGGCTCAGTGGATAGAGCGTCGGCCTGCGGACTCAAGGGTCCCGGGTTCGATTTCGGTCAGGGGCATGTACCTTGGTTGTGGGCACATAACCAGTAAGGAGTATGCAGGAGGCAGCTGATCGATGTTTCTAACTCTCTATCCCTCTCCCTTCCTCTCTGTAAAAAATCAATAAAATATATTTAAAAAATTTTTTTTGAATGAAAGCAGGTGCCTAATGGCTGATGAGGCCAGGTTTAAATCTTCTTTGTCTCCTCTGCCCCAACTAGAGTTGTTGATATGTAAATTATGTCATCAGTAGTATTTTCAAGCCTCATGATTTATGTTTTCTTTTGTGCTATTACAAAGAGATGCTTTCAAGGGCGGGGGGGAAAAAAAGGACACTTATGTAATACCCTTTGTAATACTTTTAGCGAAAAAAAAAAAAAGAGATGCTTACTTATCATGGCAAAAGGAATGATATCTGAGAAACAACGTTCTTTCTGAATTTCCCATTTTGAAAATGATACCATCGACAGAGAATAAACACTTTCTTTTGTCCTTTGACTTCTGGCCTTTAATGCTTATGTTGAGAGTCTTCAGCCCTGTCTGTGATCTTTCTGCTGATTGAGAGTTGACTGGAGTTTCCATCCAGGAAGAGCCTCCTGGCCTCCAGGGCCAGGTCTGCTGCTGCTCCAATGTTGCTATCCAGCGTTCCCCAGCGGGCACAGCCCTGGGAGCAGTACTTCAGAAGCTTCACACAAATGTAATTCAGCAGATGCTGAGCCAGTGCCTTTTGAGTTTGAGGCAGTTTGTAGGTATTTTAGGTGATTCCAAGGCAAGTAAGTCCAAGCTGCACTCACCAGGAGGCCTGGCTACCTGCGGTGGGTAGAGAGTGCTATAAACATAAAGTACTTACTACAAGGGAGACTCTGCTAGTGCTTCAGTGAAGGTCAGAACAGAATGTACACACGAGACTGCTGTGGGGCTAAGGACAGCTCTGCTGGCTGCTTAGGGGTCACAGGTCAGTTTTGTACTGTGCATTGAATAATTGAGTTCACTTGCGATGATTTGCCCTCTCCTCGGTTTGTTTCTTACTTTGCTATTATAAAATGAGATGCATCTGTTCCTCAGAAGTGTTTGTATATCTTTGAAGCAAACACCATTAAACTGCAAGTGTCAGTGGTTATATCTCCTCCCAAGCAAGCCTGCTCAGAATTAAGGGAAGAGAGAGCGAGCGAGCCAGTTAAGTTGTTTGGGAAATCGGTTTTTGGCACTGATGGCCGTGGGAAGGTGGACGAGCAGGGCAGGCCGGGGAGAGGGCCGAGAGGAGGGGCTCTCAATGGACTTCTAGTTCCCCGGAAAACCACTCCTCCCACCTGCCCACCCTGCAGTTAGTGACCAGCTCTGCCAGTTCCCCTTCACACTGCAGCCAGCCAGCTTGCTGGTTCTAGAGCTTGATTCTCGTTCTTAGTGGCAACCTGCTTGAAAGCTTTCTGGGCCGTCTTGTCACCCACTGAATAAGTTGGAACCTCCCCACCTGGAAGTCCCAACAGCATGGCTTGGCCCCAGGTCACTTTTCCAGGCACATCTTCCTTGTGGCTCACTACACACCAGTGAGACTGAAGTACTTACTGTGCTGCCAAGTGTACTGTCTCCCTTCCCTGAATGCCACAGTCATTGCACAGCCACCTGTGGAATGCCCTGTAACCTGGGACTTCTGCCCACAGCCTGCAGGCATCTGCTTTATGGTGCATATTCTGGTTCTCCCATGTATCATAATTAGGTGATGGGCTGATTGTCTATACCGTAAGCATTTCGAAGGTCTATGGTCTTACTCTTATTTTTCTTTTTTAAAATTTCCTTTCCTTTTGCAACTAGTGTTTTTCACAGAGCAGGGCCTCAGTAATACGTATTAAAGGAAAGAATGTCATTCATGATAGTACGTTTATCCAAGGTTATTTACTTGTTGGCTAGCAATAGAGGAGCTGGGGTATTAAGAAGGGTCATGGTAAAAAAAAAAAAAAAAAAAAATAAGGGTCATGGTCAGAGCCATCAGCAGAGGTTTAAATGGCTGGTTAGCATTTTACTTAATCTGATTTGGGATCAGCTAGGATTTACAAAAAGTCATGAAGACTTAAAATTAATAGATAAAATCCTGTCTGCCTATCAAAACTACAAAATAATTAACTTTTATGATGGCATCATCTCAAGTGAATACGCTACCTGTAATTTTAAAAAGTGTTACTGCTTAGCCACATACATTTCAGTTATATTTAACTCCTGCAAACTGCAATGAAATGTTACTACAGAAAGGGTCTCTGAAGGATTAGGTATTTCGTGACATTTAAGTAATCCATGTATTATCAGCAAGACCTTTGGGAAAGGGGCCAGAAGACTGGTGAGGGAAAAAGGAGAGAATCAAGCGGCCTTGGTTTGTTTTGCTTTTATTTGATTGGTAGTGTTATTGCTAGACAGAATGTATAAGAATATATTCAACCAAAAGAGAGATACTTGTGTACTGTTTGTTAATGTCTGTGTGTTTAAGGAAATGATCATTGCAAAGTATATTTTAAATCAGTTATACACAAGTATTTTGCCTTAAAAACACAGTAACAGCCGAAACCGTTTTGGCTCAGTGGATAGAGCGTCGGCTTGCGGACTGAAAGGTCCCAGGTTCGATTCCGGTCAAGGGCATGTACCTGGGTTGCGGGCACATCCCCAGTAGGAGATGTGCAGGAGGCAGCTGATCGATGTTTCTAACTCTCTATCTCTCTCCCTTCCTCTCTGTAAAAAATCAATAAAATATATAAAAAAAAACCACAGTAACAATACACATTCAATATATATGAATTCCACTGAGTGGATTTACTGACTTAAATGCTTCAGGTTAAATCCCAAAGATGTTTAATCTGGGATCCATGGCTGCAGTGGGTCTCAGGTCTAGCAGCCCCATCACCTCCCTTCCCCACAAGTGTCCAGGTACATAGATGTAATGAATGGAAGGGATTCCTGAATTGGGTGGGAGGTTCAACGGAGCTACAGGGCCCCTTCTAGCTCTACTCTACCAGGCACTGCTTGAGGCTTAGAAGGCGGAGTGAGAAAATGTTGTCCATACTCTCACTCTAGCAATTCCCCCTGGACTTTGCCCAAATCTAAGATGGTTTTCCATGAAGTAAATGATATCTTACAGTAATCACTGTTACAGGAGACTGTTGTTTTATAAAGTGCTTTGAATTCCTCAGACCAGATGTGCTGTATAAATGTTACAGTTAATCTAGATTTCATGCCTCTGTTGATTCAGTTCTCCAAAACAAGTGGAGTGTTTACTGCTCAGTAAACATCTCATGTTGGAGCTTGCTGGTATTTATAATGGGGATGATTAAGAAAGGATAAACAGTGGGAGAAGAACAAAAGATTTGCTACTGTTTTAGATTTGTAAAAAGTTATTTTAGAGGAAGGGAGAGAGAGAGAGAATGAGAGAGAGAGTGAGAGAGAGATCTACTAGTATATGAAAGAGGAACATTGGTTGCCTCCCGCATGCACCCCCAGGGATCAAAACAAGGTAGGGTGTTCTCATATTAAAAGAGCTAACCCTCATGTGTTCTTTCTTTGAGGGGAGAGGGAGCGAATGTAAACGCATGCTATTATCAGTGATTTTAAAAATTTCCTATAGGATTAACCACAATGAGCGGTTGGAGTTCCTGGGTGATGCTGTCGTTGAGTTTCTGACCAGGTAAGGCGGCTCTTCTTCTCTTCCCCCTTAGTTGCATTTTATAGGAAACATGCTTGATACATTGCCTTCTGTGTAATTAGCCAAATAAGCCATTGAAACGCCTTGTGTTTTGTCCCTGCTGTGGAGCTTGCCAGCCCCGGGTCTGTGGCTCCTGCCCTGAGAACTTGCCCTTGCTGATGCTGCAGTGAGCAAGATGACAAGGTGGAAGGCGCGCTTCTCTGTCCTGTCAAGTTTATGTTCAAGTTGCCACAGCCACAGAGATCAGCTGGCCTTGTTCTAGATGCTTCAGAGATTATATTCAATTTGTAAAGGAAGGGATGATATTTTAAAATGTCATTTCATTTTCTAGGATTTGTCTTTGATCCCTTTCTCACTCTTTCTGATCTCAAGGGAAGTAAAGCTTACAAGTAATTTTAATGTTGAGATTTGGGGATGTGTGTGTTTTCTCCCCAGAAATGTTTTAGGGTCCTTATTTTGGAGGTAGGGGTAGGAAAATGTGTTTTGTTTTTTCATAGATAATTTCTCTTTTAAAGAGAGGTAACACATGCTTTTCTTGGAACTATATTGAGCTATTTTTTATTCTCTTTAGGTCATTTCTTTTCCCAAGAAGGATATACTGAGCCAAAGGGGCTGCTGTCTAAGCCTGCTTTCCCTGGACACGTAGGACTAACCAAGCTCAGTGGATCTAAAACCCGGTGTGAGATTTAGGAGATAACAGTTGCTGTTGTGGTCCAAACTGGTGTTCCACGTGGCTTCTCCCAGTTCCTGCATTTCCTAGTCAGCCCCTGTCGGCTCGCTCTTAGAGCACAGCCAGCCACATGTGCCGATCTCAGTTCCGTTCCTGTCCGTCCTCGTGAAGAACATGCCTCCGCTGCTGTCCTGCTCGGGGCTTCCCAGGCTTCTCTTCAGGGGCTGCCCAAAGCCTAACCCAAGAAAAGTACTGTTTCTAGGCCCACTTGTGAGTGTCACATGGGTTTGCTCTTAGCCATGTGTGACATTGTTCAGGTCTTTGTTGTCATCAGATTCCCGAGGAGCCTTTTAACAGAAATAACTGTGAAAACATGAGTGAATGGTGCTGTTCGGGTTTCAGCACATGCAGATATACTGTGCTTCCTGTTAAACTTTCAAAGACTTTCAGTCAAACCCTCCAGTTTAGTTCAGTTCAGCCGGTGTCTCCTGTGCAGATCCCTTGCCTGGCCTACTTTTGTGGCTCAGAGCCACAGACAGAATGGTGTGATGCATATTTATATATGTGCTTTTTTTTTTTTTTTTTGCAGTGTCCACTTGTACTATTTGTTTCCTAGTCTGGAGGAAGGAGGGTTAGCGACTTACCGGACTGCCATCGTCCAGAATCAACACCTCGCCATGCTAGCCAAGGTGTGTCCGACCTCTGAGCCTGGCGTGGAGCCTGGCGTCCTCCTCCTCAGCCCGGGCATAGTTCTGCGTTTGAATCAGTACCTCTTTGGCGTGTGTTAGGGCTTAGTATTTTATAGACCAGGAAAGATTTTTTTGTTTGGGTTTTAAGGATTCAGCCTTATTAGTTTGGTTACCTTTGTGAGTTTCTCCAGCAGCTAATGAACTCCATGGTGAGGTAACTTGATAACAGAAGGGGAAAAATTTGACAGATGTGCAGGAACAGAGTTAAACATTTGGGGAAAAGGATCATGAGAGCAGAGCAAAAGACTTGAATTTTTAAATAATTTTCCTTTGTGTAATATTTCTGTATTATATTTGTTTTTAATTTACTTTAACAAGTAGAATTATAGCTTTGAATAGAATACTCCAGACCATTTATATACATAGGGGATACTTTACAGATCTTTGAGAATCCCCCGAAATTACAAATCTCACTAATTAAGATTTAGGGTTTAGGCCAGTGATGGCGAACCTATGACACGCGTGTCAGAGGTGACATGCGAACTCATTTTTTTGGTTGCTTTTTCTTTGTTAAATGGCATTTAAATATATAATATAAATATCAAAAATATAAATCTTTGTTTTATTATGGTTGCAAATATCAAAAAATTTCTATATGTGACAAGTCACCAGAGTTAAGTTAGGGTTTTTCAAAATGCTGACACGCTCAAAAGGTTCGCCATCACTGGTTTAGGCTGTCCAGCCAGCCTCCTTTACTGAGCCGAGTGACTAACAGAACCTTTTTTTTTTTAATTTATCTTTATTCTTGAAAGTGTTACAGATGTCCCTCTTACTTCCCCCATTGGCCCCTTATAGCCCGCCCCTCCCCCCTGCCTCAGGCCTTCACCAGACTCTTGTCCATGGGTTATTCATACATGCATTTAAGTCTGTGGTTAATCTCTTCCCACCCACCAGAACCTTTTTCAACTTAGATTCATGGCAGGCATGTAACTTCATTATCTTATTTGATGTTCCTATCTCTGTGCAGTGTCTCATCATAGTAGATCATAACAGGCAATATGCACTTGCATTGGCCATAAGGTTCTGGCCCACACCCCTCCTCTTGCAACTGGGGTCCCGGGACTGAGTGTCGTTCTCTTCCCCAGGCCTCTGCTTTCTCATCTGCACGAGGGAGATGGCATCAGCACCTGCCATGCAGAGTAGCTGTAAGAACTACATGACATTGTCATTTGAATGTTAATGATTGTATTTATACAGGGCTCAGCACAATGCCTGTTCATCCTAGCAATCACCCACACATGTAAGTGAGTTAGAAGGAGTTTGTTGTTTCTGTTGCTGCCACTATTCTCATTATAAATCATTACATTTTATAGACCTGTGGGTTTATTCTATAGCAAGGGGGACGGTGGCCCTCCAACCCCCAACTGATGATCCACTGAAAAGCTTTTGTGAGTTTACCTTCATTTTTGCCTTAAGTAATTTTTATTGTTTTCTTCATTTCGATATGAATGATGGAATTTGATAGAAGTGACTATGTAAAATCCATTCTAGTTTTATGACTGACAAGGCATTAATTACATTCAAATTGTGGTTAATTTTATACCCTGGTTTTTGTGCAGCAAGAGTGCATTGCTGTGTTTTCTGTAGCAGCATCATCATCATAGTTACAGGTAGACTTTGACCCAGCTTTAGTGGCATCTGAGAATAGAAATAATGATGCCTCGAAGAGAAAGATAGGCAACAGGTGTGCTAACTTGGTTTTAGCAGCCTCACAATGCACAGAATTCCTCAACTCTAAGTAAAACTGCTTCAGTGTTTAGTTGATTAAATTGTCAAGCTGCTTCCTGGTCCACCTTAATGTCCACTGGAAATACATGCTAATAAATAGATTGTCACCCTTCCCCCATTGTTTTCTTTCCAGTTTCAGATATAATGAAATTGCATAATTATTTTTCAAATAATTTTAGGGAGGATATTTACAAAGTATGGGAAGGTGCCATATCAGGAAAACAGAAATAGTCATGTAACACATCGGGTGCTTTACAAAGAGGGGTGGCCAGTTTTTCCCTTCAGGAATTTCGATGTGATCTTCTTCCACACCAACTTCCAACATTCCCATAGCACACAACACCCGTCTGCTCCTGCAGAAGGCAGTGGTGGTCTTGCTCTCCTGTCTGTTCCAGTGGATCTTGACCATTTGGGAGGAGGGGACTTGATGGAGGATTGCTGACCTCTTTGAGAATTTAGTGAAAGCTCTAAGTCAACTCTTCAGACAGATGAACATTTTAACGCATGCAAGTTGAACATTACTCCTTTTTAAAAGTTTCCCTAATGCCTTCATGAAAAAAATAAGGATATAGAGCAGGGATTATGAGAAGTTGGAAAATTCATAGGATTCCAAAATAGTTGTTTATAATATAAAATATGGCTTGCAGTCTGTTCTCAAGCAGGGCTCCAGAGATGGCAAACAATTGAGTTTTCCCAGTGAAGTTGTGAAACAGATCAAATTTACATATTTTGGTATAAACTCTTCCACTTGGGGATCAATGTTTTTAAGTGGTGTTTTCTGCTGTTGCATTTGTGGTAGTCAATACTCTCATTTGAGTTTATTTTATACTCATGAATTCCTAACAGTACAAAATACTGGTAGCATATGTGTCTTGTTTTTATTGTCTCTGTCTTTTTCCAACATAAGTGGATATAGATATTTTTACATATACTGGTATACTGAGATATACAAAATCTGAGTCTTTTATCTGAGACTCATACTGTCCTAGGTTGTTCATTGACTTGTGTCTTGTTCCATATTACATGGCATGTTATTGTTTAGTAAGTATTTATTGAATTGAATTACATGGTAATGGAAACAGATTAAGTGCATCCTTATGGAATGCTGCATCTCCTTTTATGGAAAGAATTAATTTCTATTAATTCAATCTCAGGAGTTTTATTTAAAAAGTACATTCTCTGTCTAGTTCTAACAGGACTTGAATTGATTTGTATATTATAATACAACAGGATAAGAAATAAGTAGGTACTGAACTCAAGGTAAAGAGAAAATATGGATAAGAATAAAATGAAACCAGAGGTAGAGTTTAATATACACAGATATATTCATAAGTCCTACACAATTTGTAGGATTGGGCCACAAATTTGGCTTTATAGTTTTCTAAGGTCAAGTAAAAAGGGAAACGTAATTAATTACAAACAATATTCCCAGAGCCCTTAAAATAAATTCAACCCATTGCTGAGAGGATCTCACTGAGCCTTTGAAAAGGTAAGTATAGAGACCTCATGAAGGGGACACAGGTACAAAGATATAGGGACTGCCAAATCCTTACCAAAATCAAAAGAAAAGATTTTGAGATGTAAGGCATTTTGAAGTCTTCTGAGGGTCCTCATTTATCTTGCCACATAAAAATCTAATCTACCAGCATTATAAGTATCGCATATCCCTGGGATCAAAGAGGTTAACTTTGGGTTGGGGTTGTGTCTCCCTGGACATATTGGGTGAGCCCAAGAGCCCATGGTCTTTTAGCAAAGTATTATTCCAGCTTGAGCTAGTGCTTGGTCTGAACTTGGAATAAGGTTTATAGAAAGAAGCCTGCTTGGGGAAAAGTCAGGGTTTGTCAGAGCTGAGCCATAGGTAAGGACTCCTGATGAATAGTAGACTCAGCTTTCTTTCTATACTGACATGGGCCAATTAATTTTTTACCTTTACCCCTAGGAATGTTGAGTTATTACAGTTTGATTTTGCCAAATTCTTTCTTTTTGTCATTTTTGAATTTTATAGAAACTGGAACTGGATCGATTTATGCTTTATGCCCATGGACCCGACCTTTGCAGAGAATCAGACCTTCGACATGCAATGGCTAATTGTTTTGAAGCATTAATAGGTAACTTCTTTTTTTATAATCTAGTTTCTTGAATGTCTAAAATGTCTGGAGAGCACATAAAATTCATTGTGGAGACTTGGGACAGAATGACTTTTTCCCGAAGCATGTGAGGCCCTTAGTATAACTCCCCCCTCATTGTGCTGTCGTTTTTGTGGTTCCTCCGGGGCAGTCATGCTTTCTTTCCTGCATTCCCGGTGCCTGGGATGGTCTGTTGTCATGTACATGCTTAGATGTGTACACTGAGTTGAATTGAAGTGAATTAATATGGAGATGGATTGCTTTCCAGATTTGATTCAGAATCACATCCATAAATAAACAGTAACTCAGTTGCTGGCGAGGCCCTAATATTGTTTGCGATCACATTTTAAACTATTCACAAGATTTCTCGGACTTAAACCTCTTGAAAACATGGCATTTGTTAAAACCCCAGGGCTTGAGTCTCTACAGCTATTATTTATTCTCTTGAAGCAAGACTGATGCAGACACTCTACTTCCTCGGTTTCGTTTTTACTGTAACCAAAGTACAGTCAGTCATTGCTACAGGAAAGTTGTGAAGCATTAATTAGCTGGTGATTGCAAGTATGCTTTACAATGAAACGTTACAGTAGATTGACAACTTCTTGATTTTTTTTTAGATGAATGATTGAATACGTTTTATTTTTCAAAGGCCTTTGTACTGCCTTATCAATTTTGCCCTCTTCCTTTGAAAATGCATATAAAAGCTTATAGTTTTGTGCTGATGATGGTGGCAAGGGAATGTTTAATCATTATCCAGTCTTCTCACAGCTATGTCTTTTTTGCACAAATGTATCCTATTTTCAGGGTTTGTCGGGTGGAATTACTGTTCCCTGTATACATAATATTTTTGACAGTGTTAGAGCTGGCTCCAGAACCAGGCAGACATGGTTCAAGTTCTTCTTGCATCGTTTCCCACCTTTGTGTCTTCACCAAGTTACTGAATCTTTTTAAGCTCCAGTTTCCTCATCTATGACATGGAGATGGTATTACTTACCTCACAGAGTTATTGTAAGGATCTTAATATCCATTCCTGGCTGCATCCAACCCACAGCAAAGTTGCATTCACCCTACCCCAAATCACCTACTATGAGCCTAAATCCTGTAATTCTTTTTAAAAAATTTATCATTCTTGTTGAAAGTATTACACATGTCCCCCTTTTTTGGTAACACCCTCTTACTGAGGCTCCCATGAAAGTGTAGATAAGCATGTGAAAATGGTTTGCGCAGTGCCCAGGGCAGAAGTGCCCCCAAACCCTCCCATGTAAAAATCTATTCTCAATACAAGACAGTTATTAGGAATCTTACTCTTTAATGGTCTGGAGATTTTTTTTTTCAACAGGCTAAAAGCATGCTTTGTTATTCCGGCAAATCTGGTGTTCATACACTGTACACTTCCAGTTAGGGTAAAACGGAGAGAGTGCGTCTGATACTGATTTGAAATCCATTGTTAAAATATAAATAGAGACAGTCCCAGGTCTCCACAAATGCTGGTTTCAGTCCAGATCCGTTTGCCTGGCAATGGAGTCACTTAGATCCAAGCCCGTCTTCCTTGCTCCTTGCCATCCCCCTGAGATCAGAGATCTGGCAGGGTCTGGCCTGTCAGTAGGATCATTACTGTTATTGTTATTATTATTACTGTAAATATCAATAGATAATTAATGTATTTAGTCATCAAAAGCTCTAATGACTAAGTGTCTCAGTATTTTACATGAAAAGTGGCCTTTCTGATGACAGATACAAAAATATGATTTCAAGAATATATGGCTACCCTACTCCAGAGTTATTTGATACGCAATTAAAATGTTACTATAGTACTTCCTGGTAATGATTAATGGTAAATGTGTGTACAGTGCTTAATTATTTAAAAACTTTTAAATAATTATTTTAAATTAAAGATAGAGGTTGTCCTGGTTTTTATTTGCAGAAACATTCATTGATCTGAACTCAGGTTTTATTGTGGTCTGAAACAAAAACTATAAATATAGAAAATAAAACATAACATTTTTGTAAAGTCAAGTTTTTGTATGTACCTTTTATGATAGTTCGTATTTGTCCTCTTTTACTTATAATATTAGATTTTAGTCAATTGAATTTTGTATTTCATTCTCATTTTTAACACAAAGCATAGCCGAAAGCGGAAAAATGCTACTTTTAAGCAATGGCTTCTGATCTTGTCGGTTATTTCTGTGAGTGGGTTTTGGCTTGCCTTTTTGCTTTTTATAGAGATATGTAATTTTCTGTGAATATTAATGCAACCTTCCTAAGGGCATTATCTTCCTTTTATCTAGGAGCTGTTTACTATGGAGGGAGGTCTGGGGAAGCCAAACA